ACATACCACCAGCATATCCTGTATTTAAAAAAAATATTACAGAAACAATTTTAAGTCTAGAATTGCAATATATTTGTAATATATGAACCCATGCAGCCCCTTCCTAATCTTTCAGAATTTTTCTAGGCAATTTGTAGGCAATTTATGCCCCCTTCTTTTTCACTTTACAAATTATTGTGTTTAAAAATCATCTTTAAAGAAACTCTGTAAGATATTTTCATCAGACTTCATACACAAATTAATGAGGGCTATTCAAATGCATTTTATTACCTTAACCATTGTGTGACCTTGACCTCGCTATAATTCCTCAATAACCCCAGTACCCTAGTCTGAAATAAAAAGGCAAAATATATAATATTTTTCATATTGCATTTCTTTACAAATATTATATGATCTAATGTGACCAAAATTAAAATGAATAATAAAAATTTGAAGTAAAGTTATAATGTCAATTGAGATTCTTCTCTTTATTTTTAGCTCTACTGGTCAGAGACCAGAAGAGCTTATGCGATAGTAATGCGTCCGGCGTCCGTCCGTCTGTCCGTCTGTCTGTCTACCTGTCTGTCTGTCCGTCTGTCTGTAAACAATTTTTCAAAATGCTACTCCTCCTACAGTTTTGGTCTAATTTCAATATAACTTGGCACACAAGTAGACTACACTAAGATACATAATTCTGTGTATGGGTTTTTGATTTCGATGAACGGTGTTGCCGTGGTTACTAAAAATAGAAATTTCTGTGAAATTCTTTCAAAATGCTACTCCTCCTACAGTTTTGGTCTGATTTCAGTATAACTTGGCACACAAGTAGACTACACTAAGATACATAATTCTGTGTATCGGTTTTTGATTTCGATGAACGGTGTTGCCGTGGTTACTAAAAATAGAAATTTCTGTGAAATTCTTTCAAAATGCTACTCCTCCTACAGTTTTGGTCTGATTTCAGTATAACTTGGCACACAAGTAGACTACACTAAGATACATAATTCTGTGTATCGGTTTTTGATTTCGATGAACGGTGTTGCCGTGGTTACTAAAAATAAAATTTCTGTGAAATTCTTTCAAAATGCTACTCCTCCTACAGTTTTGGTCTGATTTCAGTATAACTTGGCACACCAGTAGAATACACTAAGATATATAATTCTGTATATCGGTTTTTGATTTCGATGAACGGTGTTGCCGTGGTTACTAAAAATAGAAATTTCTGTGAAATTCTTTCAAAATGCTACTCCTCCTACAGTTTTGGTCTGATTTCAGTATAATTTGGCACACAAGTAGAATACACTAAGATACATAAATCTGTATATCGGTTTTTGATTTAGATGAACGGTGTTGCCGTGGTTACTAAAAATAGAAATATCTGTAAAATTGTTTCAAAATGCTACTCCTCCTACAGTTTTGGTCTGATTTCAATATAACTTGGCACACAAGTAGACTACACTAAGAACATAAAGAGACTTTATCAACGATCATTATTCTATATATTGCTGTTGTAAAGTTTCAAATCCCAGCTGCTTAAGTACTCTTCTCTTCCTTTGCTATAAGTTCAAACCAGTAGAGCTTCAGTCTCGACAGAGACTTCTGGTTGTTTCTAATCATAGATTTTCTATAGAATTTGATTGCTGTTGCCATTAAAACTATTAATGAAATAACAATGTGTAACATTTTATAACAGTGCTTCTATTTGTGTCCATAAGATAGTAAACATTTCTTTCTTGCTCTTATACAACTGTAAAATGATCCTGTCAGACTAACGTAATTATAACAAAGAAAACCAATCAGTGAGGTTATATTAGGATTGACCTCAGTGACACAAATCTCCATCAGAATCAGGTTACAGCAGCTAGTCTGATATCACAGAATGTTTACCGAGCGTCAGGTGAAAAACAGTTGACATTGGGTGCTAATGTGAGTGTGGGCCCCGGAGTATGTCAACTGTCAGCTTGTTAGGGTATTCAAAAGATCATTTCAATCCTCTTTATCGGTAATGTGTTTTGATAGGCTTTTATTTTTTTGTTCTGTATAAAATAACTGCTACAGTAAAAGGTTTGTTTATATAGTCAAGTATTATAGTCACCAGTATAAAATACTCAAGTATAATAAAATAGTCATCAGTGCAATATAGTCAAAGGTAATCAACACCAGTATAAAATTATAGTCTAGTATAATAGTCAATGGTCAATTTTGCTTTGTTTTAAATTCATTATATCCATTATTATATGTTTAAAACCCATTGGGAATGATAATCACTTCACTGTAAGCATTAATTCATTATTAACATATTCGCTATAAGTGTGATTTACTGTACATTATAGTCTAGTATAAAAATCACCAGTATAATATTAAAAGTCTAGTGAATATGTATTCTAGTTATATAGTTACTTACTTACTATACCTTTGTCTAGTATTACTGCACACCAACTTAATAAAGTTTATTAGTATTATAGTCAATGCAATGTAAAGTCAGATATTGGGTTACTGGTAGTCCACTTTTCAATATTTTATAATATGCTTGGTACTTTCTGAGGAGAATACAATACAACATGATCAATTCACAACATACATTACAGGATATATTTTTAGGCCGCCCTTTATTCTGGATATGGTAGATAATTACTTAGTTCCCTTACAAGGTGATAATTATTTTTGTACAAACAGATTATAATGAGAGAAAAAAAAAATGAAGTTGATTAATTTTCGTCAGAACACCGTCATGTTTAATCATCTAGTTTTCTCTTCACTGCAGTGGAAGTTAATCAAATTTTCTCCTCACCTCTTTTTTTTCACTTGTACTTCAACAACAACCTTTAATATCCTTTCTCTATGTTTTGCTGTCAGTGTGAAATGTCTTTTAAAAATTTTTCAATATTTAAAAAAAAAAAAAATAGTATATTCCACTAAAATAATATTTTGATGTCTTTTCGTCTTGTTAAAGCTGCTGATTTGTTATTTCTCAGATTTCTCAGAAGTTTTATAATAATTTAAAGGCAGAATGCAAGACTCCTAGTAGCTGTCTTTGAAATTACAAAATTAAGTGCTATCCCAATGCTAACAGATTTTAATCTTGCAGCAAAGTGACAAGTTTGAGAACATTCATAAAACTGACAGACAATGCATAATTTACAAGAGTTTTAAAAATAATTGAATGAAAAATTCAAATTCAGGTTAAAAGTCAATAATTGTACTTTTACATGACTGTAACAATCAAAGAAATCAATGTGTAAATACCAATTATATAAAGTCAAAGGTTAAAAGTCAATAATTGTCTGTAAAGTTGGAGTAAACTGTTATAGATTGAATCTTTGAATGCACCCAAAAGAACAGAGTTTTTGCATTTGGATGTTTAGATGGTAAAATAAGCAAATGAAATTTGAAGCATTTAAGAATCCTATTTGGTGAAATAAAGAGAAAATATGAGTATCCCTCCCCCCCTCCAAAAAAGAAATACATTAATTTACATGTATATCTATTTGATGCTCTTTTACAGCCGAAATATAAATATAAACAGCAGTTTATTTTGTTAAAGAATTTCGGTCTACTTTTAATATATCTGAGTCACTAATTTCTATTCACCATGGGACACTGTAACAATGTAAATTTAGATCAGGGCCTCTCCCTTCCCCCTTGTGGGTTGTATTGGATATGGTTATAGAGTGAATACACAACTAATTGCAGCTCAAAATAACACAAACAGGTAAATTAGATAGTGGATAGTCCTTTAATATTAATGATTTCTTGTATAATTGTTGTCTTGTGTTGTTAAGTGACTATGAAATAATTTATATAAATATTTGATTTGTAAACATGTTGCTGCATCAAAATTCTTATGCAGTTGTTATACAATTATGTCAGGCCACAGTGACCTCAGAATTTACATCACAATACATCATACAGTTGAACTTTCTTATTCTGGTTTCTATCCATTTTGAGATAACAAAGTTTGACTGTTTTTGTCAAAAGAAATATATTAATTTCTTATACCTGAATGAAAACCTAAAATTAAAAATCAAAAAAGATTTGTGTTTACAGGACAGGGAGCGGTCAGTTAAGTAGATATCTGGGAGGGCTCTGAAGGCTATAGTGGAGGAGTCAAATGTCTAATGTTTGTTGTGTCTAATGTCTATTTACAGGACAGGGAGTGTCAGTTAAGTAGATATCTGGGAGGGCTCTGAAGGCTATAGTGGAGGAGTCAAATGTCTATTGTGTCTAATGTCTATTGTGTCTAATGTCTATTTACAGGACAAGGCACGATCAGTTAAGTAGATATCTGGGAGGGCTCTGAGGGCTATAGTGGAGGAGTCAAATGTCTAATGTCTGTTGTGTCTAATGTCTATTGTGTCTTATGTCTATTTACAGAACAGGGCACGATCAGTTGAGTAGATATCAGGGAGAGTTCTGAAGGCTATAGTGGAGGAGTCAAATGTCTAATGTCTGTTGTGTCTAATGTCTATTGTGTCTAATGTCTATTTACAGGACAGGGCACGATCAGTTAAGTAGATATCTGGGAGGGCTCTGAAGGCTGTAGTGGAGGAGTCAAATGTCTAATGTCTGTTGTGTCTAATGTCTATTGTGTCTAATGTCTATTTACAGGACAGGGCACGAAAGTGATATCTGGGAGGGCTCTGAAGGCTATAGTGGAGGAGTCAAATGTCTAATGTCTGCTGTGTCTAATGTCTATTGTGTCTAATGTCTATTTACAGGACAGGGTGCGGTCAGCTAAGTGGATATCGGGGGCTCTGAAGACTACAGTGGAGGAGTCAAATGTCTAATGTCTATTGTGTCCAATGTCTGTTGTTTCTAATGTTTATTGTGTCTAATGTCTATTTACAGGACAGGGCGCAGTCAGCTAATTAGATATCGGGGAGGGATCTGAAGACTATAGTGGAGAAGTCAAATGTCTAATGTCTATTGTGTCTAATGTCTGTTGTGCCTATGTCTATTTACAGGACAGGGCTCAGTCAGCTAAGTGGATATCAGAGAGAGCTCTGAAGGCTTTAGTGGAGGAATCAAATGTCTAATGTCTATTTACAGGACAGGGCACGGTCAGCTAAGTGGATATCAGGGAGAGCTCTGAAGGCTATAGTGGAGGAGTACGCAGATCTGAATGCCTTCAAGGAACTCATCAAACCCATTCTTATCCCCAGAATGCCAGACACTGAGGGCAGCACTATAGTCAGAAATGTAAGTAGTCTACAAATGTCTAATGTCTATGTGTGGTTTACAATACAGAAATGTATGTAGTCTACAGATGTCTAATGTCTATGTGTGGTTTACAATACAGAAATGTAAGTAGTCTACAAATGTCTAATGTCTATGTGTGGTTTACAATACAGAAATGAAAGTAGTCTACAGATGTCTAATGTCTGTGTGTGGTTTACAATACAGAAATGTAAGTAGTCTACAAATGTCTAATGTCTATGTGTGGTTTACAATAAACTGCCATCAGGATTCCAATCATTACCCTACCTTAGCTGAAGGCTCAACTGAGCTTTCCTGATTGAAAATTGTTTTGTTGTCTTCATTGTTATGGTCACCTTGTTGTCATGAATTTATGTAAGGGTCATATTTACTCAAGTGAGCATTGTGGCCCATAAGCCTCTTGTTCTTTTAAAGATAGTGTGATTGTATAATTTGAAAAACTCAAGATTTACAGATATATTTATTATGCTGCAATTACATTGAAAATCACTAAATGTGGTCTTTTGGTCTTAAAAATTTAGTATGCCATAGGATATAATTCTTTTTTTATTTGGCAAATGCATGAAATTTACATTTATTTTTGTTTTGAAAAGACAAAACTGAGGATTTACAGAAGATTATGCCTCCTCCCCTCATTTTCTTTGTGTAATTTCATGATTCCTATGTAAATGAACTTCCTGATCCTGGCAGAAGTCAGTTACAGATAAAACCTAATCACTTCTCTATCTCAAGTTTGACAGCAGTGTCTTACTGGATATTGATGCATTGTTTTTGTCTGTGGTGGTTTTAATCCTCCAATTAGAATAACTCTATGAAAAACAAGATTTGGTTCTGACAAGTATTTTATTAAAGTTGTGTACAATAACCCTTTCCCAGTGTAAACATGTGAAGTCTCACATATTGAATGTTGTTGACCAGAGTTTAATTGATTGTTTTGCAATTTTATGTCACTTGCAAGATTCTGTGATTCATATAGAAACATCACCATATAAGCATGTGAAGAGCTTTACTTGGCACTCCAGGACCATTCAGCAATGACCAATCAATCTTAATCATGCATTCCATGCCTCCTCTGACACAGGACCTTGATTTTAAGGATCTCTTCTGAAAGACCTATAACTTTCACCCCAACTTACTGAGCCCTTGGCATTATATAAACTGAGGTTAATCCCAGCTACGGCTTGAGCTGAGAACCAAGCTAATAAAAAACCTGCAACTTTCACTTCAAAATGCTGAGCACTTGGGAAAGTAATTTCATATTGGCTAAGGTTAATTGCAGCTATAGGGCTTGCGCTCACAACCTTTATAGACCTACAAATTTCAGAAAAAGCTGAGCTTTTGGCAAAGCCTATTTAGGCTATTGAGATTAAGCAGATCGAGCTAGGACTTGAACTCATACCTAAATGTAAACATGATAAAAGACCCACAACATTCACTTCAAAGTGCTGAGTGCTTTGTAAAGCCTATTTTATATCCATTGAGGTTAATTGTAGCCAGGATTTGAATTCACAACCAATTAAAAGACCCCAGAACAAATATCACTTCAAAGGGCTGAGTGCTAAGCAAAGCTTATTTCAAACTAACTGAGGTTAATTGCAGCTTGGAAATTAAACTCACAATCTTCAGTTAATTCACAGAGTGGAATGAGCTTCCCACTTACTGAGCTACTGTGAGGGCCCGAGTTTAATTAAATGTAATGAAATTACATCAAAAGTTACAGATTTTAAAAAGATTTCTTGAAAAAAATTTCTAGTCTTACTCACTTAAAATGAAAACTTCACCAAGCTTTGGTATGGGCAATTCAATATTACTGAATTATAGAAGTCAATGTACTAATAAACAGGTTGTTAAAAGGCAGGAGTCAGGAAGCTTTTATGCTTAAGAGAAGACATTTAATGTTGGCTGACCAATTGGTTGGTAATTCCACCACTCAAGTGGGTAGTTCAATGAATTGCTTATAAGCTATTGACACAATTAACGGCCAGTTTCTGTGGACATGTATGACTAATGAAATCCTCCTTCACTTTCTCAGATGATGCTGACCTTTCACTGGACCTCTCAGTTAATGGCTTTTTTGAATTATCATTGCCTAATAACCTTTTAATGTTAGGTCTAAAAAGACTTTTACTCTGAATTACAAATATTGCTTCCTGCTAGAACTAAGAAGATGTATTAATTTAATTAATAATAAATACCGTGTAGTATTTAGAAATATATAGGAAAAATCTTTTCATTTTGATCAGTAAAATCTTTTATATAGAAATATAGAGGAAAAATCTGTTTTTTCTCAAGAACCACTGGGCCAGAATGAAACTTATGTGGAAGCATCCTGGTATAGTGTAGATTCTAATTGTTCAAATCATGAATTGGAATGCTGGAATTATAGTAAATTTTAGCCAGAAAAGGTGGGTGGCAATCTATATAGAAATATATAGGATCTTTGAAAATCTTCTTCTCATTCAGTCTCTTTAGGGGCTTTGTCAACCCCCAGGGGAAGGGCGGGGCCACAATGGGGAATCAAAGTTTTACATAGAAATATATAGGAAAAATTAATGTGGAAGCATCCTGGTATAATGTAGATTCTACAATTTTTGTTTAAAGTTTTATATAGAAATATATAGGAAAAATCTTTCTCTGAAGAACCACTGGGCTAGAAAAAGTGAAGCAAGCATTCTGGAAAAATTCTGAATTGTAGGAATCATGACAAACAATGTTTTTATTTTTATCTTCTTTGAAAAATCTTATAATGCTGACAAAATATATAGGAAAAATCATTTAAAAGTCATATGCTGGAATTTAGTGTAAAAATGTCTAAATTATGATCTGTCATTATGTATAACAAGGGTGAAATCTGGTAAAGGAATGGTCAAAGCTCACAATGTGGCCCAGGGCCTCTTGTTTGAATTATCATTGCCTCCTTTTAATTTAGGTTAAAAAGACACTAATTAAAATATTGCTTCCTCTGACAGACACAGCTAAAATTCGATTTGACAATCAGAAAAGGTGTGGCATTAACATGATATATGTCAATTTACAAAGGAAAATGTCAAAGTTTTATTTTTATTTCTTTGAAAAATCTATAATGCTGACAAAATAACATTTAAAAGTCGCTGAATTTGAACTTTATCTGTCTGGTCTAGGAATATCACAAGAGGAATTAAGTCATTATTGACATAAAAACCTCTGACAGACACAGCTATTCGATTTGACATCAGTGTATTAACATGATATAGCTTGTATAATAATAGAATTAGATATTGTGGTGCTTTTAATTGTTAATTGACTGTTGGCTGCTGTTAGCATCCATTGCTGAAATTGATCAGTGTGGTGATAGGTGCGACTTGTTGAATGTGAGTTGAGTGCTACAGTAGTCCCGCGCGGTGCTGGACTGATCAGAATCACACAGAGTCACCCTCATATCGGTATCTAATTATTGTGATGGATTGTCTATTACTCAACCTAACAACGCAAGTACTGTTATGAAACAAGAGAAGGAGTGCTGGGGACAAGAATAGACAAAATTATATTTCATGTGGTTTTTCATCCTGTAAATCATATCAATATATGTTTATTGATTAAAAGGCTGTCTGAGTTATTAGTTTTCCTTCCATTGGCACAATTGTCATAGAAAATTTTCAATGAATCTCTTTTCACCCCCTGTCTCCTATATCCCCATTCAGATAAAGATACATTGTGAAAAGAAATGAGATTCAGTGTTCATTTATCAATTGGTATATTAATGAAATGTACTAAAGCAAATGACACAAGTTCAGAAAAAAAAAATTGTAATCTTTATTAGTTTGAGTCCATGCTAGGACCACCAAACTTCTTGTGTTTTTTTATGCAGCTTTGGTGTATCACAACCCAAAAGTAAGTCACTGTGACCTAATTTTGAAATTTCCAAAAATAATTCAAAAGTAGATTGATTATGGTGACTTCACATTGGAAATGTAGAACTGTGCATAATTATTTCTTGTTGATATCTTATGTAACGTACGTAAGACTTACAATCATCAAACCTTCTTAGTTGATATGTTGGGGGGGGGGGGGGATTAGTGATCGAAAAGTAGAAAACTATGACTTTCTAGGGCATTGCTTTCATATTGCTTTGTTGAGAAATGATTCTGTTTTCTGTTCAAGACAGGAGGATAAATCTGGAATGATTAGTCAACAGGGGACTCTTACTTCTCCATGGCAAGTGATCCCACCTCTGGTGATTTCAGGTGGCCATTTTCACCCTGCCCTATGATTATATTGTTTAATTAGACACTATTATTATTAGATTTCACTGAACAGCCTTTATTAGTAATATTACAGAATGTTTCAATGCAATTTTTTTAATGAAAGTTAAATTGCTGTAGTGTCAGTAAACTCTAATAAATTTTCAAGTACAATACAATATTAAAGTTAATCAGTTATAGCAAATAAAGATAAAAATTTAATCACTCCTGTGTTTAAATATCCTTAAACTTTTTTAAAACTTGATTCTTTCAACAAAACTCAAAAATGGAAAAGCTAGCTAGCTCTTTTCAGTTTTAACAAATATTGTTCTGAAGTGTGTGTTTTATTGGTTTCTGTAAAATGAGGAATATTCATTACAAATGGTTTACCATTATTGTACTGGTGCTTATCTCAAGTGACAAATGTGACATTTATATTGTTTCTATGTGGTATCTGATCATTGTTATGTCAATGAACTTGTTTAATTTTAATCATCTGTACCAAATACAATTTATTTTTGATTTTATCAAGCTTTAATTTCACATTTCAGTTATATAGGGTTAAGAACATCAAAGATAACATAGGTCACCCAATTTTTCTTCTATTATCAGACTTCTCAGGACGAAATTAGGATCAAAGGTTTCCTCACAATGGTTGCTTAAAAATAAAGTGTGCATGAATAGTTACTTCAGATTTTGCTCTAATTATGGCCTCTCCTTCAAAAATCAATAAGTTGTTTTCAGATTTTTTTCTCACAAAATCTAATCAAAATATTTTAAAAAGAAATATGAACAAGAAGCTAAGGATTGTGTCAGTTAGAATACTTGGATGTGGATATTTCATAGTCTCTTTCACAGCAAACCATCATTGTTTGAATTATTCATTGAGTTTTTGATCAAATTCATTGGAAATTTATTGTTTTTTTTTTCTTGTTGGGATTGGCAATTATTTTTATTTTCTTAGCAGTCCAGTGTAATAAAGCCCCGGTTTTCTCAATCCCGTTAATTAGTATTGATATTCCAAGAGTATATGAATGGTAGGGAACTAGGGAGCTGTTGGGTGATTTATTTTGGATTGAAAAAAAAAGATCCACAAAGATTCTAATGATTTGGACTGTTATTAGAGTTTCTGATAAGAATTGATTTTTTTTTCACACAACAGGATGAAAGAATTGTTTTAAGGTTCCTGCAAGGCAGACTTGACACCTCATTTATCATTATTCCCTGAATGCAGACTCCGTTGTTACATTTGAGTCGCGGATCATTAACGTAAAAAAGATAGTTTAGAGTTTAAGGAGGGGTTAAAAAGGTTTTTGATGAAGAGCAAGATTTCTGTTTTAAAAAAAAGCAAACAGCTTTTTATACAAGTGAATTGTAAATAAATGTCTATTTCTTTCCTTAAAATGTCCATATATTTATAACAGTATTTAAATTTGAAATCTTCCAGAACATATTATAAAGGGTCATTTTGTCACTTCCAATTTAAAAGGGGTGGACACTGTCACAAAATCAGTTTGCCCTTTGGGTATATTTGCTATATCAGCATACATGTAATTTTACCAGTATACTTTACTTAGATATTACAAGTATTATTATAATTTTGCCAGTTTTTTAAAACTGTAAAGCGTTTCAAAGAAGCTGAATAAGCTTGACATTAATCCAAGCCTGTGTCTGTTTTAAAGGATGATTGAAAACAGACAAGAAATATGAGTGCTGTGTGAGAAATAATGAAACTTTAGATGATAATAGTCATGGTATAACCAGTTATTTAAAAAAGTTGGTGAATCTTATTTAATGCTGTCTAAATATTACTGAAAATCACTTTCTATTCACAAGAACCTTATTTTTATGCCCCGCCATGAATATGGCCGGGGCATATAGTGTTTGTCATGTCCGTCTTCCATCTCGCTGTCCTTCCGTCCTTCTGTCCTTCCGTCACACTTTGCGTATAGCTCAGTTCAAAGCTCAGTTTCAAAGAAACTATCCAAGATATTTTCATCAAACTTTATTTACTGATACATACTGATGAGAGCTATTCAACTGCATCAACATTTTTGACCTTGACCTTTCCTTTGACCTTGACCTCACTTTTCTTAAATTAGTGTTTAGCTCAGTTTTAAAGAAACCATCCAAGATATTTTATCAAACTTCATATACTGATGAGAGCTATTCAACTGCATCAACATTATTGACCGTGGCCTTTCCTTTGACCTTTGACCTCACTTTTCCTAAATTAGTGTCAAACTTAATATTCTGTTACATACTGATGTATGCAATTCAACTTCATCAACATTTTTGACCTTGACCTTTCATTTGACCTTGACATCACTTTTATCAAATTATGTTTAAGTTAGTTTTAAAGAAACCATTCATCATTTTTTTTTTTTTCAACTTTATATGCTGACGGATGAGAGCTTTTCAACTACCATCATCATTTTTGACTTTGACCTTTCATTTGACCTTGACATCACTTTTATCAAACTGTGTTTATGTTAGTTTTAAAGAAACCATTCATAATTTTTTTTTCAAGTTTATATGCTGACTTATGAGAGCTTTTCAACTGTATCAACATTTTTTGACCTTGGCCTTTCCTTTGACCTTGACCTCACTTTTCCTAAATTAGTGTCAAACTTCATATGGTGATACATACTAATGTAAGCAATTCAGTTGCATCAACATTTTTGACCTTGACCTTCATTTGACCTTGACCTCACTTTCTGAAATTAGTGTCAAACTTCATATGCTGATACATACTTGTGTCAAACTTCATATGCTGATATATACTGATGTAAGCAATTCAACGGCATCACTTTTCAAGATATTCTGATCAAATTTCTTACAAATTTTCATGTTGCATTACTAATATACCCTCGGCGGGGCATTCATGTCCAATGGACATATTTCTAGTTTTGTAATTATGTGAGACGGTGTACTCGCAAAACTTTCATTCTCATGTATATTAGTATACCTTAAGATTTATATATAGAGCAATAACCACAATGTATGAAAATTTTGTCCAGCTAATAAAGAGTTAATGACTATCTCACAAAAATCAGGAGTCACGAAAATTTAGTGATCAGTAAATAAAATGAAAGTGAAAAGTTTGAAAGATGTTCATATGTGAACTTGATGACAATCTCTAAAATATTTGTTAATTTCATAGCAATGTTTGATTCCCTATTTTAATTTTCAGTATTTAGTCAGTAAGCTTAGGGCCCTGGACTGTAATGTTTGATTTCCTATGTTTTAATTTTCTGAATCAGTATCTGGTCAGTAAGCTTAGGGCCCTGTATGTAATGTTTGATTCCCTATGTTATAATTTTCAGTATCTATTCAGTAAGCTTAGGGCCCTGTATGTATTGTTTGATTCCCTATGTTATAATTTTCAGTATCTAGTCAGTAAGCTTAGGGCCCTGTATGTAATGTTTGATTCCCTATGTTTTAATTTCCAGTATCTGGTCAGTAAGCTTAGGGCCCTGTATGTAATGTTTGATTCCCTATGTTATAATTTTCAGTATCTAGTCAGTAAGCTTAGGGCCCTGTATGTAATGTTTGATTCCCTATGTTATAATTTTCAGTATCTAGTCAGTAAGCTTAGGGCCCTGTATGTAATGTTTGATTTTCTGTGTTTTAATTTCCAGTATCTGGTCAGTAAGCTTAGGGCCCTGTATGTAATGTTTGATTCCCTATGTTATAATTTTCAGTATCTTGTCAGTAAGCTTAGGGCCCTGTATGTAATGTTTGATTCCCTATGTTTTAATTTTCAGTATCTAGTCAGTAAGCTTAGGGCCCTGTATGTAATGTTTGATTTTCTGTGTTTTAATTTCCAGTATCTAGTCAGCAAGCTTAAGGCCCTGTATATAATGTGATTCCCTGTTTTATTTTTCAGTATCTAGTCAGTAAGCTTAGGGCCCTGAACTGGCATGTGGAAGAAGATGTGTTTCAAGATTCCACCCCATACGGCATCAAAACGTTCACCAACATCATAGCAACCCAGGACCCAAGGAAACCAAAGAAAATGGTACTGGCTGCCCACTATGATTCTAAAAACATCACAGACAGACATGGAAATGCTTTCATTGGAGCCATCGACTCGGCAGTGCCCTGTGGCATACTTCTGGATTTGGCGATCCAGCTGAACTGTCTGTTTGAGAAGGCCCAAGGAGAAAGGGTAAATTAATCTGACAAGATGTATTGTAAAACATAGTCAAAGCAAACAGAAGAGTAATGAAAACCAGCAGGGATGATGCATCTACAGTTGCACACTATCAGACTTGCTTTGAATGCTGAATAGACGGTCAGACGGTCCTGCAATTTTCAGATGAGTAAAAGGGTTACAAGCCCACCTAGATATACTTGCATGGATGATGCATCTAGGGATGCACATTGCAAAAATTGCTTTGTATGCTGGATCTGACCTACATTTCCTGGATGAGTAAACAGACTCAAATGTTAGGAGCAGTATGTCTGTGAGCCTTACCTGGACCAAACTTGCTTAGAGGATACATCTAGGGGATGTACACTACCACACTTGTTTCTAATGCTGGATCTGACCAAAATTTATAGAAGTGGGTTCATTTTAAAGTACTGTACAGTAGTATTTATTACTGGTAGATGTATGATGATGACATTGGCATAAGTAATACATCTAGGGATGCATGCACAATTTATACTTGTTTAATGTGCTGGATCTGACCTAGATAAATGAGTACATTATGTTTTTGAGGTGGTCCATTCCCAGTTAACAACCTTTATAAGGCCTATGGTGACTGACCTTGCACTAATGATGCATGTTACTAGGCATGCACACTACCAGATCTTCAAGACTGCATACTTTCAAACTTGCTTTGGATGCTTGATCTGACCTACATTTTCTGTTTGCATTGGAACAAGTCTGTTCCCAAATAACTTAAAGCCCTGTAGTGATTACACTTGTATGGATTATGAATGTAGAATTGCACACCACCAACTCTTTTATTTTGCAATATAGTCAAACATGCTTATAATGAATTGACACTTAGTGAATGATTTTCAATCTTTATGACTTTAAAATGTATTGTAAACTTAACGGATATAGGCCTAACAAATTACTAGGGCTGGGACGATATATCGAGATATCGATATATCGTGATATATGTGAGGATGATATGCATATCGATACATGCGAAGAAATATCGAAATATCGCCCATGAAAATCGACTTATAATTTAACAAATATATAAAATAAATAAGCAAAATCTTAAACCATGTTTTGAATAAATTATTCATAAAGAAATGCTTCATTATACAAATTAGTGCTTATAACAAAGCAAAATCTTCCATTCATAATGCTTCATTATAAGTGTATTTTACTGTATCAAGTTGAGCTCTTTGTAAATAAAAGGTCTGCTGTAACCTTGTATTGAACATTTTAGGCCCGAGACATCACCCCCCAGATTGTGTTCTTTGATGGAGAGGAGGCCTACAAGGATTGGACTGCCACAGATTCTATTTATGGAGCCAGGCACCTGGCCAACAAATGGGAAGCCGAAAATGTTTTACCAAACGTGGTAAATATATTGTCATGTATAGAATTTTTTTTTACATAGTCATTGTATTAAAATGAAAATTTACAAGCGCATATAGAGACTGTTATAATGTTTCTGCTCTCATTTTTTAAATGTTAGAGAGAATGATTATTACTCACATTTTAATAATCTTCATAATATTGTATTTAAATTTGTCTTCAGACCAAGCAAACAGAATTATGCATGGGATATATCATCCTTTTGAATTTAAAAATTTATTGATTGTTTTTAATTATCAGGAGATTTTTGTTTTGTTGGATTTGATTGGAACCAGTGATGTACAGTTTCACAACTTTTTCCCACAAACTTCAAATGCCTTTGAACTCTTATCAAAAAAAGGTAAGGGCTTAACTTATATCAGAATATCTAGAAAAATCCAGGCATTTAATGGCCTGGCAGTCATAATCAATTTTGTACTTCAAGCAGTTGTCCTACTGGAAAATTAAAGTTATCTACTTGTCTCATGCTATCCATTTTCTTAGACTTAGAAAACTTAGACATTTGAGATTGGTTGAATGAAAAAAAAGCTTTTAAAAAATTGAAATTTGCATTATTACTGGGGTATAATGAATTCAGATCATTTTATTGTAATTTGAAAAAAAATTGCTGTGGTACATAAAAGAAGATACCTAAGTTTATTTTTTAGCTCACCTGAGCTGAAAGCTCAAGTGAGCTTTTCTGATCACATTTTGTCTGTCGTCCGTATGTCTGTCTGTCTGTCCGTCTGTAAACTTTTCACATTTTCGACTTCTTCTCAAGAACCGCTGGGCCAATTTCAACCAAACTTACCACAAAGCATCTTTGGGTGAAGGGGATTCAAGTTTGTTCAAATGAAGGGCCACGCCCTCATTCAAGGGGAGATAATTGGGAATTAATGAAAATTTGGTGGTATGTTTTAAAAATCTTCTTCCCAAGAACCATTGTTCCAGGAAAGATGAAACTTATGTGGAAGCATCCTCTGGTAGTGTATATTCAAATTTGTTCAAATCATGACCCCCCAGGGTAGGGCGGGACCACAATGGCCGACCAAAGTTTTACATAGAAATATGTAGGAAAATTCTTTTAAAATCTTCTTCTCAAGAATAGCAAAGCCATAATCGTTCATATTTATATGGAAGCATCCTCAGGGAAAGTAGATTCAAATTTGTTTAAGTCATGACCCCCTGGGGTAGGGCAGGACCACAATGGCCGACCACAGTTTTACATAAAAATATATAGGAAAATTCTTTAAAAATCTTCTTCTCAAGAATAACAAAGCCATAATTGATCATATTTATATGGAGGCATCCTCAGGTAGGGTAGATTCAAGTTTGTTCAAATCATGACCCCCGGGGGTAGGGCGGGGCCACAATGGCCGACCACAGTTTTACATAGAAATATAAAGGAAAATTATTTAAAGATCTTTTTCTCAAGAATAACAAAGACATAATTGATCGTATTTATATGGAAGCATCCTCAGGGAAAGTAGATTCAAGTTTGTTCAAATCATGACCCCCGGGGGTAGGGCGGGGCCAAAATGGCCGACCAAAGTTTTACATAGAAATATATGCAAAAATTCTTTAAAAATCATCTTCTCAAGAATAGCAAAGCCATGATTGGTCATGGGACTACTTTTGGATTTGAACTTTTCAATGATAAATCAATTTCTACTTTTTCCCAGCCACAGTGCTCAGGTGAGCGATGTGGCCCATGGGCCTCTTGTTTTTTTCACTTTGGGAGTGAGAGTGTATATGAATTCCATGAAGGTGACAACTGTGTCATTTCTTTTTACTCCCCCCACCACCCCTTTATCCTTTTGATTTCATTCCTTTTGATATGTTTTCCCTTGTTTATCTCAATAAATATAATTGTTGTTGCAGAACAACATCTTAAAAAGGATAGACTCCTTCACGATAACAACAGATTTCTGTTTAATACTCACCAATTATTTGGCGGGGGCATAGAAGATGATCACATTCCATTTTTACACAAAGGTAAGTATATCTTAAGTCATTTGTCATCAGATTTACCTCTCAGTATATCCACACGATTACAGTATGTTGTCCTATGGAGATGAAGTTTGGAAGTTCTGGCACATTTATATAACCAATTTTTAAAATAATTTGTCAGATAAACTGATTTTTATTTTGGATGGAATGCCACTCTTAGTTTAACACATGATTTTTTTTTCACAAAAGATAGGGATATAGGAAAAGGTTTTATGAAGTGTATTAAAATTGGTATTTTCTTCACAGGGGTACCCATTCTCCATTTAATATCGGCACCATTCCCGCGAGTGTGGCACAGAATGACAGATGATGCAGCCCACATAGACTATCATACGACAGATGATTTCAATAGAATATTCCGGGTCTTCGTAGCCAGCTATTTACACCTAGATGCCTTACACAATCAGTGCAGAAAGAAAAAGTAATGGAAGTTCTTTAAAAACTTGAAATCACAACCAATTATTAAAATGAAAATATACTTAAAACTGATATTTTACTGAAAAGAAAAAGCAAGAAAACTTACTTGTGTGTGGTACTGAGGTACAGTGTATTTGTATGATATTTTTGCAGCACCTATTTAATAAATATCCATAGCCAAAACATAAACTTGTAATTATTTTTATATAAATGGTTGTGATTTCTAAAGAACTTGTATGATAAATTAATTAACTGAGGTGTCTACGAATTTATTGTGCCAAATTGTTTACTTACAGTACTATAAAAGAGAGAAATGTATATGTTTTTAAATAGATGTAAATTAATGTTTGTTTGCATTTGATTTTTATCTGATGTCCAACTTCTATATAAATTAAGTTGCTCAATTTATTAATTCACTGTTATACTATTTTATGATATAGGCCTATGTTTTAGTTCTTTTGTAGAAATTCATTTATTAAGAATTTGAATTTGTATATTATTTGTACAATATTACATGTACACTTAAATTGTACATTTCAAACAAAACATTACAATGTATTGCTTCAAGAAAGCAATCAATGTGTGTTCAATATCATTGTTATATTTAAGATTGTTTTAATATAAGCATTCCCTAGGCCTATAATTTTGTTTGACTGTGAAGTTTGTGAGATGAAGTCTAGGCCTATAATTTTGTTTTCCTGTTATTGAGATGGACTGACCTGTAAGCTTGTATATTACAGTGAGGAGTTGTAAGGTAACTAGACATACAGTACTGTAGCTTGTTTGGGTGATTGGACTCCGCCTTGTCTTATACAGGACTGATACAGATATCTATAAACGGGAAAAAAAGACACACCATATCAGAATTTATACCATGGTGCCCTGATGCTAGACAGGTCGTACTTTGCAATACAAACACTAGGATATAGTATTTTATTTTGATATTAAAATTCTTGGTCTTTGACAAGCGATCGTATAACAAGCACTTGTTCTGGCACACAAACTGTATCTGTCTACTCTTTCTACTATTTTGGAATGACTCCTTGTTTGTTTTTATAATCTTTTGATTATTTCGTACTTTGTCAACAGCTATCCTCCCAAAACAAGGTCTTATCTAGTCTGTATTACATGCAGCATTTTGTTTATATGCTATATAGCATGCCTGTAGAGTAACGATTCATCTTTAAAAAAAAGTACATGAATTAATGAACGCATTAAAAGTTGCATCAGGCCTTATTGTTATATAATATGCATGTTGGGTTTTTGAACTACCATAATTTATATGTGTTTTGACTGGAATTGTTAGTAACTATAATATATCATAACACTATATTATTTGAGCACCCTGTCTGGCCAAATACTAACAAAAGAGCTGGTTGCATGAGTTTTTAGTTTAATTACAAGCACTGGTTTATTATTAAAGCGTGATCTTTCTCTTTTGACGCATGCAGATGTAAAATCCTTTCTAAAAAAATGTATTTCAAATACAATGGGTGTATGGGTAACTTTTTTCACAATTTTTATTTCGTAATTGAATGGGTGTGGCAAATCATCTTGTTGAGAAAAAAATCATTATTTCGTTTTTAAAAATGTATCTACAGTTTAAAGTAAAATTCATCGATCAATGAAAATAAAATATACACATATTTGAAATACATAGTTTCATGAATTAATTTTCATCTTTGTTTCAGCAATGTGCATATAATACAGTAATTGTCAGTGGTGTTTTTCTAAATCAGGGTTCTATTTTCTCCAATGTCCTGTTTTACGATGGTTTTATAATGCATAGCTGTACAAAGGAGATGGTAAAATATGTACATCAATTAGGTCATGCCAGGTGGTGGATGAGACATGAATGTCATTTTCCCTGACAGAATCTCATGGCTGTTTATTATTATTCAATCATGGTTACTTACATTTTGTCTCAGTTCAGTGTGCTCTTTCATCATTCCGCTGCATTTCATTTCTGATATTGTTCTCAGCATTTCTGTGACATTTTATTTTCATTTTTTTGTCATTACAGTACTTTAGTACTTTTCCAGCAATTAAATTAAATTTCAAATTTATTTCAAAACCTAATTATTTCAAAACATTTCAATATACATGTATATACAGACAACACTTTGTTTTGCATGATTTTAAATGTCAACTATTATATTTCTTAAACTTATACATGGCTAAATTTTTTCACATGTATCTGCCAAACAGCATATCATCAATAACACAGGTTATAACATTACCTAATAGAGTTATTTCTTTAGAGGTGGTATATATGCTTGCATTATATGTCTGTCAGAGGAACAGTTATATATGTTCCAGATGTGTGGTATGATGTTGTTCAGCTTTTCACTAAAAGAAAAAAAGACATATATATAAACTGTTCTACACTTTAAATTCTATTTTCTGTTTATTCCTCTGTGGGTAGCAGATTGTTCAAATCATGGCTACCACAGGAAGCTGGGTTTCTTCATTTCAATCTTCAATTCAAAATCACTTCTGAAAAATCTATAATGCTGGAAAAGGAAATTTCAAAAATGCCAGAAATAAAATGCAGTGACCATTCTTGACCTTTGTGTGTTTTTGACACTTGATTTAGGAATATTACCGAGGGATTTTTGTTGTTTTTTTTTTAACTTGATAGTCTTTCACTTTATTAATTGATAATCGCATCATTTTGCATTTCACTGGTTATTTGTTCATTGGATTTGCATTTCTGATACATATTTTATACATAATGAATTAAACAAATACCTCATTTTGTTGCGTGCAATTGATTCAGGTGCCTGATTTCAGAGAAAAAAATTTAAAGTTGAAGTAATGCCTGTCAGTAAAATTTTGTTTTGTGAGTCACATTTAGATATGTAATTCAGTGATCATGCAGATGCATGGTTATAAAAATTGTCTGTACATTACAAAAATATACATGTATCTAAGCAACTTTATTTTTCTTAGGTTTATGTTCTGTTCTATGAGAGAGGTTAAAAATTCTGTTTAAGATATTGATAATTTGACTGCAGTATCCAAAAATATGTACAATACAGTACAAAAGTTATAGTAATTTAGGCTTAGCCGAAAACTCAGCAATGATTGTAATGTGCTGTTTGTGGAAAAAAAATGAAATGTCTCATTGTTTTTATATATGTTGCAAGCTTGCAATAATGTTCTCATAAATTGCAACATATTATATCAATACAAGTAGTAAAGCCTGGCCTTTCACTTATAACATCTATCAGTATTCACACATGCTGTTCATGATCATCATTACAGGTTGAAGTACATGTGAATGCTATAGCATGCAAAATTTAAAATTGTTAACTTGACAGATTTGATTTAAATTGTTTGATATTACATGTTTTATTATTTGTAAAAACAATGTCCATTTGTGAATAAATTATTTTGAAGACGAATACTCTACGGGATTATTTATTATGATTAGCCTTTGCAAAGGAGACATGTGAATTTGTCACTTTTAACGCGATTCTAGGTCTTTACAAGACTATGAACTGAGATAAATGAGAATTTCAAACAATCTAACTTTTGATATAATTTGGAAAAGAAAGGAAATTTTTTTCATAGTACAATTCTCAGTTAAGCTTGGACTTTCAGTAAGGCGTGGCATTCTCGGTGCTGCATAATAAGCATCTGTCAAACGGTTAAGAACACCTCTTTGCCATACAAGATGCTGTATTGGATAATTGCTATACTCGTTGACATTCACTGGAATTTCTATCCCATGTATATTTCAATGGTGAATGAAAGCTGTGTAAATTTCCGACGCTAATTATGCCCAGCTTTACTGAAAGTCCAAGGTTAACCGAGAATTTTTCCGTAACAAATCATGGACACTGCCATTCTTGCCATAAAATTAGGTGTACCCATTTCTTATTTGCAGCTCCTAAATAAGACTGTCGGGTAAATTAATTTGATTGAGCCTTTCACAGAATCTTTATTTAGTGCAAATGTTTTATGATTTTATTGGACACATTTGGCTTTCAAAGAGCAAAGCAAGAACTTTGCCATTAATCAACTCAAATGCTGTTTTTCTCTTTCTTATTCAAAGTACACTGCCAGTTTATAATTAATCCATAGGGAAAGGAAAAATGGCCATGATGCACATTTTATAAGTACATGTACCCATTAAATATGGTGACTGGCCTGTACCATTCTGAACTCCAAGGAAGACACAGTTTTATAATGTACAAATATCTTTAATAATATATAGTATTAAACAGAAAATGTGTTTCAATTCTTCACTTTATCAATGAAATTCAGAATCTTTTCAACATGATATGACACATAATAGCTTCGAAAACCATCAATAAATAATACATATAACTGGATTTCAATGTACTTGATCATTAAAATATACAAAAGAAACAGGTCAGAATTAAAATGACTAGGTTAAAAAGTAACGATAGTGAATATACAGAAAAATTAAGAATCTTCTGTAAAACAAAGTGATGCAATTGTTTTATGTCCTGCAGTCGAAGGTGTGAAATTCTTAAGACACTTATGCAATGAGAGGCTACAAAAAACATGCAGGTAATGTAAAAAATAACTTGTGTTGATGCTACAAACTGTTTACAACATCTTGTAACCATCAGTTTGATATGCAAGGAATCTATAAAAGAAGGCAGCAGGCACAGAACTTTGAAGTAAAAATCTAACACAGAATATAATGTATGCATGTCAAAGAAATAGCACAATATACACAGTAACTGGTCCAAAGCTGAAATGAATCACCAACAATACTCAAGTAAAATTACTGGTACTTAATTCAACAAAATATACATTTAAATTGATTCTAAATAAATAAAAATACAGCTGCCATTTAGTCTGAATCTGATGGTACTGAAAAGAATAATACTACTGACAAAGAAACTACAGACAAACTTATGAAGATTACATTCAACTTCACATGAATCTCATAACAATTATAAATACAAAATCTCAATGAGATACAAAAATATATATACATAGTACATGTATATGACCAAATTTTCATGCTTCTATATACAGTGTATATAAACAGCAAAACTCAAATTTATTCATCCCTGTAGAAAACATTCAGATATCTTTAAACCTTTTTTTCAAAAGATATGGCATCCCATCCGTTAAGTTATCTTTCCTTTGCCTATTCATCTGTCTTTTTTTTAAAACCAAGTTCATATCAGTTATTGCTTTACTCAATGTAACCTATGATTATCAATTCCTTTGCACAAAGCCTTAGCCGTCCAGTTGTATTAAATGTAAAAAAAAAACATACAAACATAACTTTGAAATGGGACAGAGTTGACTTCTTATCAGCAACAAGCATGTAATTGTCATGTCAAGTACATGTATGAAAATTGAGTCTTAGAAATTTAACATTTATAAAAAATACTTATATTCTTTTCATTGAGGTTAATGAAATTGATATAAAAATTCAAAACGTATTCATATAAATTAATTCATTGTGAACGAGACTGTTCCATTCTGAAATTCTTATTGTTAACAAATTAAATATACAATTAAACATAAATAAGTCAAAGAAAGAATTATGGAAATTTCTTTCAACTGTACCCTTCGTGTCCATAAAACCAGGCACATTCACTTCACCCTTATCACATTACAGGGGGCTTTCTACATGTTTACACAATGTTTGTTTGGCACATACAGTCACACAGAACAAAGTCTGTGTGGAAGACAACCTCTATTATGCAGGGGCACACAACTCTTGTCTGCTCCATTCCTCTCAAGAGTAGGTAACTCTGTTTGTGACCCTTGCTCTCATTTCTTGGGCTTTTTAGCGGGTGTGGGTTGAGAAAGAGTTGCCTGTTGAGCATCTGATACTTGTGTTGCAAACTGATACTGAATTGGGACCTACAAAATAAATACAGAAATGCCATTTAATGTCACATTTGTTTACATAGACAATGCTTTGACAAATATGCACTTCCTATGATTAAAATCATTTATTTTGATTTACAAATGAAAGACAATTTGCAATCAATGCATTGAAGATGATAAAAATGTGTAATTTTCTATCAGGTAAAACAATTAAAAAACTGTTGATTCAAAATTTGAATAGAAGTATATGTTGTATATTTTATTGAGCTCTGACATCACTTTACCTGTGAATTGCCTCCCGCAGCCAGACTGACAGGTATGGGGATTGTGATGATCTGTTGACCGTTCTCTGACTGGGATAAGGGTAGAGCTGTGGGGGTCTGCTGGAAGTTGAACATGGACCGGCTGGCATCCTGCAGTGTTGTTGGAGCATACACAATACCCTGTGGAGTGTGGTACATGACGACACCAGGGGTCATGGCTGCTGTGTTCTGTGTACCTACAAAAAGATGACCTGTTGTATCTTTCTGACTATTATAAGTTTAAGAACAGCTAATTGTTCATACAGCAATCCAGATGTTGACTAAACAAGCAGCCAAGTTATATTTACATGTAACAAGAGGCCCAGGGGCCTCTCAACTGCTGCACCAGTGAGCAACAAAAATTTAATAGAATAAAGCTGATATTAAATAATTTTCGAAATAAAAAATAAACATCAACAATAAAGATTTTCAAAAATTTGACAAAACTAACGGTAGTATATATAACTGGCCCGGGACAACTGAATATTGAGGTCGGGCTACTCAACATGTCTTTAAACTTGCCCTGTTGGGCTTCTGTAAATTTTACTAAACACTCACTCAGAGCAACAAAAATAATTATAATTTACACACAATATGTAGTATTTTTTATGTACCTGATAATTCTTTAATTAATTTTATTTTCAAACACATGTTTTATCGTCATAATTATTATTTTTGTAAGTCAAAATGTTAACTTTAAAGGTGATTCGAAATACCCTAAATGATTATAAATGTGGAATTTTTCAAATAGAAAAATGTCTTAGGTACAATCATAGAGTGACATATAATTTTTACCCAAAATACAGCCAGAATGCAGGATTTGGCATTTCTATTTTCAAAGTTTCCCGGGGGAGGGAAACCCCTCCCGCACCTACCCCCCTTGTCGCTGCAGGACTCGGCCACCAGCCTTTGGCTGCTGGACAACCAATACATGAACAGGGCTAGTAGAAATTACAAATGGCTAGCCCTGCTGACAACTATGGTTTTAAAGTTAGTGCCGATCCCTGAGAACTGAAAAGTTTACTGAAAGGGGGGGGGGGGGGGTTTTTAAATTCATGAATGCTTGAATTTAATACTACTTGAGAATGCCTTCATATCAATACAGCATATAACTTTGCTGTTCTTGATAAAAGGATTTTTTCAAAACATTTCCTTCCTATATATAACTTCATAAAAATTTGAATTTGATTCCCCATTGTTTCCCTCCCTACCCTAAGGGGCCATAAATTGAATAAATTTAAATCAGGATTTGAACAAACTTAATTCTACACTACCCGAAAATGCTTCCATTTAAATACTAGTATCACTAATCATGGCTTTGCTATTCTTGAGAAGAAGATTTTTTAAATTATATATTTGAATGTAAAATTTTGATCGGCCATTGTGGCCCCACCCTACCCCCGGGGGTCATGATATGAACAAACTTGAATCTACACTACCTGAGGATGCTTCCAAATGAGTTTCGTCTTTCCTGGCCAAGTGGTTTTTGAGAAGAAGATTTTTTAAGATTTTTCCTATATATATTCCTATGTCAAACTTTGATCAGCCATTGTGGCCCCATCCTACCCCGGGGGTTCATGATTTAAAGAAACTTACCGGTAAATCTACACTACCTGAGGATGCTTCCACATGAGTTTCGTCTTTCCTGGCCAAGTGGTTCTTGAGAAGAAGATTTATAAAGATTTTCCCCATATACAGCTCCTATGTAAAACTTTGATCCACCATTGTGGCTCCACCCTACCCCTGGGGGTCATGATTTGAATAAACTTGAATCTACACTACCTGAGGATGCTTCCACATGAGTTTCGTCTTTCCTGGCCAGGTGGTTCTTGAGAAGAAGATTTTTAAAGATTTTCCCTATATACTCCTATATGAAACTTTGATCGGCCATTGTGGCCCCACCCTACCCTCGGGGGTCATGATTTGAACAAAATTGAATCTCCACTACCTGAGGATGCTTCCACATGAGTTTCGTCTTTCCTGGCCAAGTGGTTCTTGAGAAGAAGATTTTTAAAGATTTTCCCTATATACTCCTATGTAAAACTTTGATCGGCCATTGTGGCCCCACCCTACCCCCGGGGGTCATGATTTGAACAAACTTGAATCTACACTTCCTGAGGATGCTTCCACATGAGTTTCATCTTTCCTGGCCCAGTGGTTTGTGAGAAGAAGATTTTTAAAAAATGCCATTAATTTTTCTCTAATTCATAATTATCTCCCCTTGGAAAAGGGCGTGGCCCTTCATTTGAACAAACTTGAATTCCCTTCACCTAAGGATACTATGTGGCAAGTTTGGTTGAAATTGGCCCAGTGGTTCTTGAGAAGAAGATGAAAATGTGAAAAGTTTACAATGACAACAACGACGACGACGGCAGACAACGGACAAATTTTGATCAGAAAAGCTCACTTGAGCCTTTGGCTCAGGTGAGCTAAAAATACAGTACTTCCTCTCAACTGCTGCAGATTAGAGTGAAAAAAAATTAATAGAATAAACTGATATAAAATAATTTTCCTAAATAAAAAAATAAACATCAACAATAAAGATTTTCAAAAATTTGATTTTTGCAAAACATAACATGTATATAAAACTGAAGTGTACCTGCTTGAGCTGTCTGTAGTCCTGCTGTACTAACATTGGTCAGTGTGGCGATGTTGTCCGAAGCCGAGGTGACCAATGTCTGCTGGGACGAGGAATCGCTGCTGGAACCTGTCAATCAAACTCAAACTTTAACCATCAAACAAATCACAATTAAGATAATGAAACAAACAAAATGAAGACTGAAAACCACTGATTCCGAAGAGTAGACCCTGCAAGGCATTCAATAGGGCCTACAATAAAAGTCCCATAACAAGAGATGTTTGTAAAACACTTATGCCCTCCTCCCCCAAATAATTGGAATTTTTCTAAGTCAAAGGGGCATAACTCATTAACTCATCTCTCAAAATACCCAAATTTTTTACATTTGATTTGCCCTGCTTTTGCGACAGACTGACCTAGATATTCTTATGATAAATCTTTATACAAAATTTAATTTCAATATATGCAACCTCTGCAAAGAAAATGCAGACACTGAAAATTAGTCCAAGGGGCATAACTCTGTTCAAAATGGCTTGATCGTACCCAAAACAGAACTTGACCTAGATATTCTTATGATAATTCTGTATACCAAATCTCATTTCAATATGTGCAACCTCTGCGAAAAAAAATGAATGAAAACGGTCCTGTACATACCTGAGAGAGCTACTATCTGACTGGAGTTGGGGAGTCTGTACAGTGTGTGGGAGGACTGGGGCATTGTAATATTGAGGTCCTGTACATACCTGAGAGAGCTACGATCTGATTGGAGTTGGGGAGTCTGTACAGTGTCTGGGAGGACTGGGGTATTGTAATAATGAGGTCCTGTACATACCTGAGAGAGCTACTATCTGATTGGAGTTGGGGAGTCTGTACAGTGTCTGGAAGGACTGGGGTATTGTAATATTGAGGTCCAGTACATACCTGAGAGAGCTACTATCTGATTGGAGTTGGGGAGTCTGTACAGTGTCTGGAAGGACTGGGGTATTGTAATATTGAGGTCCAGTACATACCTGAGAGAGCTACTATCTGATTGGAGTTGGGGAGTCTATACAGTGTCTGGGAGGACTGGGGTATTGTAATAATGAGGTCCTGTACATACCTGAGAGAGCTACTATCTGATTGGAGTTGGGGAGTCTGTACAGTGTCTGGGCCTGGGAGGACTGGGACACTGGCTGACCATTCTGCTGAATTGGGATCAGTGGTGCTCCTAAAAAGAAAATAATCATTAATTTTCTGAAGTCACTGAAGCAATATTTGCTCTTATGTTTATGAATCAATCTACTGAAGAAAACTTTGGCTTATGGTTACCAAATTGTGGATACAGAAGCATTTATCTCCCTTTTTACTGAACTTTGTGCATATTGAAGCAGTTATCTACCTTGTGGGACTAACACCGCCCCCGGAGGGAGGCCTGGGATGGTAAGATTGACGTTGCCGGCCAGATTTTTGGAGGCGGAGGATGTAGGTGGGGACTGGGAGGTGGCCTGACTGCTGGGGGTGGTCTGCTGCAGTGGGGAGGAGGTACCACTCGTGTTGTCAGGGGAACTTCTGTTGATCAGTCCTGGCTCTGGGATGGATACAGGCATAAACATTGGCTTCATCCCACTCTCCACCTGTAACACACCCAATTACATATGATATAAATTATAATTCTTGTTTACTAGTTTGATTTTTATGCAAGAAGAACTGTAACAGTATATTCATAAGGGCTGTAATAGTTCACTGAATTGATCCAAACTTTGATCAGTCTGGTTTCATGTTATTTTAAAATTTTCTTCAATTTAGGTTTATCCTTAGTCTTTATAACAGTGGATCTGCTGTTGCTAACGTTTTCACCACTCAGCCTGTTTAAAAACTATCATAATTTTGATTCCATGAAATATTTGAGCCACTGCATGTTTACAGCTTATAAATAGAGTCAAAATATAATGAATTTATAAGTGAAAAGAAAATAATAAGAAACCAATAGCCTGAAATGGCATCAATCCCAACCCCCTGATGTTTATTGCAGGGGAATGGGTGTGGACAAAATAAGAAAGACTAGAGGATCATTGATGTAAAAGCCATAGAACCTTGAATTATGACTGCTGAATGGTCACAAATTGTTTAATTGTTGCTGCTATTAAAATGGGATGGGGAGGGCAATTTTTTTTTTTTTGTTATTTAATACTAGATTAAATCAAAACAAACAAGTTATTTAAGCAATCTGCAAATTTAGGCTAAAATTTGGAATTTATTTTTATATTTTCCTTGTATTATTCAGGAGTTTTTTTTTTTACTTTTTAAATTAAACCCTATTTGATTCATATACAAAGAGTAATTAAAACAAATCAAATGCAATACTAACTGTAAATATATCTCTAATGTCACTCAAATGAATTGTATAAAGGAATTTGGGTGGGGATAGGTCTTTAAAATATATTTATACCATGTATACCGTATAAAATTAAGGACATACGCAATGTATCTCACCTACTGTTAATTTTTCAAGATATTTTAAATTTAAACTTACAATACCATTACATGTTTTTTTATTTTACTATTTTAGATTTCGAAGGTTGGGCAAACTTTTGAGGCCTAAGAATAAAGCTCCCTTAAGATATTAAAAATGCAAAAATAAAATCTTTTAAGACAACAATAATTTGTATAATGCTATTAAAAAATAGAATCAAAATATTGTAAAATACCCCCCCCCTCCCCCCCGCCTTCCTTTCAAAAAAATATTATAATAAATACAAATTCCTTATTCAACCCATTTCTATTCCCGAAGTAACAACAATGGAGCAAATTTGGCATACTGCCTCTCCAAGACATATTTGCAGCATGTGCTTGCAGTGATAAAAATCACTCATACAAAGCATCTATATATTACCACTAAAATTCCAGGGAAAATTGTTGCCATGGAGATAAACATGTTCCTTTTTAACTTGTGAAAAATGTCTGTTCTTGGTGTGTCTCAACAGCACTACACCACATCTAGCATGATTACTAGATTATCACTTATTAATATGACTACATCATTACCGGCCGCCAGGAGGCGGTCGGTTATATGATATGAAAGTTTTAAGTCGCCGTGCGTTTCTGCGGAGTTAGAACAATTTGAATAAAAAATATTTAACATTCATGTAATAGAATATTAAGAAAGAGTGTCTAAATGTAAAATAAAAACGCATAAAAATCATAAAATTTTGTGAATAATGGGTTAAATGTTTCATCCAATCCTGATTGACAAATTCCGACGTAACTGAAGTGCGGAGAAATAAGCACACATGTTGGGCATAGTCTAAAGCAAGGACCGCGTTATATACATGTACAAACACATTTACTTTCTCTACTTCAACAGGTTTTAATTTGTTGTATATATAATTTAAAATGACGTGTAATTATATATATACAATGTACTTTTTAAATTTTCAAAAATATGACTTACTCTTAATTTATTATCAGACAGAATATTAGGAGATTTTTCTCCAACAGACAAGGATAAAGCGCGTTTTACAACATGCCAAGCCTTTTCCCGCCACGTCTCATACCAAAACAAGATAGAGAAGAAATGTAGTGGCGGATCTAGAGGGAGTTGGGGGTTTCAACATCCTCTGAGCGAGCGAGGAGCCCCACATAGTTGTTACGTTTTATTTAATGTTAAACTATCTCTAGTTAGATAAGTTTAAATGTTAGTTTTAATGGTTCAGTGTTAAAACTACTTTAAACATCAAACTTCCGCCAGAGTTCGGTTATAGTACCAATTAAACTTACTGAGTGCGGGGACGCAGAGGGCTATGAGTAAGTTGCTTAAATACATTGTACATGTAGCAATGTACATGTAATATGTACTGAAGAAAATCCTGGGATGTCGCATTCAAATGTTTAATGTCACAGGGATATATATTAATTAACAGATAAATATAAGAATTCAGTTTCTAATTTATTATATGAAAGAATTAATTAATTGGTTTGCGGCCGATTTTTGACGCTTGCGTCAATATGTTTCTTGTACATGTATTAATGTGAGGATTAAGAAATCATTTTGAACTTGAATTATTTAAAATTCTTAAAAAGATAGGAACATATATATAGCAATATGCTTTAATCAATTAATTAATTGTTAGTATTTTCTTTTTTCAAATTTTAGGAAAATCATTATCATTCTGTTTTTTTTTCAATCTGTAAATCTTCTTTGGAGGGTTTCTCTTTTTCAATGAGATTTTGTTAAAAAGTGAACTTTACTTTCAAAATTCAAAAAGAATTATTATCTTTAAAAATATTTTTTTTTTAAAAAATTGAAATTCAATATTAGATTAAAGATAATAAAGTTTTTTTTTAAGCTATTATTTATATAGTAAGAGACTCATATTTAAAAAAAAAATCAAATCAGATAAACTGATATCTGCTAAAAAAGTTGCTAGTAAATATTTTGTACTCATTTACATTTCATAAAATCTGCTGGCAAAACATTAATCAAGCTTATTTCAATAAAAATTCCTTATTCAACTCATTTTTATTCCAGAAGCCATGACACGCTGGAACAAATTTGGCTGGAACAAATTTGGCGCACTGCCTCTCTAAGACATATTTGCAGCATTTCACTGCTGACTAAGAAATCTCTCTCATACACACAACATTCATACATTACAAGAGTAAATATTGCCATGGTGATAAATTCATTCCTTTTAACTTGAGGGAGATGTGTTTGCCTGATCTTGGAGGGGCAATATCTCTCCACCATAATATATCCATCACACATAACAACTGAATCTCATTGACACTAACAGCACACTCGCCCCCTGAAGGAAAACCTGCTCTGTCTCCTCAATCCTATTCAGGTTATTATACTATACAGAAATTTGATTTTGATACCTTAATGATTGATTTGTTGATCAAATATGATTTCATTAAAAAAAATTAAAATACTGATGCAATTAAACTTGAGAAACAAGTTTTCTTGCTCAAATTAGTTAATAATTTGTATCATCCAAATTCAGAAAAAAGCACTTAACATTTACATATTTTCTTACATTAAGAAAAAGAGGAAAAACAATACTTTTAGAGCTTGAAATTACTTTCACTATTTCATCAAAAATTTTTTTTAAATTTTCACTGATACACATTTTGATAATGAATGAGCATTGTGTTTTTGTGTTTATCTGGAAGCAAAAGTAACTTTGTTCTTTACTGCAGCTACTTCATTCCTTCATTTACAAAGTTAATCACCTATAGAGCTTAGGGGAAATCAGAATCTACGATCTACAGATGGTGAGTGCCCTGACATAATTCTCCATAACTGCTCCAGTTCCGCCAATTCCCAAGTAAGATTACACGACTTATTCCTCCAGACTTTCCCAGCAGTAGCTACAGAAGCCTATTTGATATAAAACAAACAATTTTGACATATGTGAGGAAAGGAGCTGTTTTATCTCTGCCTACATGGAAGGCTTCCAATTAGCTTCTCGATACAGGGCTTCTCCAGTTACACAGGATATGGGGATCCCTGCTGCCGAATTTGGCTTTGTACCTCTTACTGAAAGTTCTGGGAATGGAGTGTGAGGCAAAGGCAAATTGCAGTAGGGTTTATGGATCTCTTTGTACATCCAGAGAACTTTACTTTACGTGATATACAAGAGCACATTATTACTTTTAATAAATATTTTAAAAAAAACTTATTAATTTAATTTTTTTTCTAAATGTGATTGAAGCATTAATAAAATTTTCGAAAAGAAGAAAATAATTCTGGTTTTCAAAAATTCTTAACATGCATTGAAGGGGTAAAATGAATATGAAAGAATACACTATATACTTCTTGTACTGTGCCATTTATGATTAATTTTAAATAAAATTTATCAATATTATAAAGTAAACCTTTATATGACTGATTTTTTTTTCAACTCCATATTTGATATAATCATTCCCCAACTCCCATAACAGAGAGAAAACTTCCAAAGTTCTTAATATCCTGTAAATAAGAGCAAATACAAACAGACTCCCTCCCCTAGCAGTTCCCTAACCCCCTCCTGTGTTAATAATGACAACTCCATCATTGTTAACAATAAACAAACAAAGAAGTATTTTGCCTTGGTCTTATCACACTATTAGTGGCAAGAAATGGCACAGAAGCTCCAGCTGAGAGGAACACACAGCTGATATTTATGGTATTCTCCAGCTCTTGATTTGCAACAGATGGTAAACACAGCATTTGGAGAGTTAAGCATACAAAGTAACTTCAGAATTTTTTTTGGATGAATGCAATTGCATATTCCAGTACAGTCATTCTTCTATAGACAATTCATTGTCTTCTTGATGAAAACTTGGAAACTTTTTAAGTTTTTTCCCCCAATTAATAAATAAAAATGTTACTCAAACAATAAATAAAAATGTTAAGAAAATTAAATTTAAAAAAAAAGGTTAGATTAGGTATTTAAAAAAAGAAGAAGAAAATGTTCCCATATTTTTTACATTTTCCTGGAGAAATTAAAAGTGTATACAAACTTTTGCGTGCTCTTCTTCCCCGACTGCATAGGACAATTCTGTTTCCTCGAAACCTGTTGGATTCATTCTTTGGTCCATTGTCATCTGGGGCTGCGAACCTGGTGGTGGATCCGGAGAATTGAGGCATGTTTGAATAAGTGCTTTTCCACTGTCACTTGTGATCATAGGTTGTAATTTTCTTGTAGCAAAAGTATAGACATGTCCAGTTTCACTTGCCACTAGCAGCATTACTTGAGTGCCAGTAAGAGTCGACAATTCATAAGCCTGTTAAGAACAGTAATCAATTTTATTTTAAGTACTATAAACATGATAAATAACAAAATAATTTAAAAACTTTGGAATTAGACAGTCTAAAAAGAAAATTACAGAAAAGTTCTGACCTTTTTCATAATTCCTGTTTTGCGTTTGCTGAAAGTTGTATATCGCCTCAATTTATTTTCAATAAATTCCATTTTAATTTTGACTCTCCCCTTGGTCTTTTTCCCCGGCTTGAGCCCCTGGGGGTTAGTTGCCACAGATATTTCCCCTTCGGAGTCCGAATCCTCTTCCAAAGTCGAAGGATCGACATTTTCCATCGTAAACGCGTTCACCGCTCCCCCCGGGGCAGTGGGGAAGGCTGGCTGATTCAAATGTGTACCATTCATTGTTTTCAGTAAAATATGTCCAGTTACAACCTTTACTATCAACTGTTCATGAATGGAAGAATGAACTGACTGTACCTAATTTGCTCCTCGCCATAAACGGAATACCGGGCGAATCACAGCGAGTATATCAATGCGCGCAGAAATCTAGGTCATATTATTTATCGTCTTCGGATGTGGCAGACACGTTTAGATATCTCTGAAATGATTGTAGATTGCTTTCATTCTTGCTACATGTCCTAATGTATGATTTTCTATGTTCGGAATGTAGTTTTTCATTTCGCGAATTAATATTGACCAAATTTTGAGTAAATATGAGTTCCTTGTATGGCAATGTGGGGTTCCCATATATGGCGTCCACGGCCAAATATGGACTGGATAAAATCATATATGGTAACATGCAAATAAGCACCAACTATTTTCGCGCCAAGACATCATCTGAATGAAAATATATGTAAAACAATTAACAATTTATTGGAATAGGTTTTAAGACTATATCTTTTAAAGATCCGTGCGTAATGCATGAGCACTGACAATAAAAATTACATCATAATCACTCTCTCCACTTTCTCTTTCTGAATGTTCCCAAACCAAGTTTTAAATAATTTATTAAATTTCGCAACACTAATAGATCTAAATATTTTCCGACATACTCTTTCAATAATTATTGATTACTAGTATATGTACTTTTTCCTATACTTGTTCATTTACTTTTTGAGTGGAAAACGCATGATAAATAGCCCCCCCCCCCCCATTCTATAAAGTTTTCGTCACACCAAACTTAGCAGCCTAGAAGAAATTAATAATTCTACTTGAATTTTTTTCTCGGGGAATGAATGTATCTATAGATTTTCTTCTCTCCTTTTACATCTGGGGATTTCCTAGCTTTGAAAATAAGTTTACGGTGGTTTTTCGTCACAGACGCTTGTAACCCCCCCCCCCTTCTGAATACACATCCTAACAGTTTTCATAATTATTTTTTTAACTTTATAATACCACTCTTTTTAAATAAAGCGTTAAGTCTGCGTTATATATATTTTAGATTTTTCCTGGAATACATTCAAATACGTAATAGAAGAATAAATGGGGAAAAACTGAAAAATATATTTTGACCTGGGGTGTATATTCGGGCTTAAAACAAGAAAGAACCTGTGGTTTTCATTACTTACAATGAATGTTTATTTTGCCAAGATCTTAAAACTAAGCTAAAAATACAAAAATCAAGTGCATTTACAAAATTACTTCCCCGTGGGACAGTTTCTGATTTTAAAACTAGAAGTCTTTTGTTCACGAACAAATAAAATTTATAACTGATTATTATCAAAATTACTCACAATCTTTTTAGGATTCTCACGCAAATATATCACTGTGTTTATACATTAATACCTCAAATAAATGAATTAATATCTTAATATTTCAATATTTCTCCTTTTCAGAGAGAGAGAGAGAGAGAGAGAGAGAGAGAGAGAGAGAGAGAGAGAGAGAGAGAGAGCGAGAGATCACATACTATTATGTGAGTTCATACTGGGCGAATATTTATTTTAAAAAAAAGATACTGGTTCTTTGAAAGTTGCTTAACAAAGAAGATGGGGGATAAGAATTCTTAATGAGCTATGCACATTGTAGCGTAGTGGTTAACGCGTTAGTCTCAAAGAAATATATGATACATGCACTGGATTTTTATTGCTAGAGTTCGAATCCCACGAAAACTATCTTATATTTTAATAAAAAAAAAATATTTTTTTTCCGAGATTTTTTTCTCTCGGAAAAGTTTTGTTTCTCATAAATTCAATAATGCGAACTTAATCTAAATATATGTACTTAATTCACAAAATGAATATGATTTCTTTATATCTGAAGCTATAAGGAATCATTCTGTATCTTCTTTTAAAGAGAAAGTAGAAAAATAATAAAATTCGGATAAATTAAATATTGACGTGGTGAAATCAATATTATTGTTCGCATCATAATAAAACAAAATAGATTTTGTTCTTTTTGTACTATTTAATTAATTTCTATGATACGTTAAATGTATATAAAAATATAGTATACCACAAATAGAGTCGATTGGCTACGAACAAGAGGCTCATGGGCCACATGGCTCACCTGAGCACATCACACAAGCTAGGTAAAAACACAAATCAGCACAGTATTGAAAAGTTAACCTGGGGGAGGGGGGCTTGAATTTTAAACTTCTTTAGGTTGCTACCAAATCAATATAGCATACATGTATGACTTTGTCGTTCTTGAAAAGAAGATTTTTAAAAAATCCTTCCTACATATTACCTTGTAAAAAAAAAAAGAAGATCTCCCTTTGTGCCCCTTCTCCGGTCATGATTTGAAAAAAAAAATTGAATCTTTACTATACATGCGGATGCATACATGTCAATTTGACTAAACATATAACTATTTTGTTCTGGGGAAGATTTTTTCTTATGCAAAACTTCTTATGTAAAACTTCCATTGGTTCCATATATTAAACTGTAAACTGAAATTCTTGAGAAGATTTTTAAAAGATGCCACTAATTTTTCAATAATTCATAATTATTTACCTCCCCCTGGAAGAAGGCGTGACCCATCATTTGAACAAACTTGGGAGTCATGATTTGAATATATTTGTCTTTGACCGAATCCAAACAATTTACCTTTTGAGATTATTTCCATTCTAATTCTAGTTCCATATATTAAACTGTAAACTTAAATTCTTGAGAAGAAGATTTTTAAAAGATGCCACTAATTTTTCAATAATTCTTAATTAATTTATCTCCCCCTGGAAGAGGGCGTGACCCATCATTTGAAGAAACTTGAATCCCCTTTTCCCAAGGATACTTTGTGGCATGTTTGATTGAAATTGGCACAGAAGATAAAAATTAAAAGAAATCCGGAGAATTAGCGATTGTGCATGTCGATTAGACTTTTCTCGGCATATAAAATATCCGGTGTGCATAAGCCGAGCCGGATGCAGGGCATGTAAAAGTTTAATGTTTATTTATTGACTTCTTCATAACTGAAGAGTGATAAAGTGCTATGTAAACGTTAGGGTCCAAAGTCCTTCCCTACAAATCCACGTTTATCAAGTAAGATTTTATCAAAGTCAATCTGTCGTATTTGAAGAAAGGGGGGGGGTAGGTTGTTGACGAAATAAAAAAAATCTTATCATCTTGCAATAGTTTTGATAAGAGAATTATTGATTGACTTTTTTATTTATTGAAGGGCCAAACTTTCGTCAGTTTTGTAACTGTCTAGGCCTAATACAGGCAGTCACTAAAATTCGCATGTATTGCTCTTCCATACACCAGCACAAATGTAGCAGAAAATTGTAGAATTGCTCCAAACAATTTTGGAAACAGTAAATGAAGAGACAGTGAGAACATCTATGATTTCAACAAATATTCATTCAATGAATTGATACTGAATGTGACATTATGTATTACTTCTATAACTATTGAAGTGGGGGTGGGGGGGGGGGTTGTTTTTTGCATCGGCATCCAAGGGTAATGTTTCTGGAGCAGTTTGTTTTTGAATACTTCTTTATTTATCCTTTATTTATCAAAGAACATGAAATTGAAAGATGCTTCTAGTGTGTTTCATTGTACCAGTCATGATTTCAGATGACCAGATTAATGTTTTTAGAGCAGCTAGGTTAAGGTGTTAGTATGGTTAGGAGAAGGTTAAAAGTTTTGAACATTCCAATTTACTATAAGCCCTATGTTGACCAAATTTGCTTGGATAAGACGTTTAAGGATACACGCTACCTGGGTGTGATTCAGATGCTGGATTAATTGACCTAAATTTTCCAGATGAGTGAGCAGGTTAGAATTTTTAGAAGTTGGTTTATTTCTAAAATAACTATAGTATAGTTCCCATGTTGACAAAACTTACTTGGATGATAATCTAAGGGTGAACAGTACCAGACTCGATTTGGAGGCTGGATCTTACCTACAACATCCAGATGAGTGACCAGGTTCAAGTTTTTCGAGCATGTTGGTGTCCAGTGTCTATCCATCTGGCTGTCTGTCTAAACACAATTTTTCAAAACATTCAAAAAGAGATTTAATGTCCCCTTTTACAAAAGCGGGGGGCCAAAAATGAATTAATAGATATTTGCTTATCTAATCTGTAGACTCAACTGAGCTTTTCTGATCAGAGCTAGCTGCAGAACTGTAGCTCTCGGAAAAAAATATATATTGACAGACCGGAGAGCTACAGTGCCACCCATTGAAAAAACTGTATATTTATTGCGCACAAAAATGTGCGCTTGATTCTGGATTATTTCTTCCAAATTTTTCCCTCAATTGCAAAAAAAACTAGATTTCAAAAAAGTTCTTACTCCTCTATCAATTCAATTTCTCTCTTAGTTTACATATGTACAAAATGGCAGTATAAAAAGGCGAAATTTCGTTGATCTCAAATTCAGGACTAGGAGGGCTTTTAAAAACAATTATAAGGAATGTTTTGTAGTGGAAACATTGAAAGAATATGTTCGGAACACACAGTTAGTAACATTTTGATATGACAGTCTTAAAAACATGGAGAAATAAATCGAGAAACAACACACTTTTTTGTGCGCAATAAATATACAGTTTTGTCAATGGGTGGCATTGTAGCTCTCCGGTCTGTCAATATATTTTTTTTTTCGGAGAGCTACAGTTCTGCAGCTAGATCAGAGCATGATCTGTGAAATTCTTATAGAAACATCCTTAGGTATTATGAATTCAGGTTTCCACAAATCACTACCCAAGCTTGGGATAGGGTTGAATCCACAATTTGTGGTCACAGATTTACATAGGAATATGTAGGAAAAATCTTTGAAGTATCCTATATCCACTAGAATAGTCATCTGTGGGTATCAGCATATATTTAGAAGGATAACAAGGATAACAATCTTAAATTTTTTCTTTGACAAAGGAAAGGCCAGGGTCAATAAAAGTTGGAGAAGATAAATAGTTCTCTCCAAAATGTATCAGCATTTAAGGTTGGTGAAAATATCTTGAATAGCTTCTTTGAAACTGAGTGGAACACTAGATTAAGAAATGTGAGGTCAAGGTCAAAGGGGGGGTCAAGGTAAAAACTGATGCCCTTGAATAGCTCTCATTAGTATGTTTAACCAATAAGACTTGATACAAATGTCAATTAAGCTTTTGTGAAAATGAGATGTAAATAAAGGTAAGCTCAATAAAAAGGTCAAGTTCAAAAATTGTTATAAATATGTATTAGCATAAGCATCTTTTAAAATATCTTATTAATAATAAATAGTTTCATTGAAACTTAACTATGCATTTTGTAAAATGTGAAGACAATGGTCAAAGGAAAAGTCAAGGTCAAAAAGGTTATAAATGAAATTTAAGAGTTTTTAGCAATATGTAACATCAAGTAAGATTTCATGAAAATACTTTGAATTGTTACTTTGAGACTAAACACTAAATTTGGAAAGATCAGGTCAAGGTCAAAGGGAAGGTATTACCGTAAACAATATTGATGTGTTTGAAACATTTCATGAGTAAGAACCAGCATATGAAATTTAATAAAATTAGCTTGATTAGTTTTTTAAAAGTGAGCTAAACAAAAATTGTGACAAAAGGATGGAGGGACACAACAAACACTTTAGGCCCGGCAATATTCACAGTGAGCATAAAAATCGTTTTAATATCATTTTCTTAAGAAGAGCAAAGCCATGATTAGTCATATTTGTATGAAAGCATCCTTAGATAGTGTAGGTACAATTTAATTCCAGTCATGTTGACCCCTAAGGGGGGGAGGGGTCACAGTATTGATCTTAATTTTACACAGGATTATAAAAGATTAAATAAAAAATCTGTTTACATAGAACATAAGGGTCACTTTGACTCAAGTGACATACATGAAATGGCCTATGGGCCTCCTATGAAATATTAATTTATGCTGTTTAACTGCTTTGTGATCTCTCTTTCATATTTATTCTACTAGGATCCTTAGAAGGCTTACCTAATTTTTTTGTATATACTGACACGCAAAAGAAACGCAACACCCTACTTTACTGGGAAATAATTATGTAAAGTAAAGAATTTTGTATCATAAAATTATGAATATCTTCAAATTAATAAACATCGCTAATTTAACGGTTGAAAGATTTCCATACCAAACCCGAAGTCAAGTTTGAGGCTGCTTCACAGAAATCAGAAATTGCATGTTTAACAAAAGATATGGCAATATTATGGACTTTTAAGGGTTTTTTAGGGTTCATCATAATAATGCAGCAATATTTCAAGAAATAAAGTCTCCTTTCGTTTCCCGTAACGATATTAAGGCTACTTGAAAATGGCTTATGTACGCATTTCCATTGCTCTAGCTGGAAAATTTCAATGTAAAAGTGATGGAGATTTGCTGATGCGAAATTTCACTACATTACGCCTCAACAGGGTCTTACGTATCATATGCATCAAGGACAGTCTTTGTATCGGAAGTCCAAGGGTGGCTACACTGCTTTAAGTTAGAGAAAATTCGACCTAATCATCTGAAAAACGGGCATTTAAAAATGCCAAAGATTAAACCTTTAGATCTCGATATTAATGAACCTATTGTATCGTAGAAATTAAGCTGCAATTGTTGTTTAGGGCAGTCTTGCACTTTTTACTTGCATGGCTCGGAGGGGGGTGTTTTAACAGTCATATTTTACATAGTAAAGTAAACATATGAACATTAACATTTTTATCAAATCTCTGATGTTCTGAAAAGTGAGTTTAGCCTTATTTTATTCGCTTTTGAAAATCATTACATAAAAAAAAATCACATTTGTAGATTACTGCTTGTTGCGTTTCTTTTGCGTGTCAGTATAATAATAGTCACCATGTACCAATACATATCTTTGATATTAAAGAACAATTTGAATCAAACTTTAATGTATTCTAGATGGAATTTGATAAATTACAGATTAATGCTGTATTTTTTAGCAAGAATTTATTATTTAATAAAACTAAGTATTTTTGTTTAAGAGGTCCATGTAGACAAAAAATCCTGATGTAAGTTTACAACAGACAGGCAGATGGGCAATAGAGTAACTTCTTTTGGAGAGTAAACTGGCTCAAATGAACCAGAGTGTTTTATTGAGGATGGGGGTAAATACTGTGTTTTCATCAATATTCGCTGAGCACCAATTTGGGAGGCATTCGTTGTTCAAAGCAGATCCACAAAATTAAATGTTCATTGAATTGAGAAATGTGTTATTCATATGTATAGACAATGCTTCAGTCCACGAAATTACGTATCCTCGAAAACATCTGATCTACAAAATTCACAAAAATTGATGAAATAACAGTATTGCTTGGTATATATACAATATACACTGAAGCATTGACCATTGAATGACCCTAGTGATTGCTGTCATTTGCTGAGTATACAAACAAGCTCCTATAATCTTACTGTTGTCACGTACTGTACCAGGTAATCTGTGTTGGGTATAATTTTTATTATAGTGACACATGGTTCATAAAAATCTGTGATAAATTTGTTTTAGGTTGGTGTATACATGGACTTTGAACACAAACAGTTGGATTGTCTATCTATAAGAATATTTAAGATACAGTTCCTGTTTACCTTAATTTAGCCTTGTAACACATCAGTCTGTGGCTGACACTAGTTCAGATGTCTAGACTCAGAAGGATAAACAGGTTCATCTGAAAGGTAAGTTGTAATTGTTCACTGCGCCACTCAGGTTATATCTTATAAAGATATATATCTATAAAAATGGATTTAGTTGTAATTAAGGAATAGTTATTGATAATATTAATTAACCTTGAAATCACTAAATATATATGAATATTAAAGTTGTAATAAATTTAAGTACTTTAAATGTCATTATATCTGTTACATTCTCAAAAATTAATGATTGCCATTAAGAAACTGCAAATGAACATTTTCATGCTCTGCAATTGATCCTACATTAGAAAAACCTGACAAACATTAGAAAAACAATTTTAAAAAATTGCCCTGCCCCCCCCCCCCCAAAAAAAAAATTGACCTCCCTCCTAAACACACATTTAACAAAAAATTCCTAAACACCTCCCCCCCCCCTTACTTGCAGATTCATTTGTTCAAATTGGTGAAACCATAAGGATGGGGCTACATTAGGGGATAACAGTTTTTCTAATGTTTGTAAAAATATCATTAAAATATTTTAATGAAATTTTTACTGAAACAGCAAGGCCATTAGTTATATTGGTATTTAGAATCTTGAGAATGCCTGTTGTGCCACCTGGGACTAGGGTGGGGCAAAAGGATGGGGTCATGGGAATATTGAGTGGAAAACCTTTCGAAATAAAACAGTGTTTTGAAGAATAGCTGTGAGAGCATAAATGACTTCATAAGATGTATGCAGTGATCAAGCATGGAAGAAAACATTATGTTTCAATTTGCAAAATATAATTTAACCAAATTTCATAAGGGTTGAAAACTCTTGTATGAAATAGGGACTGTATTCATGAATATCAGCAAGAAAAAACAAATATGTCAAGACAATTAGCTGTAATAATGCACAAACGTACAACTATGCAGCTTTATAGTGTCAGGGATTGTTAGAAATCTCTCCAGTAACTTGTGTATTTAAGCTAATTTGTTGATAATTGTACCTATTTTACTGGCACCCTCTCTTGACAGGATGAGTGTAAGACATAGTGTCAGGAGGCTGTGGCCATCCTGTAGAGGGGCAATAACTCTGGCAAGTCATCCATGCAGACCATGCCTGGGAGCTCTAGCATGTACAGACCCAAGGAAGGCAGGAATACAGATCAACAGTGGTCAGTATAAAGTTAACAAGTACCAATTTTTTTTCCTAATGTAAATTCAGTAAGTAAGCAGCCTCATGCAGGCCATCTATGAAAACTAGCTGTTTTTTTGTCTAGTTGTTTATCTAGCTATCTGTCTGTCTAGTTGTTTGACTATCTAGCTATCTATCTGTCTAGCTGTTTGTCTATTTGTTAGTGCCTCTAGCTGTCTTCTGTCTTGCTGTTTCTCTATCTAGCTATCTGTCTAGCTGTTTATCAAGCTATTTGTCCCTCTAGCTGTCTTCTGTCTAGCAGTCTGTCTATTTAGCTATCTGTCTTTCTATAGTTGTTTTTCTCTCTTGCTGTCTGTCTAGTTGTTTATCTATCTAGCTTTCTATCTATATAGGGTTTTTCTATCTAGCTGTCTGTCTAGTTGTTTATCTATCTAGCTTTCTATCTATATAGTGTTTTCTATCTAGCTGTATGTCTAGTTGTTTGTCTATCTAGCTCTCTGTCTGTCTAGTTGTTTATCTATCTAGCTGTATATCTATATAGTGTTTTCTATCTAGCTGTATGTCTAGTTGTTTATCTATCTAGCTGTATATCTATATAGTGTTTTTCTATCAAGCTGTCTGTCTAGTTGTTTATCTATCTAGCTCTCTGTCTATCTTATTATGTTCCCCAAACGAAGTTGGGGAACATATTGTTTTTACTCTGTTTCTTATTATTATTATTATTATTTTTCTTCTTCTTCTTCTTCCTGGGTACTTTTTTGTCCGGGAATGATCTCGTAAACTATACATCCGACTAAGGTGAAATGTTTTTAGGGTCAGTAGACATGTTATGTAGATTTGCGGAACGAAGGTCATTTTGCGCGCACGTGCTTGCAAGAGCGTGCACGTGCAACATGTGAAATGACCGATTTAATTGATATAGGTGTAACTTTTTAAATTTTTGATGAAATGCTTTAAAACTTATAACATAAGGATATATTAGTAGCATAGACAATATGACATGGTCAAAATAGCAAGATCTCACGCGCATGCACGTGCGCTTTGCTCTGATTGGCTGAAACTAAAGTCTCAATATCTTTCTTGTTTTTTGACGAAATCCTTTGCAATTTTGAAAATAGCCATGCATTACAATATCCTACAATATGATATATAGCAATTATCATGAAAACACGTGCATGCACGTGCGCTGCAATCTTATTGGCTGAAACTTTAAATAGCTATAACTCCTTTGATTTTCAACCAAACAGGATGGGATTTGGAACATAGATAGATATACTGGTCTACTACAAGAAAATATGGTCACCATGCACATGCATACACGTGCATGTACGTGCACTGCAATCTGATTGGCTGAAACTTTAAATAGCTATAACTCCCTTGGTTTTCAACCAAACGGGGTGGGATTTAGAACATAGATAGATGTAACGGACATCTACAAAAAGGTATGGTCACCATGCTCAAGTATGCACGTGCGTGCACGTGAAATGAGCAAAATCCAAAAAACACTTGAATGAGTGCATCTTTTTTAATACTTTTGGATTAAATATTTTAATATTTAGTATATTAAAATATATAGATTGTGTAGACAAGATGATATGGTCATTACACACATGCATTCACATGCGCACGTGTGCAATGCTAAAATTTGAATGAACTTTGTACACTTCTGGGTAAACGTAGTTAAAGTCTCAAATGCATCGAGTGTGTCTTATTTAATGAAGCTTCCAGGGAATATGGCACAAAAAGGGAGTTGGGGAGCGTTTGGGGAACATCTGTAACGGTCCCCGTTACAATTAGCACTAGTTGTTTTTCTCTCTAGCTGTCTGTCTAGTTGTTTGTCTATTTATCTGTCTGTCTAGTTGTTTGTCTATCTTGCTACCTGTCTGTCTAGTTGTTTATCTAGCTATCTGTCTGTCTAGTTGTTTGACTATCTAGCTATCTGTCTGTCTAGGTGTTTGTCTATTTGTTAGTCCCTCTAGCTGTCTTCTGTCTAGCTGTTTCTCTAGCTAGCTATCTGTCTAGCTGTTTATCAAGTCATTTGTCCCTCTAGCTGTCCTCTGTCTAGCAGTCTGTCTATTTAGCTATCTGTCTTTCTGTAGTTGTTTCTCTCTCTTGCTGTCTGTCTTGGTGTTTAATTATCTAGTTTTCTATCTATATAGTGTTTTCTATCTAGCTGTATGTCTAGTTGTTTGTCTATCTAGCTCTCTGTCTGTCTAGTTGTTTATCTATCTAGCTGTATATCTATATAGTGTTTTCTATCTAGCTGTCTGTCTAGTTGTTTATCTATCTAGCTGTATATCTATATAGTGTTTTTCTATCAAGCTGTCTGTCTAGTTGTTTATCTATCTAGCTCTCTGTCTATCTTATTGTTTTTCTCTCTAGCTGTCTGTCTAGTTGTTTGTCTATTTATCTGTCTGTCTAGTTGTTTGTCTATCTTGCTACCTGTCTGTCTAGTTGTTTATCTAGCTATCTGTCTGTCTAGTTGTTTGACTATCTAGCTATCTGTCTGTCTAGGTGTTTGTCTATTTGTTAGTCCCTCTAGCTGTCTTCTGTCTAGCTGTTTCTCTAGCTAGCTATCTGTCTAGCTGTTTATCAAGTCATTTGTCCCTCTAGCTGTCTTCTGTCTAGCAGTCTGTCTATTTAGCTATCTGTCTTTCTGTAGTTGTTTCTCTCTCTTGCTGTCTGTCTTGGTGTTTAATTATCTAGCTTTCTATCTATATAGTGTTTTCTATCTAGCTGTATGTCTAGTTGTTTGTCTATCTAGCTCTCTGTCTGTCTAGTTGTTTATCTAACTAGCTGTATATCTATATAGTGTTTTCTATCTAGCTGTCTGTCTAGTTGTTTGTCTATCTAGCTCTCTGTCTGTCTAGTTGTTTATCTATCTAGCTGTATATCTATATAGTGTTTTTCTATCTAGCTGTCTGTCTAGTTGTTTATCTATCTAGCTGTATATCGATATAGTGTTTTTCTATCTAGCTGTCTGTCTAATTGTTTATCTATCTAGCTGTATATCTATATAATGTTTTCTATCTAGCTGTCTGTCTAATTGTTTATCTATCTAGCTGTATATCTATATAATGTTTTCTATCTAGCTGTCTGTTTAGTTGTTTGTCTATCTAGCTCTCTGTCTGTCTAGCTGTTTCTCTATCTAGCTTCCTGACTATCTTATTGTTTTTCTCTCTAGCTGTCTGTCTAGTTGTTTGTCTATGTACATGTATCTGTCTGTCTAGCTGTTTCTCTATCTAGCTTCCTGACTATCTTATTGTTTTTCTCTCTAGCTGTCTGTCTAGTTGTTTGTCTATATACATGTATCTGTCTGTCTAGTTGTTTCTCTATCTAGCTACCTGTCTGTCTAATTGTTTTCTCTCTAGCTGTCTGTCTAGTTGTTTGTCTATTTATATGTCTGTCTAGTTGTTTGTCTATCTTGCTACCTGTCTGTCTAATTGTTTTCTTTCTAGCTGTCTCTCTAGTTGTTTGTCTATTTATCTGTCTGTCTAGTTGTTTGTCTATCTTGCTACCTGTCTGTCTAATTGTTTTCTTTCTAGCTGTCTCTCTAGTTGTTTGTCTATTTATCTGTCTGTCTAGTTGTTTGTCTATCTTGCTACCTGTCTGTCTAATTGTTTTCTCTCTAGCTGTCTCTCTAGTTGTTTGTCTATTTATCTGTCTGTCTAGTTGTTTGTCTATCTAGCTACCTGTCTGTCTCATTGTTTTCTCTCTAGCTCTCTGTTTAGTTGTTTGTCTATTTATCTGTCTGTCAAGTTCTTTGTCTATCTTGCTACCTGTCTGTCTAATTGTTTTCTCTCTAGCTTTATGTCTAGTTGTTTGTCTATTTATCTGTCTGTCTGGTTGTTTGTCTATCTAGCTACCTGTCTGTCTCATTGTTTTCTCTCTAGCTGTCTGTCTAGTTGTTTGTCTATTTAGCTTTCTGCCTGTATAGTATTTTTTCTAAGTAGCTGTCTGCCTCTTAATATAGCTGTCCATCTGTGTAGTTGTTTTTTTCTGTTTGTCTTTTAGCTGCCTGGCTTTCTGTGTAACTAGCTAGTTGTACATGTTTGACTGTCTAGTTGGCTGACTGTCTAATTGTTTGTCCTCCTAGCTGTCTTTCTATATTGTGATTGTCTATATATCTGTCTGCCCCTCTATAAAGCTGTCCATCTGTCTTGTTTGTTTGTCTAGCTTTGTCTTTGTAACTGTCTGATTTTTTTATGTAACTAACAAGTGGTTTGTCTTTGTAGTTGTCTTTGTTATTAGATTTTTAGTGTATTTGTTTTTTTTTTGTCACTGTCTGTCAGCTGTTTGTCTTTCTACTGTCTGTCTGTGTAGTAGTTTGTTTATGTAGGGATTAATTTTCTGTGTATCAGTCTAGGTTTTATCTGTCTATCTGTCTATTTGTTTATGTAACACTCTCTATCTTTGAGGTGGAATTCTTAATTAATCAATTTTTAAAACAAAAATGAAGCATTTTTGAATCAATTCTTCTGCATTTTGACTTAGGACAGATGTTTCCGACAACTTGCTTCAGAGTGTATTGTTCAAGCTCTGCTTTCCCAGAAAAGGTAAACACTTCTTTTGTAATGATATCTGCACATATCGTAATTTTATAGTCTTTGTTATAATAGAATTCAAGCACAATTATTAAATTACAAAGGAAGCTGCATTAAAATGATAAACATTAGAGAGTTCTATCCAAACTGTAAAATTCTGCTCAAATGAGACCATGGTTCAAATTCCAGGTTAGTCCAAAGTTTTCATGGCCTGGGAAACTCATAATATTCAGGTGACTGTCAAGGCCCATGGGCCTCATTTGTGTGCAGAATTTTTAGAATGTTGAATTGCATAAGAGGTTATTTATAAATAAGGTTATTTACAAATGACTTGTGTTTTCACCAGGGTTTTTGCACTGTGGTGCACCAAAGCATTAGATTATAGTAAATCACAAATTTTGTAAAATTGAAAAAATAAAGTTAACAGGTTGGCATAAATTAAGGATTAGCTGGGTGACCAACTTTCCTCAAGTACCCGGTATATGATTATCATCTATTCCAGAATAAAGAAATAAAAGTTTTAGCTGAAGATGGAGGTCAAAAGGTGAAGATAACTTGGAAAAATGGTACAGAATCAATGTAAGTCTAAGAATAATTCATCCTATATCAAAGTCAGTAAACTGTGCTTTAATTGCTTTTATTTTGTACAAAAGAATTAGAATGAATTGGGACATTGAAAATCTTTTACTTCAATTTTTTTTCTTCACATTTTATTCACATCAACACACAAGTTGAACTCACATACTTTATTTTTATTTGGAAATATTTTTATAAATCATTTCTGTTGTTATTAAACTTTTTGAGTTAATATTTCAGCTTCCATAGCATTTGGTTGAGAAACAACTGTCATTGTCCTGAATGTAAGCAGGATCACTCAGGTCAGAAGCTGATGGACGTTGGTCAGATAAGATACGACACGACAGTCCAAAAAGTCACAATGTCAGGTGATCAAATGTAGTCGATATTGATTGATGCTGGTTTTAATACCTGACAATCTGCTTTGTATCTCATAATGGAGGATAATTCTTTATTTAAGTCTAGATCTGCCATCTTTAAGTTGATCATGGAGTGTATGTTGTCTGTATAACTGAAAATATTTCACATTTATCAACTTCTTCTCTGAAACCACAAGGTCAATTTCAGCCAAACTTGCCTTATCAAGACATTCTTGGATGAAGAGAATTCAAGTTTGGTCAAAAGAAATGCCACTGCCTCTTTCAAAGGGAGATAATTCATAATTAACTTTGATGACATCTTTTTAAAAACTTTTTTCTCAAAAATGACTGAGCCAGAACAGACTTTTCTGAGAAATATATAGAAAACTAGAAATAAGTCTTATATAGGACATGATTCAAATGATGGATTCAAGGGATAGGGAGGAGGGGGCACAAAACCGGATCAAATCTTACAAAAAACAGAAGGGTTTTGATTATGCAATTATTCTTCGATTCAAGTTTGTTTAAATTTTGGCCCTCTTTAGAGAGAAAGAGTTGTTACAGTAAGAATTCAGATTTTAAAAGGAAATAGTGAAAAAATTTCCTTTTGAAAAATCCATTTGAAAAGTAGCAGGTCTAAAATTGCATTTATTGGATAAGAGTTTTTCATATGGATGAAATGGAAGATAGGTTTTTTTTTATATGATTGTGAACAGCATGGCCAAAATGAATCAATAAGCAATGTGATCTATGGGCCTATTATTATCTGTATTGACAAGTATACCTATCATAAATTCCAAAATTCAAAGAAAGAAGACATTACAGGTTTCTCAAATCTCAGATTGATTAACCTTACAAAATCACTTTATGATATCCCACATCTTGATTTTACAAACAATCTTGACCATAGATCAAGTGGTCCTACAGTCAAAATGCATTTTGTACTTTGACTATCTGATAAACAAAATATTACTAATGCTTTTATTTACATGTATATTAAATCACATTTCTTTGTGCTTATATATAATCATGTAAATAATAAAATCTTCTGACAAAAACACTATATTCAAATTCTGATGAGCAGAAAAATTGTGTGGTAATTATAAGACTGAAAACACAGAAAAAAAGCAAACTTCTTTATTTTCACATTGTTGCTTTTATCCTTATGTGGCAGTGTTTCATTTTTAGGTGACAGTAAACTCAAAATACTATGGTCCGATAAACACAGCGGAGAGCTGCCCCTGGATTTTCTTGTAGAGCATGGCTACTCTGATCTGACCAATGATTTTAGGCCTTCTACCATGGTCAGCAAGCCAAAGTCCTACCCCACACTGGACTTCTCTAAAGTCATGTCTGGACAACAAGGAGTTCTTCAGTAAGGATCTCTTAAATGTTTTTCGAATCAATTTAAATTTTGTGATTATTTAAATCAAAATTTTGCAAATTAAAATTAATATACTGTGCAATAGAAGAGAAAGGTAAATGAGCAAGCTGGCTATTATATTGTAAGTTTAAGTGTTCCTAAGTTTATGATGCTTTAAGAATTAAAAAAATAACCTCTTGACAACATTAGAAAATAATTAAGTATTTTTATGCCCCAAAAGAAGTAAGATATGGACATGTTTTTGACATCTTTGTCCTACATGTCTGTGAAAACTTAAAGCGGCACAGTGAGTCAAAATCATATCTTAATTTTAAGATTCTGTAGCATACAGAGAAAGACTTACGAAAATTATGAATATAGCGAAGATATGACAATTCAACTGCAAGAATTGACTGCACAATATAAGTGCCGGAAAAACAAAGGTTGTATTAACCGTTTCATTGTTTCGTATATGTCAAGGTCACGCTACTCTTATTTTTAGCTCAAACTTGTAAACAAAATTCAACTGGAGCATGCAAAGGTGAGAAATATGTTCTAACAACTTTTTAAAAAGATTGCATCAAATTTTTTGGTTTACTTATATTCATTCGTGGATACCTGAGACCATGGTAACTATGGAAACTTATTAAACACTTTTCTGCGCACGCGTATGATAGGAAGGAAGAAGTAGGGTATTTTGCAATATTTTCGTTTGGGGCAGACAGAAATTATTTTTACTTTTATTTTTCCCCATAAAATTTTAATTTTTAGGTTCTGAAACCTGTAATTTTCTGAAACCTAATACTTTAAGGAATGGAACAAAATTTACAGAGGTCATGCGAAAATTCTACATTTGTCAATTTTCCCCCTTGTGCGTCACTGTGCCACTTTAAATACTGCAAATGACATTAAAAATATAATAGCTTGCTTTTAAGCTCACCTCAACAAAGTTGGGGGAGCTTATGTAATACCCTCGGCGTCGGCGTCCCGGGTTAAGGTTAAGTTTTTTGGAGCAGTTTTCTTTTTAAGTACTTCTGTGTCCTTTATTGATTAGACATGCATGGAAGATGTTTCTAGTGTGTTTCATTGTACCAGTCAAAGTTTGAGATGCTGCAATTTCAGCAAAGGAATGACCAGGTTAATGTTTTTGGAGCAGGTTAACATTTTTGGTGCAGTTTTTGGTGTAGGTCTCATTTCCGAGTAACTATATGCCCTATATTGACCAAACTTGCATGGATGGTACATCTTAGGATGCACTACCAGGCTTGCTTTGGATGTTTAATCTTGCCTACATTTTCCGCATGAGTGAACAGGTTTATGTTTTCGGTGCAGGTCTCATTTCCAAGTAACTATGAGCACTATAGTGACCAAACTTGCATGGATGATACATCTAAGGATGCATACTACCAGACTTGCTTTGGATGCTGAATCTGACCTACATTTTCTGGTTGATTGAACAGGTTAAAGTTTTTGGTGCAGGTTTCATTTCCAAGTAACTATGAGCCCTATAATGACCAAACTTGAATGGATAGTACATCTAAGGGTGCATTCTACTAGGCTGGCTTCAGATGCTGAATCTGAACCTACGTTTTCTGGATTAGTGAAACGGTTAGTTTTTTTACACAGGTTTCATTTCCAAGTAACTTTGAGCTCTATGTTGAGCAAACTTGCATGGATGATACATCTTAGGATGCACACTAATGGACTTGCTTCAGATGCTGAATTCGACATACATTTTTCAGATAATGGACCTGGTAAAAGTTATGGGTGCAGGTCTATTACCAAGAAACTATAAGGCTTATATAAACCAAACTTGCACAAATGATGCATCAAGGGATGAAAACTCTCAAACTTGCTTCAGATGCTGGATTTTAATTACGTTTTCATGATGAATAACTAGTTCGAAGTTTTAGATTTTGCATTTTTGGATATTCACTTTTTGTTGGTTAATTATGTGACTTTGCCTTACTTAAAGACAACATTCGTTGAGGTGAGCTCTGTAATCTCTGATTACCTATGTTTAATTACAGGTGGCTAAGAGATCTGAATGAATATGGTGTCTGTTTGTTGAAGAATGTGCCATTAGAAGAGGGAATGGTTTGCAAGGTTAAATGATATGAATTTTTCACGTTGGTTAATCTCATGAAATTGAAAATGCTTTGGCTCACTAGAGCTAAAGGCTAATGGGAGATTTTCTGATGGAAATTTGTCTTTTCTTGTTATTGTCCTAGCTCATGAACTTTTTACAATTCAACTTCTTAACAACCAGTGGATTAATTTCCACCAAACTTAGAATAGGGTATCCTTGGAAGAAGGGAATTTAAGTACAGTGTATTCAAATTAGAACCATGGGGAGATAACCAAGAAAAAAAAAATAGAGTGAGACTATTTTAAAATCTTAAAACCACTGGATCAGAAAAGATTAAAATCAGTTGGAGGCTTCCTGACATAGTTTAGATTTAAATTTGATCATATCATGATCAACATTGGAGGGGTGGGGCCACGATAGAAAGTTTTACATTGGAACTATTGGTAATTAAAAAAAAAATCTGATGAAGAACAGGAGCACCTTGATTAATCATACTGATGTGGAAACACTTCTCTGGTAGTGTAGATATAAGTTTACACAAATCATAGACCTCTGAGTTTGGGTTAGACCATGATAGATCAAGCAATTCATGTGTCACTCAGTATTGAGTAAATATTTTTAAAAACACCTCCCCTTCTCCATGATTAGTAGACTTATTTATAAAAGAGCATTTCTGTACTTCCATAGTCATATTAACATGCAAACATCCAAGGTAGATGATAACCCCAAGGCTAAGGTATAGTGTAAATACAGGAGATTGAATGAATAATAAGATAATTTTAAAATCTTCTCAAGAACAACATGGCCATGCAATATGATAAGACATATTAACATGCATGTTTATTGAGATGATACAGTTTTTTCAATGGGTGGTACTGTAGCTCTCCAGTCTGTAAATATATATTTTTCGTAGAGTTACAGTTCTGCAGCTAGGATTTGCTGTATTAAAAAGATGCTTAATACCAATCTAGTTGGGACTTAAAATAATTTTACTTGTTTTTCATCTGTAACTTTCATATACTGTAAACGTATTACATTTGGCTGTGTATTCTTTTGAGCGCTTTTGGCGGAAAGACACTTATGCTAATTCAAGTACAACGCTAAATGTTTTGTACTTATAAACGTAAATAAGAAGGATAAGAAATATGGTAAATTAAATCTACGCTAACTTGTTCAAAACTCAATTTCCGCCAAATATCGTACACGCTAAATATAATACATTTACAGTATATTACATAAATGGGTATGTAAGAACTCATGAGAAATATTATTGTTTACAGACAGCAGAATTAATTGCACCGGTACAACAAACCATTTATGGGATTGTAAGTACCTTTCTTTTATTCTACATAGCATCATCTTCTTTACACTTCTTTATAAATGAAATTAAAGAACAAAAAATGTCACATTTTTGAATAGTGGTTGAAATGTTGTCAAGTATTCATGGCAAGATTATTAATTTTTAGATTAAAAAGTGTTAGCGATATTATATGTAATAAATGCAAGCTAAATAGCATTAATTAATATTAATTTGAGGGAAATTTTGACTTTTGAATGTAACTATAATATATCTGGGTTGTAAGGTGGATTGTCTGGGTTGTATTGGAGATAATGTCTCCTGTGTGTTTGATTTACAGCAGTTTGATGTGATTAGTAAGCCAAGTCCTATCAATGTGGCGTACTCCTCTGTCGGCCTTGACTTCCACATGGATCTCATTTACTACGAGTCGGCCCCGGGCCTACAGCTTCTACACTGCATGAAGTAGTTATAACCTTACAATAAAATAGCTCTCATCTATAGTTACTTTTGAAATAATGAATATGTAAAAGGCGAAATTAATCTGCAAAATATGTGAAATTATAAATTTATTATTCTCATGATACATTTACATGTATATAAAATAAAATAAAGCAAGGAATTGTTTTCTGTTTAAGTGATTATTGAGTATGTCAGTTTTAGTGATTTCTGATAATTAATTATTATTTGATAATGTATATTGTAGGTTTGATGAATGTGTTGAAGGAGGGGAGAGTACTCTTCTAGATCTCTTTTATGTTGCTGAAGTTTTCAGAGAATCAAATCCTGATGAATTTCACACCCTCACACAAATACCGACCACATTTCAAAAAATCCACTATCAGAGGTGAGATCATGATTTACTTTGATGATGTGGTGGTGAATGGAGGGAGGTGTATGAAGGAATCACCTTGTCCATCTGTCTACTCTAAATTCCTAATTAAACGTGAGGAATTTATTATCGCGGAAATAAAATTACTCGCTTTTATTTTTATGGTGCTGAAATCCATCTAAATTCTCTTGATCAACCATCTATTCACGAATAAATATTCTTGTGATTTGACGTTGAAGAGCCATTTTGTGATAATAAGTACTCGTGAAAAATAAAGAATCTACAGCATATTCTAGCTGTTTTATGATTTTAAGGATTGAACTTTATAAATTTAAATTTTCCGTAAGGTTGGAAGTTCTTGAGCTAGAGATGCCCATTAAATCAACATTTGAACTTCAGAGGAAAAAAATCACACAAAAAGATATAAAATTAGTCACTCTTTTAAAGGTCTATATAGGTCATTCTGAGAGTTGAAATTTTCCAATGATTCATATTAAGACTTAGGCACCTTTAAGGTAGTCATAAAGCATGCAAATTCATGGGCCATTCTGTATATAAAACTGTAAATATAAATACCAGATATAATGATACAAGTCAAAAAGGACTGCAAACATCATGTCAGTATACAGGTACTTCATGAAAGCATTCAAAAGTTGGTCGATAGTTTGTCATCTTGAGGAGGGAAAATATTGAAATTGTAGCATTAATTAAAATATTCACTGTATTCTTCATATGTACTAGTAACATGTATAAAAATCTGAATAGGAGTGAAATACATGTATTCCTTTTCTCTATTTTTTCTTCAGGGAAAATCCCGTTCACATGGTGTATCAGAAGCCCATCATATCACTCAACCACAGAGAGGAGGTAGAGTATCCCATCTGATGAATGATGTGTTGAGGAAGACAGGGAGTGTGCTGATTTTACATGTATAACTTTCTGACAGACAACAACAAAGAGATTTTACAATTATCTTGACATCTTAAATACAAAAATTGTCAATAACCTACTTTTCAAATTATGACTTTTCTAGGGGCAAATATATGCAGTATACTGCATATAGTTCTTTTGACTGACTAATAAGGATTTAATAATTACCTTCTCACAAGAATAATGTGACACAAATAATCGGTGATGTGTTGAAATGCATTACATCTATAAAAAATCTCGACATGTATAGGACAGCATATAAATTGTTTCCATGATGATGGTATAAGTTGTACATTAATTAAAAATATTGCACACCTTTGAAATCTCTGAACAAATTGTCCACAAGATTATTTCAAGAGCAGCTAAGACCTACAAAAATAATTACATTCATGTTCCCTTGAAATATATTATATGGTGTAATATATTTATTACAAGTACTGTACAGCAGGTTAAAATCGCGGTCGGAAAAGATCGCGATTTCTTCAATTTTCAGCAAATCGCGGTCGTTTAAATTCGCGGAAAGGAAAAAATAATAAATTTCTTAAATAGTACTTGCAAGTACTTTTCTTTAAGTATATATTGTTTAAACTAATATTTCCCGTCTCTATCTTATGAAAGTCTGTACCTGTTTATCGCGCATATCAGACAGAAAAGTCAAGCCTGTATATGGTGTCGATTTTGATCCCGATTGAAAAATAACCAATAACAAAACACCGGACTGATCCCCATTTGTTCAAAGTCAAAATAATGTTACGCTTTCAGATTTTTTTTATTTCTGGGTCCAAATCAGAAAAAAATTATACCGTAGTCAAAATATTGAACTTTTAATCATATAATTGAAATTAATTGTCGTTACCCTGTTTATTAGGTAAGTGCCTTGATTAAAGGTAATGAATGAGTGATACTCACGGGCCAATGAAATTAAACAAGTATGTTTTATTTGATAATTACATCGCACGTCTTCTAGATGGAAAAAGTTAATCGTTAGCTTTAGAAATTAATTGAACAATTAATAAGCTTTAAAAACACCAACAACTACGTGTTTGTTATTGATCCATACACTCGCATAATTATAAAGACAGTCTACATGTATCAAATCACAGATGATAATAAAATTTCAATTTATCCTAAGGCTTATAAATCTTTTAAAGAATTATTCACTGTATGTTGAATTCGCGGAATTTCTTTTTCCGCGAATATAGCGAATATTAACTCCGCGAGTTAATTTCCTGCTGTACAGTAATTAATTTATTTATTATAGTTTGCAGATAACTGTAAAGTTTCACGTTACGTCACGATCTTCTTCGTCAGATGCATCCAGCATAAACAATTCACATGATTGGTCAACTCAAATTATCAACATTGACATGGAAATAGTCTGCTGCACAAGCAACCAATCAAGGATAAGAAGAAAGTTCCAGTCGTAAAGCTTGCGGTTAAGGCGTGTACAATTTACCTTGAGCGCAGCTGTCAACTAGATCGTGACGTAACGTGAAACTTTACAGTTAGCTGCAAACTATAATATTATGTATAATTAATTACCTTATGATATGTAATTGTAGATCACCAGTATAAGCTGGGCTCCTGCATTTGAAGGTCCTTTGTCTGTAAGACCAGTAAGTCTCACTCTTGTTGATCAATATTACCCGTATATTCAAATAAATTTACTTGAAACTCTTCAAATTGATACTATTGATTTTAAACCATTTGATAAATGTATAGAATGAAAATCTCATTCCACTTTTCAGGAGGATGTTGAACCCTACTACAAAGCCTATCACAAATTTGCTGAAGCAATTAAAAATTCATCTGCAAAGGTAAACAGGAGCATTTATATCACTGAATTTTTTTTTTCTTGTAGACTTATTGTTCAGTTCTGAAACTTAGTATCCACAATACAATGTATCTCAGTATGCAGGATTCTTCTATTACAGCTAGAGTTCAAAATGGTACCCGGTGATTTGCTTTCCTTTAACAACAGAAGAGTTCTACATGGAAGAAATGCATTCACCTTAAATGGGGGAGGGCGACATTTGCAGGTACAACTAATAACGCCAGGAAGTAAAATATTGTAGGAAGTGTTTCATGAACTTGATGTCCATCTCATTCCAAATACCCTGCCAACTGTCTGGTCATTTTTTGTTCCTTTGTATAGGTGTATTTTATGCTATTAGCTATCTTTTTTTAGCTCACCTGAGCTAAAGATTCTGTAAATGAGTTTTTCTTATCAAAATTAATTTTGTCCATTCTCTGCTGTTGTCATCATTGTAAATTTATCACAATTTCATCTTCTTCTCCAGAACTACTGGGCCAATATCAACCAAACTTGGCACAGAGTATCCTTATATAAAAGGGATTCAAGTTTGCCCTTTTACGAGATAATTACAAAATACAGTAAAAAAAAATTGATGGCATCATTGAAAAATTGTCTAACAAACCAGGAGGAAAGATAAAACTCATGTGGAATCATTAGTGGTGAGTTGGGACCACTTATGCATTTATAGCTTTTCAATACTAAACTGAATTTTGCTATTTTCCAAGCCAAAGTGATGTGGCCCCTTGGCATCTTGTAATATATTTGTAAACGTGATTTCTGAGCAAATTCTTGGTACCTGATATCTTTCTGTATTTCATCTGGTCATAGCAGTATTAGTTATGTAGACACTTATAGAGGTAATATGGATATTATATTACATATATAAAATGTCAAAGATTTTTTAATAAAGTTCATTTTCTCTGAATCAAGCAAACCTTTATATAACAAATGTTCACATTAGGCATCTTGCGTGTTGAAATGTGATCAACACATTGAGTATGATCTGGATGTTCTTGTAACATAAACTTTTGGTACAAACATACTTCATTTCCATTGTTCAGTGATTGTTATGAGAATCTTTTTTGTATTTCAGGGTTGTTATGTAAACATTGACGAGTACAAGAGTAAATTACGAGTACTGTCCACTCTGTTGAAGGACAAGAGGCCGGTCAAACAAGTCGGAAATCAGTGCTGGTAATCAACAGCATACTGGTCATCTAGTTTGTCAAAAGACAAATCAAAAAAAAAAATTTAAAAAAAGAACTGGAACATAAAAAAAAAGTGCAAAGGTTGTATACATGTATTTTATGAGTGTGTGTGTGTTTGTGTTGTGTGTTTATCATTATGTTATTGTATAATTATATTTTTTTTGCCTTGATTTATTGTTATAGATACTATATTTTCTGTTTATTTTTTAAACTTTAGTTTTAAATATAAACTTTGTAAAAGTTTTATCACATTATTGTGGTTTACCTGTATCATATTGTTGCATAAAATCTTAATAAAATTCTGCAAAGTGGTTTAATAGTTATGGATTTTCTTGCTGCATAATGCCCTCTCTAACATTATCGAGAGATTTTGTGGCCTGCCATTAGTTATTATGGACATGCTGTAGGAGACAAGGTCCTCTACTAAACTATTGGAATTCCTATTGGCACAAATTGTGCTCCTTTATTGACAAGCTGTTTTAAAAAATATTTCTTTGAAGTGGGATGTATTCAGGAACTTCTATATGAGGAAGATAACACATGCTTTGGCTTTCAAACCAACATATAGATATATCAATGATGTATTATCTATTAACAATAGTTACTTTCATTCATAATTCAACTCGATATATGTTCGAAGAAATAATTATATAATTATATATCTAAATGTGCAAAACAAGTCACCATGGCCCCATTGTTCTTTATAAGAAGTGTACATACTGGAATCTACACTACCTCAGAGGATGCCGAGGATTAATATGACTATAACGGTAACTTTAGCCCTTCTAATCTTGAAAGAGGATTTTAAAGATTTTTATAATGAATAGGCAGGGACATATTATGTTTGCTGTTAACATCATTGATCTTTCCATCCTTCTGTCTGTCCCTCTGTTTGTCTTTTAATTACTTTCATTCAATCATGATGGTATTTTGACCTTGACCATTTCTTTGACCTTGACTTCAAATTTCGTTGTTTTATAGTCTTTAATCTATTTATACCCAGGCCTTAATCAGAATGGGGTATAGGGTCCTCTTCAAATAATTATGCCAACATATACAAATTAAACATGTACATGTACTATATAACTCAACTGAACTCGTCTGATTGTTTCTGGTTGCGTCCCTATTATTTTTGGATTTTTTTTTCACTTCAAACATTCATTTTATTATATGTGTTCCTCCTAAATACTGAAAATGTTTCGCTGTACTTTAATTAACATCCTAACTGTCTGACACCGCTTCCTACAAGCCTGATAGGATTTTTAGAAACCAAGTCATTTCCGGAATTTGTGGGGTTGTACGACAGTGTTGAAATTTACGTGGAAAATCATGTTTCCTGTTGTTTTCTATCCGAGTATGACAGGCCAAAGTCACTAGGAATAGAATAAGACAAGGAATAAGGTATATTGTATTTCTTTTTTTATGGTTTTGAAACTTATGACTCTCAAACGTATTTTATTCTTCATTAGGATTGAATACATCATGAGATATGTCATAGAGCCGAAGACTGGTAGAACTGATTTTTAATTGTACGAACGTCTTGTCAAGGATTCGATGCTTAACGGACAATTCGATATCCTGTTTATTATTTGAAAACACAAGATAATGTTCTTTTAATTTTACTTTAAGTAAACGACTGTTGACGCATTATGGAATATAAATAAGTGCGTAGAAGCACTACGTTTGCGTGAAAATGTAAGGAATCACGTGACAGACCAAAATAGACAGGTCCTGCACAATCTCGTGATATTCAAAAGCTGTATAGCTAGAAAATTGAAATTGTTCGCTCAAATTGAGTCCCCAGTCCCAATTTCTCCCCAGAGCATATAACAAAGTATATACTTATTTGATCTATTGAAGTCTGATTTTCCCAATATACCTGAATCATATATATGGCAAGAAATTGGTACTGTGTTTTTAGTATACACCTTGCTTATAAATGGAGGTGAATAAAATAAGAAGAGAACATTTTAAATGTTATTAAAATATTGCAATACATATTGTATTACAGTTCCAAATATCACAGTATATTGCAATACAAAAATTCCATTCGTTACTTATGCAGCCCTAGTCTCGGGACAAGCCCTCACCACAGTTGGAATATGTCCCATATGCTTGCAATGAAGGAAATCGGAGCGATCTGCTCCTAAATGATTTTGAAGAGTATAAAAGGAGTGAAGCTGAAAATAAATACCAAATTAATAAAAACTAGAGTTGAAACGTATGTTCGAACATTCGCGAATGAATAGTTTTTCACGAATATTTGAATGGAATATTTGTATTTGAATATTTGGTCGCATGTTTAATATCCGTATTTCATGCAATAAATTGTGTATCCACTGAGTTTTTGATCACAGTGGAAAAAGAAGCATTTCTCTCCAAACGAAAGCAAATATATGTATGACAGCAGATTGTAAACTTTGTCCACATAGTACTACTGGCCTGATAAAGGCACGATGTCAAATTTTTTAATAATCTTTAAGACAAACATTCATCAGCCTCATGTATCTCCGATTTAGGCCTTTGACGATGACCGCCATGATTTCACTAGCGAAAATAATGAAAGATTTAATATATTGTTGTGCGGAGAGAAATATTCCAGATGAACAATTCATATCAATTGTTCAGAATTATAAATATAGCAGAAATCATTTGTGAAAAATATACATTATATTATTCTCTTTTGAGAATGTTTTATTTTAAATTTAGTTATTAAGTAAATTTACGTGACGTTTCCGGAAAACGGACCACTGTCGGTTTTATTAATATAATAGGAAAACTTGGTGAGCATTTGATGGTTTGGTGACTGAGCAGTGAGCGTTTTACATAATCAGAATGCAATACAGTGAACTAATTTTAAGAAGTAAAGAGGCTTATTTTTGTTGATAAAGATTAAAGATTCTTTGTCTGATTTAGTTTTTTGTTGAAAATAAACGCGAGTCTTAATGTACATCATACATGTCAAACGACTTTGAACAGTCACATTTATTTCTTACACCTATCTTATATATAGTAATGAACAATAGGATTTACAAGTAGGTGAAAAGGCATAATATCACCTTTATTAAATTACCGAATGTTCGAATACAAATCAAATAACAGTCATGAATATTCGAATATTGGTTTATGGTATTCGTTTCAGCTCTAATCAAAAAACCTTTTTGTATATGCCTTTTATCCCAAAAAATAATCCATACAAAGATAAAAATTCAACAAATTTTCTCAACATTTTTTCTTGCTTAAAAAATTACCTGCCATGTTACATTTGGAATTTCCTGGATTATTTGTAGTAAATGCCCTGAGTTCGTGTTATCGCCCGTGTATATATTGCTACTTTGAAAATACATGGATCAAATTCTATCATTAATTCAGGTCCATAGGACATAATATCATTTTATGCAAGTGGGTTAAGGCAAGATATAGGCAATTCTATGAGAAAGCTTAAATATACTTAGATCCCAAATAATAAAATTAAGGCATGTTATAGCTAGTACACATTATGACGTCATTGTTCTTTAATAATCAAAGTAATGAACACATCAATTAAGAAACAGCTTTGGCACATGGGCACACCCTATTTAATTTTACGTAAATAAAGTATAAATCTACGAAGAATATTCTAAGGATTATTTATAAGTGCTACACAAATTCTTTGCACTTTCTTTTTTGATTAAAATTTGAGGAATCTTACACTGGATTGAGAATTTTTACCATGTCTGTACTCAAAACTTTACAAATACATGTAGTAACTAAACAATTGATCTGTGAGTCGACCTTTGTGCAGCAATATCACAACTCCACGGCATATTCTGCCTCTAAGTAGACCCTGTTTCTGCAAATATAAATAGGGTATGCTCTTGCGCAGAAGCTTTTTTGTTGATGTTCTTTATAACTTTGTGTAGTAGAGAGCAATGATGTCATAATGTGACATCATCAGTGTGTATTGGCTATGTCAGTTGTCGCGGGTACCAAGTCACAATTTGCCTTAAAAAATTAATTTTAATCTTTTCTCTATATAACTAAAGACCCTATGTCTTTTAATTAGTTAATTTTCAAAGAAACGTCTATTCTTAGCCTTAACTCACTTGCATAATGATAGAACTCTCTATTTAGCTTGGCACAAGCTGCAGAACTGTAGCTCTCTGCCCTGCGAACAAATAAAAAAGCCCCCGACACCGGCGGACCGGTGCCAGAGGCGTTAAGTTGTGCCAGGAAAATAACAAACAAACAAAAAAAAAAAACAAAAAACAAAAAAAAAAAGCCTCTGCGGTGCTTGAGAAAATTCAGACAGATTCAGTAGAGAATTAGTCAGATCCAAGCATCCTAAAAATGTGCATATGTGTAAATGTGTAATAATAGTGCATTTTATTGTTCACAAATAAAGGACTTCCTGCAATAATTGATTTCTAAATCAGACATATACAGGTGTAGTTGCTCAGTTACATGGTAATTAGGTCCAGACAGCCATTAGACATTACAGAGTCTGGTCTATTGGAGGCTTAGTCCCTTGTTCAACCAGAGTTCCCAGATAAAGAGAGTACATTAATCAATGGAGCCTGACTGCAGAATGTCACTGTGTGTGCGGCCTGTATAGTATTGATCTCACTCTCAGTAAGGTGTGGGGACCAGTAGTCTGTTACATATGGCTAATGTCAGGAGCCACCAAGTCCAGTCCTCTGGTCAGTTGTAGAGGAAATTCATGTTTTGTGGGGATTTCATGTTTTGTGCATTTATATTTTTGAGGTATTGTGCTTACTCAATTAATATTCATTCAAGTTTTAGATGTAGAATGAATGAATAGATGCTTTCTGTACCCTGGTATTCTTTGAAAGGTAGGTGGGAGCATGTAACATTAATAGTAACATGTGGCCTTATTTGAAGGATGATGCTTAATATTGATTTGGAGAAATAAGTTGTATTGTTATTGTTTATTCTGCAATATGACTGGATTCCTTTCAGTGTATTTGAATTGATTGATTTTTATTTGGATATTGGGAAATCCTGTAATGTGACCTATCAATTACAGAATCGGATCAAGTTCAGGCTCATAACCTGCATGGTTAATGGAAACATAATGGTATTATTCATATTTACTTGTCTTTAACATTCCTTACAAATTAGAATTTTGTTCATTTTCTCATGAACTACCATGGATGAGCATGAATATCTCCATTGTTATGTCATAATACCATACTTGACTTTAAAACTATAGTGCAATCTGTTTTGCTTTAAAAGTGGGAGTTGAATAGTGTATTTTATGGCAACTGGTCAGAAAAATAATGTAAATATATGTAATGAATTTAATTTTGAAGATTTATGTGGTATATGAACTACAACACTTCATGCTGGCATATTTATCATGAAGCACTAACGTGCTTCTTTAAATATGCCGGCGTGAAGCGTCATAGTTCATAACCTCATGAATCTTCAAAAATTGAATTCATTTCTTAATTATTTGACAATTACTAGTCCATGTACTTGTATATTTTACATGTGAAAATATTAGCAATTAGTTTACCTAGCATGCTACAAATCAGCCATGCTTAGTTTGTCTTGCTTATCTTGAATTAAGCTTCCTGAACACATTGAAGGATGTCAGTTGATATTGCAGGCATTTATCTAGGGCAAAAAAAGTCGTCATTCTTTGATTTCATACAAACACTTTGTGTCAGCTGGGTATTTTAAATGTGCTTTCTCTTGTATGGATATTTTGTATCTGTCACATGGACTGGATTTGGAAAAAAAACTGTCTCACAAAGCTATAAAAACTGCGCTGTTTTTCACAGTGCTGTGAAAAAACAATTGGTGCTCTGACCACCGGATTATTGCTGAAATTTATATTCCATTGCATATAATGAAAAAAAAATGGCCACAGGATTATTGCTGTACATATTTTAGATGAATATAATGAAATATTCAATTGGTGCCCAGACCACAGGATTATTCTTGTATTTTAGATGATAGTGTGAAGACCTAGTTAAGATGTATGAGCCAGATCTCACATGTGATACATTCATTGTAAAGAACCACACTCAGATTGACTTCACTAATGGGGAATATGGAGGCATACCCTTTAATTTAATCATCAATTCTGTTGGGTGGTTGGTAAGTTTGTATGTCTGTTTGGTTGTTTAATAAAAAGTATTTGCTATTTGAATTAAATTACCATTAAAATTGAATTTATCATTAATACTGTGTTGTGCAATACACTTGGATTGATCCAACACTGTCTATATGAATACGAAAAACCTTTTCAAATATATTTTTTTTAAAGTGGCCAAGTAATACATTTGCAGTTCTTTGAATTTTGATGATTAAAAAAAAATCAATACAAAATATTGCTTTTTAACTTATACATCAAACACAATATTTGTTATGACATTAATTTGTATTTTATGTAATAGTTATGACAATAATTTGTATTTTATGTTGGTTTATCTAGTTGCTCATCTTGTTGTTCGCGGTGTTGAGGAAGTTTGCCTGGGACTACGGAAGGATTGCTCTAGTCAGCAGAACAGAGGAAAAGTAGGTGCATCATATTCATGCTTCACTGTAACTATGCCAGATAGTGTGTATAAGATGCTAAGGCTTAGGGATTTAATATCTTAGTGTGAAATTCATGCTTTGATTAATTACAGAGTAAATTAAATGGAAAGTTTTCGTACAGACAGCTGTTACAATATAGATATTCCACTGGTATTTACACTGAACGTGCATTGAGTAAAACTATTCAGATAATTGACAGTAGCCTAGTAATGAATTTAGTCATTAGATTTATGTATACAATTATACATTTAAGTTGGACGTTTGGGGAATGCAATAAATATTTATGGGATAGGTTTTTCAATTAAACACCTTACATAACCAAATTAAAAGTGAAAAGTAAGGGAAAATATTCTTAAATATTTCTAGCCATTTGGAAAATTGGTTAATATAAATTATTTTTAACATTGGTAAACCAGGCCGTCTAGTAAAAAAAAAAAAAAAAAAAAAGAAATATTTCCAGGAATGTACAAACTGAAAATCAAAGAGAAGACAAAAATTTGTCTGGGAAAATTAAAATGGGGTGTAAGGGCAAAAATAAAAAAAGTTTAAAAAAGAAAAACTTGTGTATGGTAATTCACGGACATTGAAACATTTTATAAAATATCATTATTTTAGGTAATTTTATTGATACCGAGTACATGTATATGAGAAAGTACTAGGCCATTGCAAAAGGGATATTAAAGTGGTTAATGCACCTGAAATTTTGTCCCCTTAGTAATTAATATTTAGGCAGCACCTCTAATTACGATTTTTATCAGAGTATTGATTTTTGTGGGCATTTTTAGTCCATAGGAGTGTTGGGGGAGAGAAATAGTTTATAGACCGGGAATGGCATCAGTATAAAAATAAAGTGCCAGCTGATATTCTCGGGGGTATATCTGTATCATTATATAAGGAGTATCTAGAGGAATGGATGTTATAGAAACATGAAAAACATCGATAGAAATAAAACACTAGCCGTCCAATAGATCTTCACTGATCACCTCCCAGAGGCTTTTAATGGCTTCTCTGTACATCTGCTGCTCTAATGCTTCTATAATTGTAAAGGGTTGTTAAATAGAAATCATAATACTGCTGTTCTTTTAATAATAAATAAAGTTTCTAATTAATCAAAGTTAAATTATAAAAAGCTGACCTTTATTAATATGAATATGCATCAATTTCTTGCAGAATTTTTTCTAACAGAGCAACTAAGACAGCTTTCACAAGAATAATTTATAATGTGATATGTATATAAAAATTTTCTTGATTAATTCTCTCTTTTTTTTTCAGTGCAAATTTGACAACCAACAGCCAATACAATGTGTAATAATCACTGCTTTCTTCCCCTGACCATATTACCCTTTATTCCTTTAATGTCCCATTATTTCCATGTATTAATCTACTAAATGCTAACTGCTAGACATATGGTGCTTGACTTCTAATCAAAGCTCTTGGTATGCTGCACTTAAAATAGCCAATATGCAGAGTTCTAAATGAAATCATCATTCTTACGGTAGAACCAAAGTGGCATTATGTACAAGATGGGACATTTTTAGCTCACCTGAGCCGAAGGCTCAAGTGAGCTTTTCTGATCACATTGTGTCCGTCGTCCGTCTGTCCGTCCATAAACTTTTCACATTTTGGACTTCTTCTCAAGAACCACTGGGCCAATTTTGACCAAACTTGGTACAAAGCATACTTGGGTGAAAGGGGATTTAAGTTGTTAAAATGAAGGGCCAAATCCATTAACAAGGGGAGATAATCAAGAAAAGACAAAAAATAGGGTGGGTTCATTAAAAAATCTTCTTCTCAAGAACCACTGAGCCAGAAAAGCTGAAACTTATGTGGAAGCATCCTAGGGTAGTGTAGATTCTAAATTGTTCAAATCATGACCCCCCGGGGTAGGGCGGGGCCACAATAGGGAATCCAAGTTTTACATAGAAATATATAGGAAAAAACTTTGAAAAGCTTCTTCTTAATAACCACTGGGCCAGAAAAGCTAAAACTTATGTGAAAGCATCCTTGGGTAGTGTAGATTCTAAATTGTTCAAATCATGACCCCCGAGCGTAGGGCGGGGCCACAATGGGGAATCCAAGTTTTACATAGAAATATATGGGAAAAATCTTTGAAAATCTTCTTCTTAATAGCCACTGGGCCAGAAAAGCTGAAACTAATGTGAAAGCATCCTTGGGTAGTGTAGATTCTAAATTGTTCAAATCATGACCCCCTAGGGTAGGGCGGGGCCACAATGGGGAATCCAAGTTTTACATAGAAATATATAGGAAAAATCTTTGAAAATCTTCTTCTTAATAGCCACTGAGCCAGAAAAGCTGAAATTTATGTGAAAGCATCCTGGGTTAGTGTAGATTCTAAATTGTACAAATCATGACCGGGGGGAGGGGGGGTTAGGGCAGGGCCACAATGGGGAATCGAAGTTTTACATAGAAATATATTGGACAATCTTTGAAAAGCTGAAACTTATGTGGAAGCATCCTTGGATAGTGTAGATTTCAAATTGTCTAAATTATGATCAGTGGGGTAGGGTGGGGTCACAATATGTATTACAAGGGGGAAATCTGGTAAAGAACAGAATGGTCAAAGCTTCTCAGGTGAGCGATGTGGCCCATGGGCCTCTTGTTCATTTTTAGCTCACCTGAGCCGAAGGCTCAAGTGAGCTTTTCTGATCACATTTTGTCCGGTGTCCGTCTGTCTAGCTGTCTGTCTGTCTGTCTGTCTGTAAACTTTTCACATTTTCGACTTCTTCTCAAGAACCGCTGGGCCAATTTCAACCAAACTTGCCACAAAGTATCCTTGGGTGAAGGGGATTCAAGTTTGTTAATATGAAGGGCCACGCCCTCATTCAAGGGGAGATAATTGGGAATTAATGAAAATTTAGTGGCATATTTTAAAAATCTTCTTCTCAAGAACCACTGTGCCAGGAAAGATGAAACTTATGGGTAAACATCCTCAGGTAGTGTAGACTCAAATTTGTTCAATTCATGACCCCCAGGGGTAGGGCGGGGCCAAAATGGCCGACCAAAGTTTTACATAGAAATATATAGGAAAATTCTTTAAAAATCTTCTACTCAAGAATGACAAAGCCATAATTCATCATATTTATATGGAAGCATGTTCAGGTAGTGTAGATTCAAGTTTGTTCAAATCATTACCCCCCAGGGTAGGGCGGGGCCAAAATGGCCGACCAAAGTTTTACATAGAAATATATAGGAAAATTCTTTAAACATCTTCTTCTCAAGAATGACAAAGCCATAATTCATCATATTTATATGGAAGCATGCTCAAGTAGTGTAGATTCAAATTTGTTCAAACCATGACCCCTAGGGGTAGGGCGGGGCCAAAATGGCCGACCAAAGTTTTTAAAGATATATATAGGAAAATTCTTTAAAAATCATTTTCTAAAGAAATAGCTAATCCATGATTGTCATGGGACTACTTTTGGATTTAAACTTTACAATAAAAAGCCATTTTCTACTTTTTCCTACCCTTAGTGCTCAGGTGAGCGATGTGGCCCATGGGCCTCTTGTTCACACTGCTTAGAGGGCATTGTTTACATATGTACATCATGCATGCAGGTTTTGTGGGTTAAAATCTTCTGATCGGTAAAATAACATAAAATTCTATCAGTCTAGAAACACAAGATTCATTATTACCGGTACTATATCGTTGCATAAACTGTATTGAACATCTTGCTCATAACAATAAGTACTCAGCCTTTTCCAGTACATTGTATTGAGCTTTCACCGTTATTATATATGAAATATGCATCAAGCGAGACGTGATTTCCTACATGTAGGTTTCAATTTTCACTCCTCTGCTGAATTAAATACACAATGGGAGTTATCTGTATACATTGAATAAACAAAGGAGCTAACCAGGACTACACAATTTTTGTACATGGTACATCTAAAAAAAATCATTTTCGCCACTTATGAATTTCTTTTCGCCACTTTTGAAAAAAATTCGCAATTGGCGACAATGGCGAATCACAGCTCGAGCCCTGATCCTTTATTAAATTAGAAAAAAAGAATGCTGATTTTTAGCTCTACTGGTCAGAGACCAGAAGAGCTTATGCGATAGTAATGCGTCCGGCGTCCGTCCGTCTGTCCGTTGTCTCTGTCTGTCTGTCTGTAAACAATTTTTCAAAATGCTACTCCTCCTACAGTTTTGGTCTAATTTCAGTATAACTTTGCACACAAGTAGACTACACTAAGATACATAATTTTTTGTATCATTTTTGATTTCGATAAACGGTGTTGCCGTAGTAACTAAAAATAGAAATTTCTGTAAAATTGTTTCAAAATGCTACTCCTCCTACAGTTTTGGTCTGATTTCAGTATAACTTGGCACACAAGTAGAATACACTAAGATACATAATTCTGTGTATTGGTTTTTGATTTCGATAAACGGTGTTGCAGTGGTTACTAAAAATAGAAATTTCTGTGAAATTGTTTCAAAATGCTACTCCTCCTACAGTTTTGGTCTGATTTCAATATAACTTGGCACACAAGTAGACAACACTAAGATACATAATTCTGTGTATCAGTTTTTGATTTCGATAAACGGTGTTGCCATGGTTACTAAAAATAGAAATTTCTGTGAAATTCTTTCAAAATGCTACTCTTCTTACAGTTTTGGTCTGATTTCAATATAACTTGGCACACAAGTAGACTATAAGATACATAATTCTGTATATCGGTTTTTGATTTCGATAAACGGTGTTGCCGTGGTTACTAAAAATAGAAATTTCTGTGAAATTGTTTCAAAATGCTACTCCTCCTACAGTTTTGGTCTGATTTCAATATAACTTGGCACACAAGTAGACACACTAAGATACATAATTCTGTATATCGGTTTTTGATTTCATAAACGGTGTTGCCGTGGTTACTAAAAATAGAAATTTCTGTGAAATTGTTTCAAAATGCTACTCCTCCTACAGTTTTGGTCTGATTTCAATATAACTTGGCACACAAGTAGTAAACACTTAAGAACATAAGAAGACCTTATCAATGATCATTATTCTATTTATTGCTGTTGTAAAGTTTCAATTCCCAACTGCTTAAGTACTTTTCTCTTCCTTTGCTACAAGTACAAACCAGTAGAGCTTCAGTCTCGACAGAGACTTCTGGTTTTCAGTGTAATCAAGTATAAACACGTTAAAAATCCCATGAGGATACTTCACACGATTTTGAGATTTTCAGGAACTCTTTATTGATCTTTTCAAGAACAGTAGAGCCACAATGTATAAATCATCTTATTATGCAAGCTTCCCCCAGATAAAACAGGCAGGCAGATTTTTTTTTTTTTTTGGCAATTGAAAATCAATTCGATTTCCAATTAATTTTACAATCATGCTCAATTAAGCTTTTTTTTTTTTTTGAGAAAGATGACATCAGAACCAATGATGATTAATTAATAAGATTGACATGAAATATCACAAAAGACTTAAAGAGAAGAGCAGGCAATACAAGGTCTTGTTTTTTTTTTAAATTTTCTGTTATTCTTATTCATCTAGGGAAAAAAAAAGATCATGAATATGATTGTAAACATTGAACCTAAATGATACATGTACTCAGGTGACCTATATAGGCCATAGGCCTCTTGTTTCTTTTATATAGCACTTATAATCACTCTTAGATAGACTAACTTGTGCCCTGTTCACACGGAGAGTTTAATTCGAATTAAACGTAAATTTACTGCGAATTAGCTTCGCTTAGCGTTCACACGGAGAATTTAATGCGAATTACTTTAATTCGAATTAATTTACTGCGCATTAAATTACTTCGCATTAGCTCTGTGTGAACGCTAAGCGAAGCTAATTCGAATTAAATTTTGACGCATGTGTCAGGCCAGAATTAAGTCACAGGACACGTGTTGGTGGTTATATATAGGTATTTGTGCTATATTTGGTTCAAAAATTGAGGGAAAGTATGTTAATCACTAAAATCAATGAATACCTGTAGCCAGTAAATGATGTATCAAAGGATGGCTCTGCATACATGACGTGATTTACAAATGACGTCATAATAAACTTACTGACGCCTGACTGTAGAAGAAGAATTTTAATTCGCATTAGTTTACTGCGCATTAGCTGTCGTGTGAACGCAATTTAATTCGCATTAGTTTGATTCGCATTAGTTTACTTCGCATTAATTTACTGCGAATTAAACTCGTCGTGTGAACAGGGCATTGTTTTAGAATCTTGAGAATCGTAAGATTTTGTCGGATGTCGGTACATTGAACCAAGCCATCATCTAAATGGCAGATTAAGTCTTGGGTCCAACTGCTATGAATATTAAATAATGTTGTATTGATTTTGGTGACAAATTCAAGGCTCTCGCATTCTTGATTTTTTTAATATGCTGTCTGCAGACAGATATTAGAATTGGCATTTTAGAGGGATTATGGTTGGTACATCATAGAAGCATGCACTCATAGCCAAATGTCATAGTCTGACTATACCAAACAGGGGGAAATGGTCTTTGGTTTCATTTCTTTTTTATATTGTATGATTTAATTATTGTCCTGACAAAATAGTTCAGAACTGCATCATCAAGTAATATATTTATTTCCTCTGAAATATATATCACTGCATATGCACAACAAAAGATATTTGAAAGGAGAAGTCATACATGTAAATGCAAACTACTTTAGATAAAATTGCAAAATATGATAGACAGAAAGTTATAGATAAATTTTTGTTATTTTATTCCTTTATTTTTCTATATCTTCTTGTAGATAGAGATGAATATTGGATGATAAGAAAGCTGTTTGGATACTGCTTGTCTTGATTAAGTATAATGTGCTGATTGGTCTCTGTTTTAGGTGGACCTCCCTGTTTTATGGTGACCATGACGATGACGACAAAAACAAAACCCAGGGGTCAGTGGAATCTTTGGATGCTCACATACATAAACATGACAGTGTATGTATCCATCAGGTCAATCAGTCAATTATAGAAGGGGGGGGGGATAAAATCACATACATAAACATGACAGTGTATGTATCCATCAGGTCAATCAGTCACTTATAGAAGGGGGGGGGGAATCAAATCACTTACATAAACCTGACAGTGTATGTATCCATCAGGTCAATCAGTCACTTATAAAAGGGTAGGGAGGGAGGGTTCAGATCACTTACCGGGTATATAAACATGACAGTGTATGTATCCATCGGGTCAATTAGTCACTTATAGAAGGGGGGGGGGGATAAAATCACTTACATAAAAATGACAGTGTTTGTATCCATCAGGTCAATCAGTCACTTATAAAAGGGTAGGGAGGGAGGGTTCAAATCACCTACCGGATATATAAACATGACAGTGTATGTATCCATCAGGTCAATTAGTCATTTATAGAGGGGGGGGGGATAAAATCACATACATAAACATGACAGTGTATGTATCCATCACAACAGTCACTTATAAAAGGGTAGGGAGGGAGGGTTCAAATCACTTACCGGGTATATAAACATGACAGTGTATGTATCCATCAGGTCAATCAGTCACTTATAGAAGGGGGGGGGGGATAAAATCACTTACATAAATATGACAGACTGAGTGTACATAAGGTATTCAAGCACCTCTAGAAAGTGTTAACTGGTGGGGAGATCAAATATTTGTAAATGATAAAGTTAATTTAAGCCCTGAGAAATGGGGAACTGCTATTGCATCTGAATATTTTTGGGGAAATATTATCTTTTAAGCAAAATGAGGCTTGGTATTACTGCTAGAAATGGTATTAATGCATAACATTGTACATAAATCAAAAAACTCATTAGTCATACCCTTGGGAATGGTTTCACAGATAAAAATTCCATATATCTAAAAAAAAAAAAAAATAACGGTTACATTATTTTACAGTTTGAATAAAGAACACAGCTGTTACGCATTCAAATGATTTCGTAAAAGACAAGAATATTTCTAATGGTGTACAATGGAGTGACGTCAAAGAATAAAACTGAAATTGCTTGCATCAGCAACATATCAAATGATTGCTTTTATTATTTCTTGACGATTGCTTGAGGTGTTTTGTTGCTCACTTCAAATCAAGGAGCCTTGTTAAGAGTGAATTAAACAAACCATCTGTTGAATGTAATGAATCAATAACATGAAATCATTGTCAGACGTATTGACCAAGCTAACAATAAATCACCATTATCACATGAAAAGACAATCACCGGCCTAGTTTCATCTGTTGAAGGGTAATGTAATGGAGTGCTTGTTTTATGATTTCAGAATATCTGCTCCTGGATCCCAGCTTTCTTCAGAGTCAAGTAAGTCATCCAGGCATCTGAAGGAAAAATATGCACAAGACAAATGATGTGAACAGTTTAGACAGTAGCTCCTGATACAAATGATAACATTCAGACTGCCTTAAACTACAATCCTTCACACTGGCATAGGTTTATTCAGGGATTGTTTAGGGATATCCATTCTAAAAATTTATTAAGATTGCATCACATTTCTTTACAAACTTGAAGACTTAAATTTCTTTAAAGTCTATTGCCTTTTACACAACCCCCAAATGCTTGTGGACATAGACCCAGAAAAAATTTACAATATAATGTATGAATAGATAAGTGGATGTCCAATATGAAAAGTTAATATATGATTTTACTGAATTTATACAAATAATTCAAAATACAGACCATAATGGCCAGAGTGTGATACATATTAAATTAAGCCCCAAAACGTGTTTGTTCTGTAGAGATTCAGACATCTTGAAGAAGAGTGGACAGGATGCCATTCAGTATTTGTCGTTCCAGCGTTACCTGATTATTTACACCACGATAGTGATGGTGCTGTCTGTTGTCATCATTGTACCCGTCAACTTCTCCGGTAACAACAGTAAGTACTCATATAAATCGTGGTAAAGGGGTTGGGGATCAGGTATTCTTAAGTTCTGTGAACCAAGTTAAGAACATTTGTGTCGTATTTCTACCCATCTTTTGGTATTCAAGACTTGTGGTTGAATCAATAACATCATTCTTTGTTGCAAGCTTAAAATACTTGTTGCAAAAAAAGTTAAAAATATCAAGAATGCTATTTTGTATTTTGTAGTTGGAAATGCAACAGATTTTGGGCATACAACCATTGGGAATTTAGATCCAGAGTAAGTTATCTTAATTAAGAAGACCTGCGAAAAAGTTATATAAAAGGAAATGAATAACAGTAAATCTTTAGTTCAACAAAAGTTTGTAGTGTTTCCATAAGATTAAATATTTTGGTTATTAGACAATATTCAGATACAAAATCTTGTATTGGTTCTGGATTTTGATAGTGTTTCCAAATTTTTTGGTAAAATTAGAAATTTTATGAAATTCTTTCAAAATGCTAAAATCATGAATTAGCTTATTTGATCCTAATTTCCTGTATCATTTCCAGTTCTCCGCTGCTGTGGGTCCATGCTGTCCTAGCTGTGGCCTTCCTGATTTTATTGGTCGGTCTGATGCGACATTTCCGCGTTAATCTTCAGTATCAGGAGGATGAGCAGGTGTCAAGGACACTGATGATCTCAGGGATCCCTAAAAACCAGTGCTACAAAAACCAGATCACCCAGCATTTTGAGTAAGTAGGATTTTGTCAATTGTCATCTTCCAGAGTGTTAGAAGTAAACCAGGTGATCTGATCTTGGTGATACTGTTGTCATCTTGGGTCACTGTCATACTTGGAAATCAAAGTTCAAATATGAAATATTGGATATTCTTGTACTAATTGCCTTGTTTGCCAGAAGTGTACCTCATTTAAAATTGCAGACTCTGAATGAAATAAGATTTATACCATAGTAAGCATTTTGTTGCTCTTGAAAACCAATAAGTGGTCAGGACAAATTGAACTATTAAACAACAACAAAAATCTGAGCACATGTGAAGGATAAGTGCTAAACATAAATAGTCGACACAATGGTAGTGAGTGATTTAATATAATGAATTATCTGCCTTTTTAGGGAAGCATACCCCGAAGCGAGTGTGGTTGATGTCCAGTTTGCCTACAACATCGCAGAGTTAGTGAAACTGGATGAAAATAGGTAAGAATTCAGAACATGCAAATTGAATCAAAGCTGAAATTGTGACCAAGTCTTTTAAGTATCGTTTACTGTAATTTTAGGAGGGTAGCAGAGGAAGCTTTAAAAAATTCTAAAATTGAGTTTGAGAAGACAGGAATTCGTCCAACCATGACACCGGTCACCTGTGGACAGTGTTGTTGCTGCTGTGCTGCCTGTGGGTGCAAAGAGGTCAGGGATACTTTTATTGGGTCTGATGTCTTAGATATCTGTTAGAAATCAAGAAACGTGTACAAGTTTATAATTTGATGATCTTTTATAATTACTATGATAAACACTTTCACCATAATTTTAGGTACTATCTAAATGCTACATACATAGAACAGTGGATGCCAGTACTAATCTTGATTCTATATTTAGGTGGATGCCATTGAGCATTATGAATCAGTGGCCAAAAAATACCGGGAAAAGTGTGAGAAAGAGAAGGTAACTGCTTATCAGGATCCAGCGGGGATAGCCTTCGTCACCTTCTACACTGACCTAATGGCTGCAAGGTCTCAGTATTATAAATGTAGTAAAGGCAGTGTAGCTCAGCTTATTCTCAGATTTGTGAATCTTTGGCTTTTTGATGATTTATTCTCAAGGGCATTATGTTTTGTTTCAGGGTGAGGAGTGATTTTGAGGGTACATGTAAAGGCAGCAGTAACCCCCAGAACTCCTCCCTCAACCAGAAGCTGGGGGTATGGAACTGGAGTGTTCACTATGCCCCCTCCCCAGAAAATATCTACTGGTAACGCTCAATAGTTACATACATATATGTTAAGTCCATCCAATGGAAGTAGAAGATATTGCTTAAAAATGATAGATAAGTTACATGAACCACTAGTTAATACTGACTACAAATGATTGTAGGGAAAACATTTCTAAGTCACGCTGGAAGTGGTGGATGATGGCTATCATCGTCAATGTCATCCTTGTCGTCATCCTTTTCTTCTTCACCACTCCTCTAATCATCATCAACACCCTCAACCAACTGGAGTACCTCAAACCGCTAGAGGAACATGTAAGTACTATACATATTTACATAAAAATGTAAGTATCTTGAGGCTTTAAAGGAACTGTTCTAGTAAGTAAGGGTAAGTGATTGTGATAAAATATAAATACTGATGAAAATATCCACTTATAAAGGGGAGATCCAGCTGTAGAGTGGGATAATTTAAATTAAGTGAAATCATTTTAATCCGTAACAGGTTTAGATTTCATGCTTTCTAAATATTCACCAATATTTAAATTAGGATGGCAATCGATTGCAGAATTGCTACTCGGTTAACCGCAAAACGTTCCGACCGATTAACCGGTTAGTCATATCAAGATATACATTTTGACATTTTCTTTTCATATAGTACACAAAAAAGCTAAAAAGAAGTTAGACGTTACATTCTGTTTATTATTTTGATCGGGGAATTTTATGTACATAAGAGTATTTTTTATTTCAATTTCAATAGACAAGAAAAAATTAAGAAAACCATGAATCTTGATTGAGAAAACAGACAGGGATAATTTTCCAATGCAGATGTTTTAAAGAAGTTAATTCTGCGTTGTCACCATAATCAGAACTAGTCTATATCTGAACTCTCACATTATATACAATTTACAACGTTCTTTATAATAATATAATTTAATAGATAATGGCAAAATATAGACATACTATAATTAAAAGAGCTTAACGGTGATGTTTTTAATATCATTTAAAAAAAACAAAGGACTATCTGGGTAACGGCATGATGTTATACAAACTGTACAGTAATTAACACTTTACGAATTGACCAATTACCCTGCGATCTCAATCTTGACAGCTATAATTACCTCCAAATATTCTTAATTACAAGATGTGTAAAAATGCTAAATAAAAATTTATGCAGCGCTTTCCTTTTTAAAATTTAAAAAAAAAAAAAAAACAGAAGGGATTTTAAGGAAACTTCGCTCAAATTTACGTATATTTTATTTTTTCCGACTAACTGCTTACGGATTTTCTAACCGATTAGCATCGTTCCGACCGATTAATCGATTAACTGGTTACAAATTGCCATCCCTAATTTAAATGCAAACATTCTCCAGTGGAGTGGATTCAAGTTTGTTTAAAATCATGGGCCCTGGTGTTAGGTATATGCACCTTGGGGGTTGGGAGCCACATTATGGGATCAGAAATTGACATTAGAATATAGTGTAAGAATTGTTTAAAAGCATCTTCAGAACAGCACTTCTTATTTGACCCAGGTAAGCATTTTGGTCCATGGCCCTCTTATTTCTTAAACTGTATGAAGCTAAATACAAGCTGTCTATCAATTAAATGTTGTAACAATTACATTTTTTTCTGCTATATTTATTTGAGTTATGTATTTTCATTTCAGATAAATAAAATTGTAAGCTTTTTGTTAATTTATGCTTTATGATATTTTATGTTTTCATGAAAGTTTGTGCAATACAAACTTTATAAAGCTTTTCACTTATAAGGACAAGCTCATGGTATTGGATTGCATGCTTTCTAATGATTCTATGTAATACAATGCTTTTGAGGTGTAACGTTTGTTTAAAATAAAATCATCATTTAATTTATTAAGAACTTTTTACAATGATAATAGGTATCGAATAATGCTCTTATGTATCAAATATTAGTCACTCTTTATTCTTTTTTTTTTTTTTTAATGATTTGAAAGAATGATTTGTAAGAAAAACATATTTTCTTGAAGACAATGTATAAAATATATAATTATATAAAGAAATTGAACTTTACTAACACTTACATGATTTTGCACTGCAATTGTATGCATAATTTTGCTGTGAGCATTTGGCCTTATCTTAAATTCCCAGCTAGGTCAAGTGGCTTGTCAAAGAATTATGTTATCAATTTACATGTATGAACACTACATTTACTCTTCTCTGCAAGTAATCTAGTCTCTTCCACCATGCGCATTTCCCATTTAGACTGTATATTACAATGTATATGATGGATAATTTGAGTACATGTGTACTCAAAAAAAACATTCCCGTTTTCAATTTTTGATAAACTGCAAAGCACTTTTTATTTGTAAAAAATTTTATTTTTGTGTTATCAGGAACTGCTTGCGAAATTTTTTTCTATAAGCATACAGCAAAAACCTGCATTCGTGAAAAATTTGTCTTGCTTAGCCTTATAAATACCAAATTTGGAACTTGTGAAATAAGGTTGACTCACAAAATTTGGTGATCTCCAGTTTTCAAAAGTCAAATACCTGGGTAATAAAATTGAGATTTCCTAGAACTGGATAATTTTCTGACTACCTTAGAATTCCAAAAGAAAAAAAAATTCTGCATGCTGATACCCCATCATGAAATGCACTATTAAAATCCTTTTTTTCAAACTGTGGACTTTGATCATTAGAGATTTTTACTTTGGTTTCCAGAGTCCACTGTTGGTCCAGTTCTTGCCCACCTTGTTGCTGTGGACATTCTCAGCTTTACTGCCCAATGTAGTGTACTACTCTGACTCCACATTTATAGGACACTGGACTAGGTAAACATTTAATATTCAGTTGTGAATATTTATACTCCTGTTTATTGACAGATTTATTTTGTGTGGCTGTGTTTGTATAAAGGGAGAGTGGATAAAAAAAACTTTTCAAATGAGAAAACTACTGTAAGTGGTCTATATGAATAATATTCCTGTTTATTATAGAACTGCTGAGCACCATGCTATAATGGTCAAGTCCTTTATATTCCTGATTCTGATGGTACTTATCCTTCCCTCACTAGGATTAACGAGGTAAAATACAGCTTAATTAGTTTTCATTAAAGGGATTAAAAATATAGCAGAAGCTATGGTATTTTGAATATTCTTGTTCAAGATACTGAAGTTGAACTATATTTTCTTATTTTTATACATAAGTTTAGAAGATAGTGAATTTGTATACTTATTTTATGTTGTAGTACCAAGGCTTTAATTCAGTGGTTTGTCCTGGATAGAGACTCAAATTTCCGTTGGAAGTAAGTTTGGAGAAAGAGAGAGAGAGAGAAAACTTACCACAATGCTGTGAATAATCATTGCTGAATTCTGCTACTTACACATACAGCTTTTAAGCTTGATGATCTTTGTCTTTGCAGGTGTATATTTTTAGCAGGACATGGCGCTTTCTTTGTTAACTATGTGATAACTGCAGCTTTTATCGGGACAGCTTTAGAATTAATTCGATTTTCTGAACTCTTCATGTACGGTCTCAAGTTGTTACTGGCTCACTCGGCCGCTGAGAAAACAGCTGTCAGGAAGGTAGGTCTTTCTCCTTGTTACAAAATTTGAACTCTCCATAAAAGAAATTAGTGCTCTGCCTGGTATTTCCCAGACCTTGTTTTTTGCTCTTTTTTTCATTTGTCTTTGTTGAGACATACAAGTATGTTCCATGTGAAAAGAACTTGAAAGGATTTTCTATGTGTATCTTGCATGAAATTCATGGGGAAAAACTGTTGGTGTCTCACTGTGTGTTCTTTTCACATGAATTTCATGAAATGTACATAAATCAATGCACTAGAGGTGCTTTAGAAATGTACAATTCTTCCTTATTCTTAAAGAATGTGCATTTCTTATTCTCTACTCAAACCATAGGAATTGTTGATAACAACTGGACATGATTTTGGGCAAAAATGAATAAAAAGTTAAATTTCACTTACTAAATGACTGCATGACAAATTTTCCCCTTCAGTCTGTGCTGTGGGAGTTTCAGTATGGTATACAGTATGCTTGGATGTTGTGTGTGTTTGCTGTACTTATGGCCTACAGTCTTCTGTGTCCACTGGTAGTTCCTTTTGGTAAGTTCTTTACCCTTTATCAAAAGACTTAGCTATTTAATAATCAGGTTTTGCCTGACATGAACTTGACTGCATCAAGTGTTGAGTAGACATATAATAACAACAAAGTGACGAAGTACATAAAATTAATGTCAAAATTAACAATGACGAAGTTTCATCCTTTCTTTGTTGTGACCTGAGACATGGATCCTTTTTACTTCAGGTTGGGTGTACATGATTCTGAAGCATGCAGTAGACAGATATAACATTTACTTTGCCTACAAACCGTCAAAGATAAACAAGAAGATTCATTACACCGCCATTAACTTTGTCATCGTAGCCACCATACTCCTACAGTTCAATGTCGTCTTCTTCACAGCTCTCAGATCAGGTAATTATTGTACACTGGGTATGAAATTAGAATTAAAAATTTGAAGAGGGCAGTTTTTGTGGTTTGTTGGTGTTTTATATCAGTGTTTTTTTTTTTGTTTTTTTTTGTTTGTTTGTTAAGTGTTTTGATGAAATTGCATCATATTGCAGATATAGTTTATGGTAAGTCGTGCAATGGAATGTAGTAAATTACCAAATTTAATGTAGCATATTATCTGGTGAAGTTTAACTTTAACATTTACTTGCCTACTGTATTGGTGAAAGCTGATAAATTGCTTATTAATTATAGCATTCTTGTACATTGCTTCGAAATATATCTAGGCATTCTTGAGGGAAGCACATTTTAAATCTGTAAGGGATAAACTGACCTGTGGGTCTCTATCATTGTTTCTTTCCATTTAGGTCAAATGAGCTATTTTTAAGTGTCTGTCCATTGTCTAGCTGTCATCTGTTAACTTTTTATGTTTTCAATTTTATCTTGAAAGGTTTGTAGTTTTATGTAGATATGAGACACTTGGTGTAAACAAATATAGTAACTTTGTAGTAATTAAGAGATAAAGTCATGTTTCCATTTGGGGGGGGGGGGGGTAATAATCAATAAATAATGGGTAGTAAAAATAGGAAAGAGTGATTTCAAAAGTTTTTAGAGTACTATTGGAACCAAATGCAGGGTAATGTCTAATATTAATTACAAATGTTTTTTTTTTACATGTATTTGTCTCGTCTTCTGTCTCTCTTTTATTCTTTACTTTTAGTATCTTTTTATCGGTGGTTGTTGATTTTCAGTCTCTAAGGTTCTAGCAGTTTTTATTGAGGAAGACCTTTGATTATTCTGTTTTTTTTTTCTTCTGCTTCCTAAACCGAAACTTTGAAGCCTCATATATTTGTATGCTTAAAAATAAACAATAATTAGTTATCTTAACTGTCTGCATGTATACACTGTACCAGTGCTACTATTTCTTTAATCAAGTCCTGTATATGACTGGATTAATTGGACTGGTATATTGTGTAAAATGTCCTGAAAAAAAACCTGAGACAAAATATATACCAAGAAGTTTATATACCTATACCTGTTTTGCACATTTAATAAACTTTTCCATTCTAGATTGATTTAAGAAATAAGGTATCATTTTAAAAATGAAAGCATCTATCAGGATATAAATATATTTGTATGCGGGTTGGTCACTGACCATTAAATTCCTGTATAAAGCCCTTTATTGTGTAAAATGCTTATGATGAATATATACCAAAGATATACCTATACCTGTTCTGCACATGTAAATTATAAATAAACTTTTCCATTCTAGATTGATTTAAGAAATAAGGTATCATTTAAAACATCTATCGGGCTATAAATACGGGGTTGGTAGATGTTCATTATAAAGCCCAAATGTTTTATATGATACCTTATTACTTATTTTTACATTTGTGACTTATTCATACTTTATATTTGCCTGATCGTGACTTTTAACGTGTGAAATGCATCATTTTTCAAACCCAACGGCATGTATGTAATCCACTGCACGTGCGTCGACCCTTTATGATGTCACTGAGAAATTACATTGAACGTTTATCCATACGCACATCTATGACCTCTTGACCCTGTACCGTTATTTATACAGTTATAGATACGCATTGCTTTCATTAGTGTTATATAAAGGAAAACATTTGCAAATGTAAATATTTATATATATCTCACATACTGAGGAATCCTATAATGTATTGTTAATCTTTACAGAGAAATCAGAGGTGTAAATGCATCACGTCTATTTACTAAGTAATTAGGGCTGTAGATTATAATTTTTTTTAATTTACTAATTAGAACTGTAGATGTACCATTTATGTTTGAATCAAGAAACTCTATACATACTGTTTTGTTTATTGAGTTATTAGAATACGTAATATATAGTTATTGTTTACTGTTTGAGTAATCATAGAATCACCATTTCTGTTTACAGTGAGTAATGAGAGCTATAAATATTTTGTTTACAGTCAGTAATGAGAGCTATAAATATTTTGTTTACAGTGAGTAATGAGAGCTATAAATATTTTGTTTACAGTCAGTAATTAGAGCTATAAATATTTTGTTCACAGTCAGTAATTAGAGCTATAAATATTTTGTTTACAGTCAGTAATGAGAGCTGTAAATATTTTGTTTACAGTCAGTAATTAGAGCTGTAATTATTCTGTTTACAGTCAGTAATGCGAGCTATTAATATTCTGATTACAGAGGCTGTAAATCCAGTTTTTGTCTTCTCCTCGGTGGCCCTCTTTATCTCCATTGTTATGTTCGTCGGCCGCGCCTTCTTTGGATGGTTTAAAAATCTGTCCTCAGCCACCAGAAAATATATGGTAAGGGCAATAACTCGGTAAGGAATCATCATTTGGCATTTGAATGAAAAAGCACTTTTAAAACTTTTAAAAGCATCAATATATCACCAAAAATCAAAGAATAATGTGCATAAATAAAACAAAGAATTTCCTTGTGTAAAATGTAAATGAATGATTTGAAAACTTAATGTGCATGAATTCAATACAAATGTATTTACTTTATGTCAAGTAGAGGAATGAAAATGAAGGCATGAATGTTGTGTTCCTTTCTAAAAAGAAACTGTGCATTAATATATAAAAAAAGATTTTTTTTTGTAATCTTAAGAAATTGTGTTTGTAGCTTAGTTGCTTATAATTTAATATATTGGTCTATGCCTCTTTTACTTGTACAACAGATCATGGCTAACTTGTGATATTTATCAACAAAACAACTGTATTTAACATCTCTTTATTTAAAACAGAAGTAAGCTATATTTTTGAAATTTTGATTGTACAGAAAGATCATCCCAAGGAATCAAATGCTAGGTCACAAAATTCTCCCTCAATTGATTCTCCAGATGTAAGTTCCTCAACACTTGATTATGTGCACTGGAGGAATGCTGCTGATATTCCTCAGCTACATTGGCATTAAGCTTGAGCATGATGCTGAAATATGTATCTAATGAATTAATGGCACTAACACTGTATACCAAGCTCTGCTATCTTAATAGAATTTTCAGATATAACTAATTTAGACAGGTTTCAGAAGAAAAATGAAAGTTGTAAAACTCCAACATAGGGGATTTCACATTAAATTATTGTTTATTCTATCTTCTACTTGTCATGACCTGTTGGACCTAGTATGGGGGGGGTAGTATTGGGGGAGGGGGTGTAGTGGGAGAGGGGGTATTTCAATGTTGTGTATGTTTATGCCAGGTTCAAAAGTTCAAAAATCCCAGTAAGATTTTGATATTGCAAGTTTAAATCTCAGCTGAGATTCTAAAAAAAGCAAATGTGTAGCTGGTCTGAAAAAATTCTCCATCTCAAGTATTTAGACTAGTAAGCTATATATATATCATTATATACATTTGTTAGAATTAAGCAGCACTTCACATATGGGTTTTGTCTTGTCTTTTTTTCTTCATAACTCAAGGTATCATAATATAGCATCATAAACATTCAATTTGGCAAATGACATCATGTTATTGTAGACACTTTTTATATGAATTTACACAACATACATTGATAGTTGATGTTTTTGGTTGATTCCTTGGATAGCAATGTTCAGGTGGGTTGGTATTCAGTATATCCACCCCTTCCCACAGTAAACTGGTACCCTGCTCCTCGTGTTGCTTCTCTGTTGTATCATTGTGGCGTCCTCTATAGTACCCTATTGATTATAAGCTTTGGTCATTGTGTTACTGGTCATAGTACCCTGTTGACAGCTTTTGTCTTTGTGGCCTCTGTTATATTGTGATATTTATAACTTTCCTCCTTTTTTGTCCACTGCATTGTCAGAACACGGAGGATAATTGTGAAGAAAAGGTAGGAAACCAACTGTATAACAATAGTGACATACAGAAAACCAACTGTGTAACAATAGTGACATACAGAAAACCAACTATATAACAATAGTTACATACAAAAAACCAACTGTAAAACAGAAGTGACATACAGAAAACCAACTGTATAACAATAGTGACATACAGAAAACCAACTGTATAACAATAGTGACATACAGAAAACCAACTGTATAACAGAAGTGACATACAGAAAACCAACTGTATAACAGAAGTGACATACAGAAAACCAACTGTATAACAATAGTGACATACAGGAAACCAACTGTATAACAATAGTTACGAGGGGTTATGAAAAAGTTCGTGGACTGAGGCTATAAAATTAGTACTATGTAGTCTGTGCTTTCAAAATTTATATGGAACATAAAACAACAAAAAATAAAGAAATGTTGAAAATGTTGGCTTGATACGTTCATTATTTGCCAAATTATTATAAAATAAAAACGGCATTATATGATCACCCGGCGCTGTCGTCTTTTATTTTCATGACGTCCGACAACGTCATTGTTTATTCCAATGTCCTCTTCTTCTACCTCATGCACTTTTTTGGATGAGATTTCCTGGAGATGCGTAAGAACTTCAACCCGTCTTGTTTTTATGACTTTACAATGTCATAAACAGTGGCTTTCAATAAATATAATATTCCATATGGATTAAAACATTTGGAGAGATCTTCGCTTGATTGTGCCAGTATACTTTGCTTTTAAGAGTTCAATATCTACAACACATGATCAACGTTATTTTTTGACGCGATTGATTTTTCACACCTTGACTACAAATCGACATTAACTGTGTATCCCTTTTCTCTCTGAATATATTTTGACATTAAAAGACAAGTATTCTGGATGCATATTATTTCTCTGTAGCCAATTAAAACATTTCTTAGGTCTATACCATTTTTTCAGGGGCAAAACTTGATTGAATGTTGGAAAAAGAAACTCCTCCCCCCTTTTAACGTCATTTTCAAGGCCTCATTTATTTGGACTTTCCATGTAAAATTTACGATAAAATTTCATAGAACTTACAAAATGAAGTGAAAATTTCATATTTTATGGAGAAAATGTGTCCCGACACATACCTGAATTAACAGGATTTTTGGATGTCAAATGTTCATATCAAAAGAGTTTTTTTCTCAGTTACACATAGGTCGCAAAAACGTCGTGTTCGAGGTTACGCCGCCTGGACATACCATTGCTTACAAAAACATTACTAATTTATTAAAAAATAAAATTTTTGATTTATGGTTTAGAAAAGATGATGCTAACTAGATATTTCAAAATTCATTGATGTACCTTAAGCGGTTTTAATTTTATGGCGCTAGTCCACGAACTTTTTGATAACCCCTCGTACATACAGAAAACCAACTGTATAACAGAAGTGACATACAGAAAACCAACTGTATAACAGAAGTGACATACAGAAAACCAACTGTATAACAGAAGTGACATACAGAAAACCAACTGTATAACAATAGTGACATACAGAAAACCAACTGTATAACAGTAGTGACATACAGAAAACCAACTGTATAACAATAGTGACATACAGAAAACCAACTGTATAACAGTAGTGACATACAGAAAACCAACTAACTGTATAACAGTAGTTACAGTGTCATACAGAAAATAGCAATCTGCTTGAGTGAAAGGTCATCAAATTCAAGGTTTTAAAGTTTAATACAGTCCTCAAGGAAAAGAGTTACTTTGTCTGCCATATGGGTATTTGTCATGAAATAAACACATATGCACATTCAATGAAATAAAATATAAACAAAAAGAACAACATAAGGTATATCTGTATACTGCAGCCACAGAAACAAGCTATAGCTGCCATCAAATGTAACAAATGTAAGGGGTTTACATACTCCAGTACTGATGTAGAAAATAGAAAAACTAATATGGCTTATGTCTATTTATGAGTTGAACTTTAACCTCATAGAATTGAATTGATCAGTATGTCTGTGTATTTTTAAAACACTCTATATTTCTAACCCTTGTTTTGCATATCGAAAAGTTTTTCCCTCAATCCCATTGAATTTGAGATAATAGGATTTGACTGTTTTTTTTAAAACTACAATGTATAAATTTTGAAGAAAATGTTATGAACAATGTACAATAACATTGAAATCCATGGTAAACTATGTTCTTTATGCATGAAATAACACCTTTGTATGTACTTATGTAGCATAATGATGTTTGTCTGAGGGTATGTTGCCACATCTTTGTTGGTCTTGTTAAGTAAACGTTTGCAGCTAGTAAAAGGAGGCTTATAGGGTTACTGTTTTAGTGACTGGGTCAAAGAAGGTGATATGTTGTCTTTTAGCATGAGTCTGGTTAATGTACATCAGGGAGACATGACTGACATAACTGACATAGCTGAAAGGTCATTTTCTATTTGTACTTTGTGACTGATGAATTCTGAGGTCAAATTTTTTGGTAAATTGATTTCTTAGAAAATATAGTAATTTTATGAGTCGAATACAATTCTGAATGTCCAGTTTGGATCAGTATACAGCATTAGTTCAGTAAGTTATTTTGAAATGAACATCATTCCTTTACATATCATTGCAGCACTTTGTGGAAAAAGAGCAAGGAGCCAGTACACCCGATTCTACAGATAGAGTAAGTGCTTTACTTTTGGTCACCATTCAGTTGAAATTCTGGCTTTGATATCAAGTCATCTCAAAATTTGTAAAAATCAGTTGTATGTAAAAAAAAAAAAAAAAAAAGAAAAAAAAAAGAAAGATATACATAGTTTAGAGTGATAATGATTATTGCATCTTATTTCAGCCTTTTGTTGCTGGAGTTCTATTGGATGATAATGCCCCGCCTTCAGAGAATGGTGCTAGCCGATTGGCTGCTTCCTATGGAACTATGTCTGGCACTACACCAGTAAACCAGGATAATGAAGAAGTGAGCACTAATGATGTCCACTATGTCCAGTAGTGGTCACTTTACACCAAGGAATCAATGCCTTCTAATCGTAGAACTCCAAGAAATGTAGAAAGCTACCATAGTTATACCAAAGCTTCCACACTGAATATAAAATCATTATGTTTTGATAGAAAAAAAAAACTCTCTGCAAGATCTTCATATCATCTGATTTTAATGACGCATAATTTTATCAGAAAGGGCATGTTTAACACACAAAAGCAAATATGTAAGAAAGCTTTAAAACTACCTTAAAGAAAAACTAAATATTTATGTACTAGTGCTAGAATCTAGGAAAAAGTTAGGTTGATATTTGTATTACACAGACAGTGCCTCTGGTATTTAAAACAGCCAAATGCCAAAAGTCGTGCTCAAAAATAAACCTTCTGGAGTCAAATATACAACTATGTACATGAATATATTATTGTACATGAAATGTGACATGTTTAATAAGTAAACTATATTTTTGAATTGGATTTTGAAAAATTGCTTGAATTAAGACAATTAATACATCAAACATGTATCTAGTTGTTTCAGTTTTGAAGTTTGTTTTTTTTTAAAATAATTTGCATAATACCATACATATATACATGATATTTATTCAAAGACATACACAGCTTATTCAGGATTTTACACAAAAATCAAAACCCAACATTAAATTAAATGTTGTTTTTTTTTAAATTTTTATCAATTTTATATGTGATTTTTTTTCCTGACAATTGTGTAGTAATTTTACATGCAATCTATGGCCTGTAGATTGATTGTACAGCTATATTTCTATACTGCATTAAAAATCATTATCATAATAATATTTTTAGTTTTACAGCAGCGTGTAATTCAGAATTAATGGAATTAGAAAAAATATAATAAGGGGAAAGAAATGTGTTTTCTAAAGCTTTTCCACTGAGAATTTTTGCCAGATTGGTTCTATTTATGATCATGGTAGTTTAGCTCCAGCATTTCAGTTTTTTCATACCAGTGTATGAGTAGTCAGTACTGCTTGTTGTTAATTTTAACAAGAATTTGAGGAATACATATATTGTTAGTGTATCTAGTTTTTAGGATAGTACACCAAATACTTTGAAGAAAAAATTATTTTTTCATAGATGAGGGTTCACATTTCAATTTATCCTATTTGTGTATAATACATTCTTATTTATTTTTTATTTGGGTTACATTGTAAAACAAAACATGTGTTGTTTTCATTGTGCACTGTTTGTCTGCATTGTTTGAAAGTTCATTTCAAATATGATTGACAGTTGAAAAAATAAGTACTTTATAATTATCATGGTTATAGTAATATATCTCAAATACATGTAAAATAAAGGTATGCCTACTTATATTGACATTATTTTGTATTATGCCTTTATAAAAACAGAAAGAAGTACTGAAATTTGAAGTTTGTTATGTACATGACAATACTTTAAAAGGGCATTTTGCTTTTTGGTCATCATATGATAATTTATGTTCTGTCAATTTCCCTTTTTGTTTATTTTTTCCAAGTTATTCAAATCACATATAGTTTAATTAACTTGAAGCAAAGTATACATGAAGCATGTTTCTTTTGAGGTATCTGTATATTAAAGTAACAAAAGTTGACTGAAAGCAAAACTCCTGAAGAAATAATAGGTGACTGTCAATAAGATTAATTTTTTTTCCACTGTAACTTCCACGTTAGACAGCCCAGGTGTGGATTGTGATCCAGGTCACTCTTCTGTCATAGCTACTACTATTACAAACTGTCAGAGCTGCTACTTAAGAATTGTTAAAATGGTATATAGTGTTTTTTCTGACTTGTGCAATATACATGTACGGTACGTATGCTGGTACATGTGTTAACATATGTTTTGTTTGAATTATCAGAGTTTATTTCATGTTGTGTAAATGTCTTACCCATGTTGCTGATAAATAAAACCATGTCCTTGTCTAATGTATTACTGATTATTTCTAAAAGAACCTAAAAAAAAAGACTTTATCTTCAATTATCCATGTTTTTGAAGTATCCATGTTTTGAAGAAAAAAAGTTTCTATCAAGTAAACATTTTCCCTACTTCAGTAAATTCCCAAATACTAGGGGACAAATGAAACACATCAATGTGTAAGACAATCACATGGAAGAATTAAAAGTTACATCCTTGGCTAGATTTCTGTCATGCTTTTTTGTCTTAATTCATACACCATCACCTTGTAATTGGAACATATTTGGAATTTACTGAACCTCATAAAACTATGAAACACAGTCAAGAAAGCTTAAATTTAAATTTTAACAGACAGGAAAAATTGTTGTCCAGATGGGACTCGAACAAGGGACCTCCTGGTTATGGTGCAGTAGCTCTACCATTGAGCTACTTGGATATACCCAATCCCCTTAAAAAGCTCTACCTGGCCAATATACCCAATCCCATTAACACGAAGTCTATGGGCCACATCACTCACCTGAGCATATTGGCTAGGAAAAAAAAAACACAAATCAGTTCAGTATTGAAAAGTAGGTCTTGAATTTTAAACTACCTGAGAATGCTTCCATATCAATATCAATGGCTTTACTGTTCTTGAACAGAAGATTTTTTCCTAGATATTCCTTTGTAAAAAAATTCACCCCAATTATGCCCCTCCCTACCCCTGGAATCATAAATGAACAAATGTGAATGTACACTACCTAATGATACTGCCATATCAATATAACTAAACTGTTCTTGAACAGAAGATTTTTTCCTAGATATTCCTTTGTAAAAAAAATTCACCCCAATTATGCATTCATAAATGAACAAATGTGAATGTACACTACCTAATGATACTGCCATATCAATATAACTAAACATGGCATTTCAATTCTATAGAATAAAATCTTTCCTATCAAAAAAATTTAATCATTTATTTTGCCCCGCCCTAACACCCCCACCCCTATCCTGGGTTGACATAAAAACTTGATTCTACACTACCTGAGAATGCTTCCACCTAAGTTTTATCATTCCTGACCCAGTGGTTCTTGAGATAAAGATTTTTAAAAAAAAATCTATATATTCCTGTGTAAAAATTGATTCCATATTGTGGCTCCTCCCAAACCCCGGAGGTCATGATTTGAACGAACTTGATTCTACATTACCAGAAGATACTTCCACCTAAGTTTTATCTTTACTGGCCCAGTGGTTCTTCAAAATTTTTTTAAAAGATGTCATTAATTTTTCTAATTATTTATTATCTCCCCTTGGAAGAGGGTATGGCCCTTCATTTTAACAAATTTGAATCCCTGTTATCCAATTAAACTTTGTGGCAAGTTTGGTTGAAATTGACCCAGTGGTTCTTGAGAACAAGTCCCAAATGTAAAAAGTTTACAGACGGAAAGAAAGACAGATAGACAGACGGCGGACAAAATGTGATCAGAAAAGCTAACTTGAGCCTTGGGCTCAGGTAAGCTAAAAACAAATTTGATTGATAAGATTTATTTTGTGTTGTTTAACATTCCTCTCAAGAAATTCTCACTCATATGGGGACCCAATGAAGAATTAAAAACAGACCAGAAACAAAACTTACTGTTCTGTATACTGCTGACAATACTTTAATTGCTGTTTTCTATTGGCTTTTATTACAGCCAAGATTTAGTACAAGTCACATTCTGATATTTTATGAGTGAGTGGCTCAAAACAGTTTTTTAATCCACTGGGTTTATTTATAGCATAAACAAAACCAGGGACATTAGCAACTGGTACCACTTACACTACCTATTCAGAATGTGACTTGAGTGCAGCAACAATGTCCACTTCTCCTTTTGGCAATGCCTGTTACATTCACCTGAAAAATACAAAATTGTTTAATTAAATGATTATGTGTTGATTAACATTCTCTCAAGAATATGTCACTCATATGGAGACTTAATGAGGAATTAAGAGGAGACAAGAAAATAAACTTACTCTTTTAAATCTATGTTCTTCTGACAATTACACTTCCATTGCTGTTGTTTCTTGGCTTTTATCACAGCTAAGATTTTGTACAAGTCACATTCTGAAGTTTTATGAGTGAGTGGCTCAAAACAGTTTTTTAATCCACTGGGTTTATTTATAGCATAAACAAAACCAGGGACATTAGCAACTGGTACCACTTACACTACCTATTCAGAATGTGACTTGAGTGCAGCAACAATCTCCACTTCTCCTTTTGGCCAAGCCAATCATATTTAACTGAAAATTACAAAGTTGATTGATTGATCTATTACGTGTTATTTAACAATCCTCTCGAGAATGTTTCACTCATATGGAGACTTAATGAAGAATTAAGAAGAGACAACAAAATAAACTTACTGTATTAAATCTGTGTGCTGCTGTCAATTACACTGCAATTGCTGTTGTTTCTCGGCTTTTATCGCAGCCAAGATTCAGTACAAGTCACATTCTGAAGTTTTATGAGTGAGTGCCTCAAAACAGTTTTTTAATCCACTGGGTTTGTTTAAAGCATAAACAAAACCAGGGACATTAGCAACTGGTACCACAAACACTACCTATTGAGCATGTGACTTGAGCTAACCAATAATGTCCACTTCTCTCTTTAGCCATGTCCACAATATTCAACTGAAAAAAAACAAAATTGTCTGATTGACTTATGTTTTGTTTAAGGTTCTTCTCGAGAATGTTTCACTCATATGGAGATTTAATGAAAAATTCAAAAACACAAGAAAATAAACTTACTGTTTTGAATCTGTGTGCTTCTGACAATTACACTTCGATTGCTGTTATTTTTCTCTTGGCTTTAATCACAGTCAAGATTTAGTACAAGTCCCATTCTGAAATTTTATGAGTGAGTGGCTCAAAACAGTTTTTTAATCCACTGGGTTTATTTATAGCATGAACAAAACCAGGGACATTAGAAACTGGTACCACTTACACTACCTATTCAGAATGTGACTTGAGTGCAGCAACAATGTCCACTTCTCCTTTTCGCCATGCCAATCATATTCAAGTGAAAAATACAAAGTTGATTGATTGATAGATTACGTGTTATTTAACAATCCTCTCGAGAATGTTTCACTCATATGGAGACTTAATGAAGAATTACGAAGAGACAACAAAATAAACTTACTGTATTAAATATGTGTGCTGCTGTCAATTACACTTCAATTGCTGTTGTTTCTCGGCTTTTATCACAACCAAGATTTAGTACAAGTCACATTCTGATATTTTGTGAGTGAGTGGCTCAAAACAGTTTTTTAATCCACTGGGTTTATTTATAGCATAAACAAAACCAGGGACATTAGCAACTGGTACCACTTACACTACCTATTCAGAATGTGACTTGAGTGCAGCAACAACCTCCACTTCTCCTTTTGGCAATACCTGTTACATTCACCTGAAAAATACAAAATTGTTTTCTTAAATGATTATGTGCTGATTAACGTTCTCTCAAGAATGTTTCACTCATATGGAGACTTAATGAAGAATTAAAAAGGGAACACAAAATAAACTTACTCTTTTAAATCTATGTTCTTCTGACAATTACACTTCCATTGCTGTTGTTTCTTGGCTTTTATGACAGCTAAGATCTTGTACAAGTCACATTCTGATGTTTTATGAGTGAGTGGCTCAAAACAGTTTTTTAATCCACTGGGTTTGTTTAAAGCAGAAACAAAAGCAGGGACATTAGCAACTGGTACCACTTACACTACGTATTCAGCATGTGACTTGAGCTCAGCAACAATGTCCACTTCTCTCTTTAGCCATGTCCATCATATTCAACTGAAAAAGACAAAATTGTCTGATTGACTTATTATGTTTTGTTTAAGGTTCCTCTCGAGAATGTTTCACTCATATGGAGACTTAATGAAAAATTCACTTCAATTGCTGTTGTGTCTCGGCTATCATCACAGCCAAGATTCAGTACAAGTCAAATTCTGATATTTTATGAGTGAGTGGCTCAAAACAGTTTTTTAATCCACTGGGTTTGTTTATAGCATAAACAAAACCAGGGACATTAGCAACTGGTACCACTTACACTACTTATTCAGAAACTAACTTGAGCGCAGCAACAATGTCCACTTCTCCTTTTGGCAATACCTGTTACATTCACCTGAAAAATACAAAATTGTTTGATTAAATGATTATGTGTTGATTAACGTTCTCTCAAGAATGTTTCACTCATATGGAGACTTAATGAAGAAGTAAAAAGAGACAACAAAATAAACTTACTCTTTTAAGTCTATGTTCTTCTGACAATTACACTTCCATTGCTGTTGTTTCTTGGTTTTTATCACAGCTAAGATTTAGTACAAGTCACATTCTGAAGTTTTATGAGTGAGTGGCTCAAAACAGTTTTTTAATCCACTGGGTTTGTTTAAAGCAGAAACAAAATCAGGGACATTAGCAACTGGTACCACTTACACTACCTATTCAGCATGTGACTTGAGCTCAGCAACAATGTCCAGTTCTCTCTTTAGCCAAGTCCATCATATTCAACTGAAAAAGACAAAATTGTATGATTGACTTATGTTTTGTTTAAGGTTACTCTCGATAATGTTTCACTCAGATGGAGACTTAATGAAGAATTAAGAAAAGACAACAAAATAAACTTACTGTATTAAATTTGTGTGCTTCTGACAATTACACTTCGATTGCTGTTATTTTTCTTTTGGCTTTAATCACAGTCAAGATTTAGTGCAAGTCACATTCTGAAGTTTTATGAGTGAGTGGCTCAAAACAGTTTTTTAATCCACTGGGTTTATTCATAGCATGAACAAAACCAGGGACATTAGAAACTGGTACCACTTACACTAACTATTCAGAATGTGACTTGCGTGCAGCAACAATCTCCACTTCTCTCTTTGGCCATGCCCATCATATTCAACTGAAAAATACAAAGTTGATTGATTGATCTATTACGTGTTATTTAACAATCCTCTCGAGAGTGTTTCACTCATATGGAGACCCAATGAAAAATCAAAGAACAGACCAGAAAATAAACTTACTGTATTAATCTGTGTGCTGCTGTCAATTACACTTCAAATGCTGTTGTTTCTCGGTTTTTATCACAGCCAAGATTTAGTGCAAGTCACATTCTGAAGTTTTATGAGTGAGTGGCTCAAAACAGTTTTTTAATCCACTGGGTTTATTTATAGCAGAAACAAAACCAGGGACATTAGCAACTGGTACCACTTACACTACCTATTCAGCATGTGACTTGAGTGCAGCAACAATGTCCACTTCTCCTTTTACCAATACCCATAATATTCAACTGAAAAATACAAAATTGACTGATTGATTTATTATGTTTTGTTTAATAATCCTCTCAAGAATGTTTCACTCATATGGAGACTTAATGAAAATTTCAAAAACCCAAGAAAATAAACTTAATTTTTTGAATCAACTTACTGTATTAAATCTGTGTGCTGCTGTCAATTACACTTCCACTGCTGCTGTTTCTTGGCTTTCATCACAACTAAGATTTAGTACAAGTTGCATTCTGAAGTTTTATGAGTGAGTGGCTCAAAACAGTTTTTAATCCACTGGGTTTGTTTATAGCATAAACAAAACCAGGGACATCAGCAACTGGTACCACATACACTACTTTTTCAGAAAGTAACTTGAGCGCAGCAACAATGTCCACTTCTCCTTTTGGCAATACCTGTTACATTCACCTGAAAAATACAAAATTGTTTGAATTAATGATTATGTGTTGATTAACGTTCTCTCAAGAATGTTTCACTCATATGGAGACTTAATGAAAAAGTAAGAAGAGACAACAAAATAAACTTACTCTTTTAAATCTATGTTCTTCTGACAATTACACTTCCATTGCTGTTGTTTCTTGGCTTTTATCACAGCTAAGATTTAGTACAAGTTGCATTCTGAAGTTTTATGAGTGAGTGGCTCAAAACAGTTTTTTAATCCACTGGGTTTATTTATAGCATGAACAAAACCAGGGACATTAGCAACTGGTACCACTTACACTACCTATTCAGAATGTGACTTGAGTGCAGCAACAATCTCCACTTCTCTCTTTGGCCATGCCCATCATATTCAACTGAAAAATACAAAGTTGATTGATTGATCTATTACATGTTATTTAACGATCCTCTCGAGAGTGTTTCACTCATATGGAGACCCATTGAAAAATTAAAGAACAGACCAGAAAATGAACTTACTGTATAAATCTGTGTGTTGCTGTCAATTACACTTCAACTGCTGTTTTTTCTTGGCTTTTATCACAGCTAAGATTTAGTGCAAGTCACATTCTGAAGTTTTATGAGTGAGTGGCTCAAAACAGTTTTTTAATCCACTGGGTTTATCTATAGCAGAAACAAAACCAGGGACATTAGCAGCTGGTACCACTTCCACACCTTATTCAGAATGTGACTTGAGTGCAGCAACAATGTCCACTTCTCCTTTTGGCAATGCCCATCATATTCAATTGAAAAAGACAAAATTGACTGATTGACTTATTCTGTTTTGTTTAATAATCCTCTCGAGAATGTTTCACTCATATGGAGACTTAATGAAGAATTAGGAAGAGAAAACAAAATAAACTTACTGTATTAAATCTGTGTGCTGCTGTCAATTACACTTCAAATGCTGTTGTTTCTCGGTTTTTATCACAGCCAAGATTTAGTGCAAGTCACATTCTGAAGTTTTATGAGTGAGTGGCTCAAAACAGTTTTTTAATCCACTGGGTTTATTTATAGCATAAACAAAACCAGGGACATCAGCAACTGGTGCCACTTACACTACTTTTTCAGAAAGTAACTTGAGCGCAGCAACAATGTCCACTTCTCCTTTTGGCAATACCTGTTACATTCACCTGAAAAATACAAAAGTGTTTGATTAAATGATTATGTGTTGATTAACGTTCTCTCAAGAATGTTTCACTCATATGGAGACTTAATGAAAAATTAAGAAGAGACAACAAAATAAACTTACTCTTTTAAATCTATGTTCTTCTGACAATTACACTTCCATTGCTGTTGTTTCTTGGCTTTTATCACAGCTAAGATTTAGTACAAGTCACATTCTGAAGTTTTATGAGTGAGTGGCTCAAAACAGTTTTTTAATCCACTGGGTTTATTCATAGCATGAACAAAACCAGGGACATTAGAAACTGGTACCACTTACACTACCTATTCAGAATGTGACTTGAGTGCAGCAACAATGTCCACTTCTCTCTTTGGCCATGCCAATCATATTCAACTGAAAAATACAAAGTTGATTGATTGATCTATTACGTCTTATTTAACAATCCTCTCGAGAATGTTTCACTCATATGGAGACCCATTGAAAAATTAAAGAACAGACCAGAAAATGAACTTACTGTATAAATCTGTGTGTTGCTGTCAATTACACTTCAATTGCTGTTTTCTCTTGGCTTTTATCACAGCTAAGATTTAGTGCAAGTCACATTCTGAAGTTTTATGAGTGAGTGGCTCAAAACAGTTTTTAAATCCACTGGGTTTATCTATAGCAGAAACAAAACCAGGGACATTAGCAGCTGGTACCACTTCCACACCTTATTCAGAATGTGACTTGAGTGCAGCAACAATGTCCACTTCTCCTTTTGGCAATGCCCATCATATTCAATTGAAAAAGACAAAATTGACTGATTGACTTATTCTGTTTTGTTTAATAATCCTCTCGAGAATGTTTCACTCATATGGAGACTTAATGAAGAATTAGGAAGAGAAAACAAAATAAACTTACTGTATTAAATCTGTGTGCTGATGTCAATTACACTTCAATTGCTGTTGTTTCTCGGCTTTCATCACAGCCAAGATTCAGTACATGTCACATTCTGAAGTTTTATGAGTGAGTGGCTCAAAACAGTTTTTTAATCCACTGGGTTTATTTATAGCATGAACAAAACCAGGGACATTAGAAACTGGAACCACAAACACTACCTATTCAGAATGTGACTTGAGTGCAGCAACAATGTCCACTTCTCTCTTTGGCCATGTCCATCATATTCAACTGAAAAATACAAAGTTAATTGATTGTTCTATTATGTGTTATTTAACAATCCTGTCGAGAATGTTTCACTCATATGGATACCCAATGAAAAATTCAAAAACACAAGAAAATAAACTTACTGTTTTGAATCTGTTTGCTTCTGACAATTACACTTCGATTGCTGTTATTTTTCTTTTGGCTTTAATCACAGTCAAGATTTGGTACAAGTCACATTCTGAAGTTTTATGAGTGAGTGGCTCAAAACAGTTTTTTAATCCACTGGGTTTGTTTATAGCATAAACAAAACCAGGGACATTAGCAACTGGTACCACTTACACTACCTATTCAGAATGTGACTTGAGTGCAGCAACAATGTCCACTTCTCCTTTTAGCAATACCCATAATATTCACCTGAAAAATACAAAATTGACTGATTGATTAATTATGTTTTGTTTAATAATCCTGCCGAGAATGTTTCACTCAAATGGAGACTTAATGAAGAATTAAGAAGAGACAACAAAATAAACTTACTGTATTAAATATATGTGTGCTGATGTCAATTACACTTCAATTGCTGTTGTTTCTCGGCTTTCATCACAGCCAAGATTCAGTACATGTCACATTCTGAAGTTTTATGAGTGAGTGGCTCAAAACAGTTTTTTAATCCACTGGGTTTGTTTAAAGCAGAAACAAAATCAGGGACATTAGCAACTGGTACCACTTACACTACCTATTCAGCATGTGACTTGAGCTCAGCAACAATGTCCAGTTCTCTCTTTAGCCAAGTTCATCATATTCAACTGAAAAAGACAAAATTGTATGATTGACTTATGTTTTGTTTAAGGTTACTCTCGATAATGTTTCACTCAGATGGAGACTTCATGAAGAATTAAGAAAAGACAACAAAATAAACTTACTGTATTAAATTTGTGTGCTTCTGACAATTACACTTCGATTGCTGTTATTTTTCTTTTGGCTTTAATCACAGTCAAGATTTAGTGCAAGTCACATTCTGAAGTTTTATGAGTGAGTGGCTCAAAACAGTTTTTTAATCCACTGGGTTTATTCATAGCATGAACAAAACCAGGGACATTAGAAACTGGTACCACTTACACTACCTATTCAGAATGTGACTTGAGTGCAGCAACAATCTCCACTTCTCTCTTTGGCCATGCCCATCATATTCAACTGAAAAATACAAAGTTGATTGATTGATCTATTACGTGTTATTTAAGAATCCTCTCGAGAGTTTTTCACTCATATGGAGACCCAATGAAAAATTAAAGAACAGACCAGAAAATAAACTTACTGTATTAAATCTGTGTGCTGCTGTCAATTACACTTCAATTGCTGTTTTTTCTTGGCTTTTATCACAGCCAAGATTTAGTGCAAGTCACATTCTGAAGTTTTATGAGTGAGTGGCTCAAAACAGTTTTTTAATCCACTGGGTTTATTTATAGCATAAACAAAACCAGGGACATTAGCAACTGGTACCACTTACACTACCTATTCAGCATGTGACTTGAGTGCAGCAACAATGTCCACTTCTCCTTTTAGCAATACCCATAATATTCACCTGAAAAATACAAAATTGACTGATTGATTTATTATGTTTTGTTTAATAATCCTCTCAAGAATGTTTCACTCATATGGAGACTTAATGAAGAATTAAGAAGAGACAACAAAATAAACTTACTGTATTAAATCTGTGTGCTGCTGTCAATTACACTTCAAATGCTGTTGTTTCTCCGCTTTCATCACAGCCAAGATTTAGTACAAGTCACATTCTGATATTTTATGAGTGAGTGGCTCAAAACAGTTTTTAATCCACTGGGTTTGTTTATAGCATAAACAAAACCAGGGACATTAGCAACTGGTACCACTTACACTACCTATTCAGAATGTGACTTGAGCGCAGCAACAATGTCCACTTCTCCTTTTGGCAATGCCTGTTACATTCACCTGAAAAATACAAAATTGTTTGATTTAATGATTATGTGTTGATTAACGTTCTCTCAAGAATGTTTCACTCATATGGAGGCTTAATGAAAAATTAAGAAGAGACAACAAAATAAACTTACTCTTTGAAATCTATGTTCTTCTGACAATTACACTTCCATTGTTATTGTTTCTTGGCTTTTATCACAGCTAAGATTTAGTACAAGTCACATTCTGAAGTTTTATGAGTGAGTGGATCAAAACAATTTTTTAATCCACTGGGTTTATTTATAGCATGAACAAAACCAGGGACATTAGCAACTGGTACCACTTACACTACCTATTCAGAATGTGACTTGAGTGCAGCAACAATGTCCACTTCTCTCTTTGGCCATGCCAATCATATTCAACTGAAAAATACAAAGTTGATTGATTGATCTATTACATGTTATTTAACGATCCTCTCGAGAGTGTTTCACTCATACGGAGACCCATTGAAAAATTAAAGAACAGACCAGAAAATGAACTTACTGTATAAATCTGTGTGTTGCTGTCAATTACACTTCAATTGCTGTTTTTTCTTGGCTTTTATCACAGCTAAGATTTAGTGCAAGTCACATTCTGAAGTTTTATGAACGAGTGGCTAAAAACAGTTTTTTAATCCACTGGGTTTATTTATAGCATAAACAAAACCAGGGACATTAGCAACTGGTACCACTTACACTACCTATTCAGAATGTGACTTGAGTGCAGCAACAATGTCCACTTCTCCTTTTGGCAATGCCCATCAAATTCAACTGAAAAAGTCAAAATTGTCTGATTGACATATTTTGTTTTGTTTAAGGTTACTCTGGAGAATGTTTCACTCATATGGAGACTTAATGAAAATTTCAAAAACCCAAGAAAATAAACTTAATTTTTTGAATCAACTTACTGTATTAAATCTGTGTGCTGCTGTCAATTACACTTCAAATGCTGTTGTTTCTCGGCTTTTATCACAGCCAAGATTTAGTGCAAGTCACATTCTGAAGTTTTATGAGTGAGTGGCTCAAAACAGTTTTTTAATCCACTGGGTTTATTTATAGCAGAAACAAAACCAGGGACATTAGCAACTGGTACCACTTACACTACCTATTCAGAATGTGACTTGAGCGCAGCAACAATGTCCACTTCTCTTTTTGGCAATGCCCGTAATATTCAACTGAAAAAGACAAAATTGACTGATTGATTTATTATGTTATGTTTGATAATCCTCTCGAGAATGTTTCACTCAAATTGAGACTTAATGAAGAATTAAGAAGAGACAACAAAATAAACTTACTGTATTAAATATGTGTGTGCTGATGTCAATTACACTTCAATTGCTGTTGTTTCTCGGCTTTCATCACAGCCAAGATTCAGTACATGTCACATTCTGAAGTTTTATGAGTGAGTGGCTCAAAACAGTTTTTTAATCCACTGGGTTTATTTATAGCAGAAACAAAACCAGGGACATTAGCAACTGGTACCACTTACACTACCTATTCAGAATGTGACTTGAGTGCAGCAACAATGTCCACTTCTCCTTTTGGCAATACCCATAATATTCACCTGAAAAAGACAAAATTGACTGATTGATTTATTATGTTTTGTTTAATAATCCTGCCGAGAATGTTTCACTCATATGGAGACTTAATGAAGAATTAAGAAGAGACAACAAAATAAACTTACTGTATTAAACCTGTGTGCTGCTGTCAATTACACTTCAATTGCTGTTGTTTCTCGGCTTTTATCACAGCCAAGATTTAGTGCAAGTCACATTCTGATATTTTATGAGTGAGTGGCTCAAAACAGTTTTTTAATCCACTGGGTTTATTTATAGCATAAACAAAACCAGTGACATTAGCAACTGGTACCACTTACACTACCTATTCAGAATGTGACTTGAGTGCAGCAACAATGTCCACTTCTCCTTTTGGCAATGCCTGTTACATTCACCTGAAAAATACAAAATTGTTTTCTTAAATGATATGTGCTGATTAACGTTCTCTCAGGAATGTTTCACTCATATGGAGACTTAATGAAGAATTAAAAAGAGACAACAAAATAAACTTACTCTTTTAAATCTATGTTCTTCTGACAATTACACTTCCATTGCTGTTGTTTCTTGGCTTTTATCACAGCTAAGATTTTGTACAAGTCACATTCTGAAGTTTTATGAGTGAGTGGCTCAAAACAGTTTTTTAATCCACTGGGTTTATTTATAGCATGAACAAAACCAGGGATATTAGAAACTGGTACCACTTACACTACCTATTAAGAATATGACTTGAGTGCAGCAACAATGTCCACTTCTCTCTTTGGCCAAGTCAATCATATTCAACTGAAAAATACAAAGTAAATTAATTGATCTATTGCGTGTTATTTAACAATCCTGTCAAGAATGTTTCACTGATATGGAGACCCAATGAAAAATTCAAAAACACAGGAAAATAAACTTACTGTTTTGAATCTGTGTGCTTCTGACAATTACACTTCGATTGCTGTTATTTTTCTTTTGGCTTTAATCACAGTCAAGATTTGGTACAAGTCACATTCTGAAGTTTTATGAGTGAGTGGCTCAAAACAGTTTTTTAATCCACTGGGTTTATTTATAGCATGAACAAAACCAGGGACATTAGAAACTGGTACCACTTACACTACCTATTCAGAATGTGACTTGAGTGCATCAGCAATGTCCACTTCTCTCTTTGGCAATACCCATCATACTCAACTGAAAAATACAAAATTGACTGATTGATTTATTATGTTTTGTTTAATAATCCTGCCGAGAATGTTTCACTCATATGGAGACTTAATGAAGAATTACGAAGAGACAACAAAATAAACTTACTGTATTAAATCTGTGTGCTGCTGTCAATTACACTTCAATTGCTGTTGTTTCTCTGCTATCATCACAGCCAAGATTTAGTACAAGTCACATTCTGATATTTTATGAGTGAGTGGCTCAAAACAGTTTTTTAATTCACTGGGTTTATTTATAGCATAAACAAAACCAGGGACATTAGCAACTGGTACCACTTACACTACCTATTCAGAATGTGACTTGAGTGCAGCAACAATGTCCACTTCTCTCTTTGGCCAAGTCAATCATATTCAACTGAAAAAAACAAAGTTAATTGATTGATCTATTACGTGTTATTTAACAATCCTGTCGAGAATGTTTCACTGATATGGAGACCCAATGAAAAATTCAAAAACACAAGAAAATAAACTTACTGTTTTGAATCTGTGTGCTTCTGACAATTACACTTCGATTGCTGTTATTTTTCTTTTGGCTTTAATCACAGTCAAGATTTAGTACAAGTCACATTCTGAAGTTTTATGAGTGAGTGGCTCAAAACAGTTTTTTAATCCACTGGGTTTATTTATAGCATAAACAAAACCAGGGACATTAGAAACTGGTATCACTTACACTACCTATTCAGAATGTGACTTGAGCTCAGCAACAATGTCCACTTCTCTCTTTTCGCCATGCCAATCATATTCAAGTGAAAAATACAAAGTTGATTGATTGATAGATTACGTGTTATTTAACAATCCTGCCGAGAATGTTTCACTCATATGGAGACTTAATGAAGAATTACGAAGAGACAACAAAATAAACTTACTGTATTAAATATGTGTGCTGCTGTCAATTACACTTCAATTGCTGTTGTTTCT